TCCCCCCCTTTTAAAAGGTTAGGTTATTAAAAGGGTCATTTTACCTGGTCTGGTCTGGTCTGGTCTGGCCCTTTTTTTTTTAAAATGGCCCCCTTACTTAAAAATCCACTTTTGGAAGTTGTTGGGCCCCTTTTCCTAGAAGGGCGGCCCAAACATCCCCTGGGATTTTGGAAACCCTTTTGGAAGTTCTTTGGCCAAAATATGTTTCCCCCTTCGGATTTGTGTTTTTAAAGGGCAATTTTTTCTTTAAAGGGCATTTCTTCCCCCTAAGGGCAAACGGAAAAATTTCAATCCCTTTTTCCTTAAAGGGGCGGCCCGGGCCCCTTTAAAATGGAAAAAACCCCCCCCCCCCCCCCCCCACTTTTGTGTTAGCCAAAGAACAAAAAAAAAAGCATATTCACTGTGTAAGATAATTCAGTCCTACCATCAATGCGGCACACAAGTTCTTTAAGAGTCGAAATTTGTCGCTGAATACCAGGTTGCGCAAATGTATAGTTGTCCTAAACAAGAACAGCCAAAAACAAAACACAGAAAAATATACATTATTATATACCTATGTTTGTTTGTGTATGAGTGTCCATACCTGAATACCATCCAAAAGCTTGGAAAGGCACCAGAAACTATCGGCTTCAATCACGTCCAAGACTTCTTGATCTAGTTGACGGATATCGTATTCTTCGGGATCTTCGTCCGCTGTTCTTATTGGTTTAGATCCCCATTTCATTGTCTCTAAAGTTTGTAGGCTTACAGATATAGGCTGACAAAAATACCTCAAATATAGGTGTCACCAAGTCATTAATGCCCTGCACATAACCACTTGCAGGGTGTCGAATAGCCCATTGATACAATATCCGTTCCAAACACTAAAGCAATATTCACCAATACACAAAAAATCATCATTAACTCTAACGCAATACATACACTTTATACATATACATATGTCTTTAATTTCTTTTATTACAAAATAATAATAAATAATAAAAGAATGAAAGAAAGAAAGAAATTACCATTTGAGTTGTTTCATAATGATATAATGGAATACCAGGATTTGTACGTGGAATATCAATGTGAATCTATATACGTACATACATGTCCAATTAATCAAACAATTTTCTCTCTTTTTTTTGTATTTTGTTCTTCTTCCCCATTTATCGCCATTTCCAAACGTCTGTTCAATATTACCTGATGCCATAACCCTTGATCTAACCCACTCGTCCCTCGCGCATAAGAAGCTGCCACGCTGTCTGCGTATTCCTTTCTTTTACGTGCCAGTGTAGCTACTCGTCTTGCAGAATTACAAGGTAAATATCCCTTGTGAAATTTCAATACACAATCCAATATCAGTATTCTGTTTTTCTGTCCATAATTTTTTTTTACCCCTTTATATATATATACATATATACACAAATCAACTTACAAGTAAAAGTTGCCACGCCATTAAGCGGAATTCTTTGGGAATTCCACTCCAACTAAGTTGTCTTAGAGCAACTACAAAACATATTTTATTAATTAATTATATACTTGTAGATATTTATATGTATGTGCATAAATAAATATATATATATATATATATACACACCTAGATCAACATTGGAACTCGACAAGACTTGCTTAAATTTAGTGGTTTTCGATGTGTCTCCAGATTGTTGTTCAGGTATACTTAGCAGGATATTAGATGGATCTATAAATTAATGATCCAAATGAACACCCCAAATCCAACAACAATCATTTCTTCTTCTTCTAATACTCAAAACAATAATAATAACAATAATAATAACCGCAAATCCCAATGCAGGTTTTGACTAACCTTGAAGCAGGTTTTGAACATATGCTTTCATGTCGGGCCGTACTTCGGCGTGAGTTGTTAGAGTGACAGGGAGAGGGCTAGAAGCCAATTTTGTGGGTAGAAATGGTCTTTGTTTGGGTCGTGGAGATGCTTCGAGAGTATCACTCCACTCGTCATTTGTGTCCATCAAGAACGCATCAAATGATTTGTGAGGAGAGGAGATTGAGCGTTGATGGCGTCCTGGATCAGTTGGTGATGTGGATGTAGATGAGGATGAGGATGCCGAAGTATTCTTTTTTACTGGTGGCCTGTGTGGCTGTTGTGATGGAGTGGGAGGTGAGGTAAGCGAAGGAGAGTATGTCAGGATGGTGTTTTTGTCGCTTGGAGGCTGGGTGCTTGTTACCAAACTGTTGAAGGTGTAGCGAGCACCAATGACTCGTTTTGCATCTCCCGTCGAATTACTAGGTACAATACTAACACTACTTTACAGGATTAGAATGAATTCATTTATTTATTTATTTATTTATTTATTTATTTATTCATCATGATCATTTTATTCTTTGTTTGCTGGCTTGCTTTTTACCTTCCAGGTAATTTTAAGCCATGTCGTCGCCAAAAAGATCTAATGAACCGGATGAGTCAATGAACATTGTACAATAAGATGTGAGAATAATGACATACTTTTGAGATACATCTAAAAAAGAGGAATCACCAGGAGACATTGTTATTATTATTATTATCGAAACATATAAAATAGAGATTATAAGAGGTTCAACTAATTGCTGTCAAAATGTACAAGAAAATGAAGAAACATAAATAAAATAAAAATAAAAATAAAAAAGGTTTAAATTGCCAGACTTACATTCATCCATTATTTATTGAATCGCTTTTCTTTATATATGTAATTGTGAATATGTATATATTCTTTTGGTCTCCTTATATATGTATGTATATTTATATATATATATATGTATATATTGGTATATAAAACAGCTAATAAATGAATGTCTTGAAGGAGAGCTGTTTTCAATAAATAATTATATTAAATAATATTATTTAATAATATACTATACTATACCATACTATACTATACTATACTATACTATACTATACTATACTATACTATACTACACTATGTATATAAGTATAAAAAATAAATTGATAGATATAGATATGTATTTGTTCTTGTATAAAACAGACTCTATTTTACTTTATTTTTATTTGCTTTTCTTTTCTTTCTCTCTTTATTCACACACGCACTCTTAACCCGAACAGGGTAAATCAGCCAATGGGTGACGCCATCTCTCATGGAATAAAACGGATTTGCACGTTTCTTCTTGCAGAATCTCAAGCCAAAATAAAATAAAAAAAAAACGATTTGATATCGTTATAGCTATATAGCTATTGTTATTATTAATATTTTATACAAAAAGCTAAAAGTGATCAGGATAAAATAAAATTTAAAAATCTGTACAAAAAAGTAAGGCAAGAAAAGGATAGTTAAAAAGGTTGAATTGAGCATGCATGTGTGTGTGTGTGTGCAGTAAGCTTTTGTTCTTTTGTTCTTTATTCTTGTTTCTCTTCATAATCTACTTGTTGGTAAGAAGACCTGAGAATGAAGCGGGTATCGCCTTTGCAATTGTTGCATACTCCTCCACAAATTGGAAGCCTTTTGATCCATGCCAGAACAGAACCCATTGAGTACCCTTAAGTCGCAGGTATCCATTGGAACGCTCAAAGTACCACTTGTTGACCCCATTGTCTTGTCGACTGCGCCAGAGTAGTTCAGGGTAAGCATCGCACATCCGTTTCCATAGAATGTCTGTTAACCCAATGCCTTGACTGGTTGGTGCGATTGCAAACTTGTCAAGGTAGTAATGGGCCTGTGCTTCTGGATATGCTCTCTCGCGTGTCATTAGTACCGCGCCTTCATAATCTCCAGCGATAATCGCTCCCGCAAGATCACGTTCTAGTCGAGCATAGAAACTCGACTGATCAATCTTTTTTTGGAAACTGGCCTCCAATAGTCTGGTGAGGTTCGGCAGATCAAGATCAGACAGGTTGGCGTAATTATTGATTTTGATTCCATGACGGAGCACGGTAGAACGGGTTTGATTTACTTGCAGCAAATCAGGACTGCCAATCTGGAGGTTACTGATCGGCAGAGAAGACGAGTAAAGCGGCTTATCTGTGACAAGATTGGCAATCAAAGCTTTGGGCAGTGAGCTAGTAGGCACAATGATAGCCGAAGAAGTAGTAGGCAGGCACGAAAGACAGTCTTTGACCATGTCCAGATTTTGAATCGCACTTGGATGGGATTTTTTCCAAGCTTCATTGTCATCATATGCTTTGACAATCTCATCGTATTCTTCCTGCACATTCACCAAACTGTGAGCTGTTCCTGGTCGCTCATGGTTAGGGATTCCTCCTTCATTATTAATCACCACTATTCTGGCGGGAGTGATTCCCTTGAACTTGAGTGGGCCAGCCAGGTTTCGAGTAAGTGCTACCATTGCCTCATTGGCTTTGATGGGCTGTTGCATTCCATTATTAGAAAGAATGGGGAACACAACCGGGATCTGGTTGTTGTCAAGCGCAGACTGGATAAATTCAAAGTTGACCTGGATATCTGACACACCCTGTTCAAGAAGTCCTCCATATATCGGGCGTGCCCTTCCTCCTGCTCCCTCGATCGCTTCCACCAGAGCCATACTCTCCCGAGTCATGCGCTTTGTAAGCTCTACTGAATGCTGTTCTGATCTCCATGCTACACTGTCAGCAACTACAATTGATGTCATGCCAAGCTTTTGAAGCTTAAGAAGGGTTGATCCAACAGCCTGCCATCCTGTTCTATCAAAGGGACCTTCAACCTTGGTGAGGGCTATCTGGTTTGATGAAGGGGACAAAAGTGCATTAACATAGTCTTTAGGAGACTGTACTCCTGGAGCACCCTGCGGGTTCAATTCTGGCTTTATGCGAGGCATGGAAGGTGATGTATCCGGGACGAATCTTTTTAAGAAATGCTGAAGTTCGCGCTTACTGGGAGATGTCTTCATGAGGTTGACAAGAAGATCCTTTATTGTTGTCGCGGTAATTTGGTGCAGTTGATATATTCGTTTTTTTTAGTCAATCTCATTTACTTTTTGCTTTTACTTATGCGTGCATACTCTGTACTCTGTACTATTTACTATTTACTATGCTCGGAATATCGATTCTTACCCGAACATCTTCTGGTTTTTCGTCTGACGCCTAAAGACAAGCACTAAGGTCAGGAATTCCTCTAGGAGAAGTTGCTTACAATAGTTGGCTTTTGGGAGCCCAAGAGTGGTTTTGTGGTCGAATAGTATCTTGGACTGGCCCATTGACTCCACAAGACTGGTTTGGTGATCTTTCGAATGAACATTGTGAGCGATTGAACAACGAAAAAAAAAGAGAGAGAGAACAATTCCAAGTAAAGTAGTGTTATCGGGTTTAAAACTAGTGAGTCATTTTGTGGTGGTTGAGAGTCACGGGAACGGTCCCACTCAGTAGCAGGAAAGCGATAGACAAGGGAGTTGTGTGGATATGATAAAGACCATGCAAGTCAAAAATAAATAAACAAGTAATGTATCACTTTTAAGGTTTAAGAGATCCGTGCTTTCCTTTTGGTGGGACTGATTTTAGCTAGACAATTTTGTTTGTTCCGAGCCAAATATTCATCATTCAATCAATACATTTTATGCCCGTAGAACAACTTTTGTATACATGATTATATATGTATGTATGTAATGGCTGTAGACAGGCGGAAAGGTTCTGAATAAGTATGCTTCGGATTGAACCGATAACATCAAGCTTTATCTGTCTACAATTAACTTGAAAAAAGTATAATATTTAAACAATATTGAGCAGTATACCAATCTTGGTAGACTTACGCACAATTATTGCATATTACAGCTATTATATTTTTGTTCCAAAAATTATTCATCTGAAAACATAGGACAAATTTTGGAGTAGAATTCGTATGCTCTTAGCCAATCAAATATATCAAAAAAAAATATGTATACTAAATTGAATTTTGTGGGGGGGGGGAATTTCTTAAAAATTACAAACTCAGACTAAATGCCCACAAACACAAACGTATACAATAGAAGAAAGATACGCTCATATTTCTTGGACAGCCAGATGTACTGGAGCGCGGAGCAAAAGAGCTATTTCAAAATGTCTAATAGATAAAGAACAAAGCATTTATACCAATTAACCTTTTCTCTTTCTTTCTTTCTTTCTTTCTTTCTTTCTTCATTTATCTATCTTTATTGTTCATCTTTAGTTTGCGCTATGCCTGCTTCAGCTTCAGACAGACGTCCTTCAGAACCAAGTCTGGGCGGACCCACTCACGCTAATGCATTCCCTTCTGCACAAGCCGCCAAGCCAACCAAGAACAAAAAAAAGAAGAACAAGAAGAAAAATGGGGCCAACCAACAAGCTACAAAAGATGACACTCAAACCCCACCGCCTGAACCTAAAGCAGAATCTTTTACAGAAGAAGCAGTGTCAGATTCCTCTGATATTTCGGAAATGCCCAAAGAAATAAACGAGGACAAAATCACCATAATTTCAAAGAATGACCCGACGTCTGTCGATCACAAAGCTATTCATGCTGCCGTTTTAGCCGTCATTAAGGCTTCCAAAGTAGATATCTATACACTATTGGAAAGACTCGGTAAAACAGCCGATATTACTCTAGAAAAGAAAGAGTTCAAAAACATCGATAATTCTTCCCCTACAATCGACCCAGAGGCTATCAAAGCAGCTATCGCCTCTGTTATCTCAGCTTCAAAATTGGATGCTTACAAAATTCTTGGCACCTGTAGTGGATCCGAAGCTACGGATCCAAAGGTCCATTCAAAGGGAACTCTAGTGGTAGATCCGGAGGCCATAAATGCTGCCGTTCTAGCTGTCATTGAAGCTTCAAAAATAAATATTAATACAATTTTAAAGTCACTTTCTCCGGGCCCTATAAAACAGACTACTCGACCAACAAAAGCAGATCCTCCCAAGATAGATCAAGAAGCTATTCAGGCCGCCGTTCTTGCCGTCATAAAAGCTTCCAAATTGAATGTTGAGTCTGTTTTGAAATCAGTTCATCCCGAATCAGCCAAAGAAACGGCTCCAGGCAAAGAAACAGTTCCAGTCAAAGACGTGGCAGCCGCCAAGGCGTCATCCACTTCCGTACCTCAAATGCCTCCAAATGCTGTTCAAGCTGCCGTAGAGTCTGCCATCAAAACTTCAGATCTAAAAATCTATAGCATTTTGAATAATGTGCATGGAGATCTTGATAGGCATGTTAGCCCAGCCCAGAACCCCAGCCATAATCCCACTTGGGCAGATATTCTCGAAAAGGGTACCAAAAATGAACCTTCGCATGTGAACCCTTCCACAAAGAACACTGAGGCTGATATGACTGAGACTTATCAGCAATCGTCCACCGAGCATATTTTATCCCCACCTAACAAAGTCCCGACTTCGTTTGAGACTCATCCGATCAAGCCTGCCACTAATGATAGCAGCAATAGTTTAGCTGGACATAGTACATCTACCAAGTCTACCACAGTACCTCAGGCCCACAGTACCATTTTAGATATGAACGTCGACGAATCTGCTCACAAAGACGAAAATACATTTGAAGCAAAGTCAGAAGCATCAATGCGCACAGACAAAGCCTTACCACCTCTTCATATTGAAAGGCTCTCATCCGATATTCCGCAGGCCGGTCCAGCTCCATTTCTGGCAACTTCTATTCAAAGCGGCCAAGGTAGACAAAACGTCCAAGGCAGTCAAGCGCTGGGAGCGTCACGTTCATATGAACCTTTTCCTCAGCAGCAACAGCAGCAACAGCAGCAGCAGTCTTATCAATCCAATCCTCACTCTCAAAATGACCTTGGTCATCGAACTTCTTCCTCGGATAATTCCATCAAGCGTCCACCTCAAGCCATCCCTGTTCCTCCGACAGCAAGTCAAATTCCACCTACAGTTAATCATCCTTCTGGCCAAGAGTCGGCTCCTAATCGTGCCAGACCTTCAGCTCCTCCACCCCATCCGCACAGAACAGAGCCTCTTCCAAAAGAAAAGAAGACTACCTGCAATATCTTATAAATATTGGTAGAGCTAATAGTCACTGACTATACGTACAAAACAATACTTTATTTATGCAATGTTTTGTTCCAAAATAAAAAGTATCCATATAATACAAAGAATTTATCTGCCCGAGCTTTAGGCCCTCTATATGTTGTCTCCCTCTATATGTTTCTTTGAGTCTAATGCTCGAATAAATGGTAATAATAGGGGGGTACTCAGCCAGGTTGTTCGAACAAAATCTTATGCGAATCTTAGCCAGTGATATTATTTTGTAGTTGAGGACACCAAAAGACAAAAGTGCAAAATTCGTACAAAATTCTTAGATTTTATAGCATATATAGAATAACCTTTTGCACATTCTGATTTCTTCTTTGAGCCTATATACGCCTAGACTCTCGAAGAAATCAAGTGCTCTTTCCCTTTACTCAACATCTGGCAATACATTGTCAACCTTGTGTATGTATTTATTGGCTTTAAGGGTTTGTTCAAGCTCCTTCACGGCAGCTATCTGCTCTAACTTTATATTAACTTCCTTTTTAATTACTTCTAAAATATCTTTAATAAGCTCGTCGGCACTTGCTGATAAAGACTCTACCAGTGTTTTTTTTTCACGATAAATTCACTGATATTACGCGATTTCTTCAAGGTATCAATTGTTTGTTGCTTTGTACTATATTTTGGCATGTAAGATGGAGAGAAAGAAGTATTATATGACTTTGTTGACAATAGATTCTATAATCTATTAAAGAGAAAATTAAAAACATTATCATATTGCATATAAAAAAGTGACGATTCAGTCGGTCAAAGAGCTGTACATTTTTCAATCAAAATTTGTTCGGCATTTGTTCGTCACTATTACAATTTTAGCCCAATAATATTTGGTGTGGACAGACTAAAAGTTCAAAAAAAAGGGCAAAAAAAGGGTAAAACAACTTCATCCTGAACTTAGTCAATCAGACTAATTTATGGCTGTCCACATCTTTATTTAAAAAAAAGTTCAAAATTAGTTCAAAATACATATTAGATAAAATTGTGCATATAATCCCGTCTCTGTCATTAAGTGAGAACCTTTTATTGCGAGTTTTTCTAGACCTCTCATTATATGGCACATCCTCTCCATAAAAAAATGCTTCTCTTCTCAATCCTAGTGGCAATGAAAGAAAACTAGCTAATTAGAGTCGATTAAAAATTTTGCCCTTTTTTTGCCCTGTTTTTGCCCTTTTAGTCTGTCCACACCAAATGATAATTAAATATCACCTTAAGAACTGCTTACAAGATTTCTGGGGATCTTTGTAGCCAGTGTTGAAATATGATGCAACCCGGATTCATAAGGGGGATTTGTTACTGAATGGTAAGCTTTTAGATTTGAATAGTTTTATACTTTAATTCTTTTACTGGGTTGAAGAAGTTGGGAAGATGTTTTGCATTGACTTCAATAACATGGTGTCAGGAACACAGCCATGCAGAGAGTAACAGATAACAGGGACAAGACAAAGAAGAAAGGATTCCTTTATTTTAACGTGCTGTTCGTTTGATCTTTAGAGGATCAAGCGCAATGGGTATTTATATGAATTCTAGCTAGATGTCAATGGTAGATAATTATAGTAAGTGTGATACAAGGATATAAATGGGCAGGAAAGCTCGATCCCTAGTGGTCTGAATATCTTTCTAGTACAGTATACTCTAATTGGTAATAAACCGAAGTTTGGGATTGGTCCAGCTTAGTAACCAACGAGCTTGGTTCCTTACACATGGTGGCGTAAAAGGTGGGGTATATATAAAAGAGAGAGAAATTGGTGCTTAATTAAAATTCCACTATAACACACTTTTAAACCCTAGAAAACTTGCAACAATTCACCAAAATCAACCCTCTTTTTTTTCTATAGGGTATCTACAAGTTCTTCAAACTCATCCCAATTTCAAGTAAAAATTAAATTAAATGATAATACTATAATAAAATGCTCGACAGTCAAGAACAGTTATTTCTTCTTCTTTTAAAGATAATAATATAAATAAAAGAAAGCCTAATCTAATGAAGCTGTCCAATCCCACTTCTCCCATGACTTCAAAAACTCTTTTTGCCGTGTTTGACTTTCACTATAATGATGATATTTTGGTCTTCTCCAAAGCTCTGGGCCAATATCAAGAGGGCCAGCAATGATTTCCTGTAGGTATCAAATTTATGAATATGTGATTATGAGTGTAATGAGTTGTATTTTGTAGACATATATATAAAAAGCTTTAAATGATTATCTTACCTTTCCAAACCAATGAGGAAACTCCTTTTCATTCTCAATAACATGCCCATAGCTCTTTCCTAAACCACACCACACGTGGAAATAAGGCAGGTTCTTTACCATCGAGTTTCTAAAACCTCGCTCTGTTGTGTCTATAAGTTTTTTGTGTTGAGACCATTCTTCGTCCACGGCCATAATAGCTTCCTATATTGGTTATAAGAGTTATTTCAAGCTTTTACCCAATTATCTATCTTACCTTAAAGTAGGCCGGCATATCTTCATAGACACCATAGGGAACTGGTATAGCCTCAATTACTGTGTGTCGGTGGCCACGTATGTTTGTTACTGTTTCCATAAATATGACTCCTTTATTCTGTGCGTGGAACATTTGTAAAAGGCACTTTTGAAAATTCTAACAGAAAGTTTTATGGGGTTAGTATATATATATATATATATTTATAGGAAAGCAAATGAGTTTCTTACTCTTATTTCGTTCCATGTAGTATCGTCGCATTCAAGTGTAGATGTTATATGTTGAAGAGGAACAATCATACAGTGGCCAGGTACTAGTTCTTGTACATTCGGAAGGGCCAAATATGTTTGGGTAGCCAAAGATATCATTGTACATTGAGGAGGATTTTCATCATGATAACAGAATCGACATTTCTCCAAAACCTTTTGTGTGCGCTTAAAATCTTATTTTACCTAAGACGTTAATATATTGTGGGAGTATATCACTAAAGCATTTACCATTAACAGCATAGCGCATCTTTTGTTCTTCTGACATTCCTTTCTTTGCAGCCATGACATCTGACTTCTCATCCATATAGTCCAGATTATTCTAAGCACCCCGCTTTCTTGTGAATTATTGTGAAGCTTGATACAAAGACCTAAAAGTTTTTTCTTACTTACCTCGAATGTAACATCAGACACGATCCTGTTTGCAAACTCTAGATCCATGTCATTGGTCATTTTGCTACCAGCCTTTTCTTGACGCACCATCTCCATCAGAGACATGCTGTCATCCGAAGCGCTGTACTTTATTCTTTCGCCAGTAATTGGATCGTGTGTTCCGGCAAATTTCTCCTTTTTTTTCTTGGGCTGCGAATTTTCATGTGTACTTGCAGACAGCGCAAAATCGTAAATACGACCATCACTATCAACTGTAGGTAGCACTGCTACTGTTGTTCCATTAACATTTTGAAGTCCATTAGTCGCAGCTTGCATAGCCGCAGTTCGCTCAGATTGAATATTGTACTCTTTTTCCAGTTTTTCGGCATCGGCAGATCCCATAAGCTTTGCCTTAACAACCTTTGCATTCATCTTATTCAATTCATCTCGCGATAGAACAGGCTCTGATGAAAAAGCATTTGGCATCTCATGCTGTGTTATAATTACTGGCGTATGAGGTCTACTAGAGTGCGTTGCTTCTAAAAGGCGTCTCTTTGCGGATTCCTCGATCTGCTTTTGTTTTTCTTCTTTCGTAGGTGATCTCGACCTGGATCTGGATTGTCTTCTACGTTTCCTTTCTCTGCCAAATTCGTCTAGTTTCGTTTGTGGTTCATCTACAGATCGTCGACGATCAGATGGACGATAAAAAGATTGGTTTGACTTTGTGTCCGAGCTAGTGAACATATATCTTCGCGTATCATCGCGTCCGTCACTGCGTCCGTCTCTTGATCGTGTATTATCGTCTCTTCTTCCTCTTCTCTTCCTATTATCCAGAAATTCTCTTTCATCGAATGCTTCTTGCGCTTTTTCTCTTGACTAGTGTTTAATATATATATAATATGGCGATTAATTATAGCAATGGAATTAGCGCAGTAAAATGGTCTCTTACTCCGTATCGTTCAAGTGCGACATCCTTTACATTTCGCCCTTCGTCCTCTGCCTGTTCCATAATACGTTGTAGTTTCTTCATACGCCAATTAGAACCTGCGTCACCGAATTTGATGGCTGCCTTTTCTTGTACTGGATATTGATCGACATGAAGACCGCTTTTCAAGTGGACATTCAATTCTCGTTCATGTATTACAGGCTGTAAAGTTGTTATAATAATAATAGAAACAATTATTATTGTATAGAAATAACTTAATAAGCTTAAGAAGCTCTGTAATTTTCCTTCAGAGGAAATCTACCTCGTCTGGATTAGGTTTAGGTTTGTCTTCTTTCTTAATTCGTGTTTCTCCAAGCGACGAAAAGTCAAAAGTTTCATTCAACATCCAGTCGTGACGAGCAGCTTCTCTTTTAGGCTGATCAACTGTTATCTCGTCTGCAGCTACCGCTAATTCTGTTGGAGCATTCACAGCCTTCCATTCTGGTGCTTCACTTTCTCCAGTCTCGACCCAGAGCGAAGGATCGTTGTAGTCAATCTCTGTCTCTGATTCGGAATGATGCTTCTTTGATGAGCTTTTTTTGTGCTTTCTGTGTTCCCGATGCTCTTTCCCTTCTTTTTTCGACTTTCTTTTCGAGTCTTTTGACTTGTGTTCTCCCATGCTTGAGTAAATTATGCGAGCAAAATAAGATGCAAACGAAAAGAAATAAAATAAAAATAACTAATGTACCAAAAAAAAAAGGCCTATATTACATTGCAGGACTGTCAATGCAAAATTTGGTGACGTTTAACGTCTTATTTTATTTTATTTTACTTTAGTATAAATTGCCTTGTCAGGTACTCTTGTTTCTTCTACTTTCTCTACATTACTATTTTATCATTATCATTATAATTAAAAAACAGTAATGCCACGACATTCCAAGAATAACACGGCCTCCAGTGTATTTACGTACCATGAGTCCAATTCGTTGGAATATGGAACAAAGAGGGTAAATAAAGCATTTAATATATATATATATATATATATGCTCACTGTATCATGTACTATTTTGGCAATAATAAAAACATTATTATTATTTGTAGCAACGCCTTGGTCGAGATTCATTCCGAGAATACGATGCATGTTTTCTTTGTCTGCAAACAGCCAGAGATCCAGTTGCATGTCCTCAAGGTCATTTGGCCTGCAAGGAATGTATCTACGAATCAATCCTGACACAGAAACAAACGATCAAAAGAGAAGAACGTATATTAGAACAAAAGCAACAAGATATACAAAATCAAAAGGCGCGGGATGAAGAAGAAGCAAAGCAGACAATACTTGATGAATTTGAAAAAACTCAGACGAGTATGCTTGGGACTAGAAAGAAACAGACATCCGAATCCACACCTGTAGTAATTTCAACATCAGAAAAGAATGAATTCGAATCATCAGATCCCACATCCAATAGTAAGTGGCAATGGAAATCTATTCAAACATACTTTCTTCTGGGCTAATTTATTCTTTTATAAATAAGCATCGCGTGAATTGGCTACTACTGGATCAAAGCGCAAATTTGAGCTTGTGGAAGAAGACTTGAAGGATATTGCTGATAGAGATGTAGAAAAGGCATGTCAAAGACTTGCAGGAGAAAAAGCAGAGGCAGCAAAAACACAGATTGGCAGCTTTTGGGTGGTAAGCTTCGTATTTATTTACTGTCTATACTTGGATCTTAAAAAGAAGAAGAAGAAAAGACCAGTTTTTGTATTAATTATATATACATATATTAGCCATCAATGACTCCTGATGCTTCCAAATTGTACACCACAACACTGAAGCCAGTACAGAAGCAGGCAATGTGTACAGCAACAAAGCATCCTCATCCTGTCAGGTATGCTTACAAAACCTTTATAAAAAGAAGTATTCTTTTGTTAATATTTTCCTTATATAGCTTAAAGTCTCTGATTCCTATCAAATTCCAGAAAGAGGAAGGAAATAAAGATAAACATGTCTGTCCAGCCTGCCTAAAATCGTTGTGTAATTCTACCAAGCTTTCTGGTAAGCGATAATATATTTTAGAAATCAGGTAGATATATCTAACATATTATGGGGAAAATAGCTATGCGTAATTGTGGACATGTTATTTGCAATACATGTATCGAGATGTTTGTAAAAAAGACCAAAAAATGCTATGTTTGCGAGACAAAAACCAAGCCAAAAGACATTGTGGATATGAGCCCTGAAGGCACTGGATTTGCAAGCGGAAGTACAGCAGCTGTTGCAGAAAAATGGAGTGTTGCATTCCAGTAACACCACAAACGACAATAAAAAAAAATAGTATTATCCACCATAAGATTGCTCATTTATTTAATTGTGATTCCTTTTGTAGGGGAAGATGTTTCAGAAATTAATTGATACTTTGAAGATAGCTTAGGCGATTAGATCTTGTTTTTTTTTATTAAAAAAAGATGGTATCCAATTCAATGTATAATTTCAAGTATATTTCTATGTTTAATAATAGCCATTCCATTTATATTTAACTAAACTTCATCAGGCTCAAAAATCAAACGATAATGCTCTAGAATAGTCTGAACTACTCTAACTTGCCACTGTGTTTCTGCCAACCGCTGGGCATCTTGAGTTGTCATTGCAGACGCATTGAACTGACCATCTCCATCATTACCCATTAAAGTCAATCCAAATATGGTAGCAAGATTGGATACACCCATCTTATTGTATCTTTGGTTTTGCTGGACCCTGACACAAGTTATGAATAAATGTATTTATCGTCTTGAGATATTATCCTGTGCTTTTCCTTTAAAATATGTTTAAACTTACCTGTCGAGATGGCTCATAAGATATTTGAGTGTTGCATAATGGGCATCTGGAAGATCGTTAATAACTGTATGAAGACCGAGTACACGCATTCGATCATCTTCAATCTCTGAAACCGAAATATTATTAACTTAATATGTCCCAATTATTATTCCAAAACAAAGATTACTTACTCGCTGCACCGAGGAATCTCTGGTACATGCTCCGAGGAAATAGTGGATCTGGGAGCTCGCGAAGCCATAATTTAAGTAGGCTTGTGATATTGTTGATATCCGAGATGTTCTCTTCTGTAAGCAGATTTACGGCATTACAGTCTAATGGAACACAGGAACTTCGATTTAACAAAGAGAAAATTCTTTTTATACATATATACATATCGATATATAATATTACCTCTGTCAAATGCAGCCTTTAGTCTTTGGATTTGAGTGTTTGTGCCCGATACACGATATAGGCCAACAGTATTGAGTCCATAGGCATCCACAGCTTCACAGCATTTTGTGAGAATCAACGAAACCTCGTTTTTATCTCTCTCCATTAACGTGTTCAATTCAACCCCAAACACTGGATTTGGATTTAAAACATGAAGGGCAGTGACAGACTAGAGACGATAAGCCAAATTAATGTCTTGTATTATACATAGAAAGCAAAGTTCACATACCATACTATACTCCTTGTAAGGAATCTCATTTTTCTGGACCTTTATTCCACGCCCGCTGTATGATTTGATATAGTTGTTCAAATCACCGTCTTTGTCGATCTTTTCAGTTAATGAACGGAGACCCAGACCTTTAAAGATTGTTTGGATCAATATGTGTGCATATCTCCCGCAAGCATCCTAGAAAGTGTACTTACCATCATCATTATCTAGAGCAATTCCATCTGCAGTCAGTGCTTGCTCAAATATATAAGCATATCGAGCAAGTTGATACCTCAATGCCACACAGCACTCTTCTCCTACGTTTTTAAGAGCCTATATAAAAGCAGGTTGTGAATAAGAATGCTTCGATACCACAAAGTATCTGTACTCCTTCTTTGAACAGCAGCTTTTGCTTACCTACCGTCAATGTGTTTGGCAAATGTGCTTGATAATAATCTTGGCGTGCAACATTTGCTGCTTGAAGTTGCTGTCGATAAGTTTGGTCTGCAAGTGTTGCTTTTGTACGCGCATCTTCTTCTATTCTTTCCATCTGTGTGTATGTATGTATGTATGTATGTATGTATGTATGTATGTATAAGTACAGAGTATTCAGGAGATTTAAAGAAATCAAGATCTCTTTTAACCAACCCCTTGTTTGCTTGTCTTTCTTTTCTTTTCTTTTTTACCTGAGCTTGGGTTTTGTTTGACTTGAACAGTCCCTTCTTGGGTGCATTTACAGGTTCACCATTCTTTTGTAATATTGCCCTTTCCCATTCCTCACAGTGAAGCTCATAGCGTTGTTTACTCTATTAAAGAGTTGTCTTTCTGTTACTTACTTTTTTTTTCTTTGGCTTTTGGCTTTTGGCTTTTGGCCTTAAACCACAAATATTACCTTCTCCAATGCTGCGTCGGCGTCAGACAAAGTCTTTTCGTGTTTTTGGCCGACTTCCTTGGCCTGTTTTCTGCTTTTCTCGGTGTCTTTTGATAATAGAAGTAGATCATCGGCTACTTCAGCAATATCTGTAGCAAATTTCAAACGCTGCTCTCCCATGGTTTCATGTACTTTAAGAATTGATGTCCATGCGTCACCATATGTTCTATTTGTTTTTGTTTTGTTTTTGAAGATGAGCCGTTTGACATAGGTTTAAACAGTTAGTGTGGGGTAATAATTGTGGTATCATATTAATAGTGGATAAAAAAAAACTGTAATTTTACCCTGATCTGGGATGAGCTTTATCAAATGCCTCTGCTGTTGTTTGAGCAAGCTTCGCCATCTGCTTTCCATATTCCTCTTCCATCGCAGCTCTTTTTTTCAAAAATACAGCAGCATCCTATAGCAGTTATATTCAAATATTAATCCAAGCTACGTATTGTGCAACATCCTCTTTTTTGTTCCTACCTTAGCTGCTTGCATATCTTGTTTTACTTTATCCAATAAGCATCTGAATCCACCCTATAATATTAATATTAACGTTAGTTTGCACCAGAAAGTTGTAATAATAATAGTAAAGTACAAATGGATCGAGAATATTCTTTAAAAAGTAGATCTTGGGGGTGGGGCGGGGGGGGGGGGGTTTATTGGGATCAAACTTACATCTAGGTTAGTGAGTTGGAGAATGACACTGGAATATTGCCCATCAGTATCGGATGTGTCTGTAACAAGACCTTGTTCTGCATGGACATTATCATTGCTTCTTTGATCGTCCATTTTTTTAAAGAAAAGAAAAGTATACAATAAGAAATTAATAGAAGAAAAGAAGGTAAATGATAAAAATGAAATTTTGGTAAGAACAAGTAAATGAACTGAGAATGCAATGATGAAGAGCTTTTGAAGAAGTAGAATGACTGTCTTTAGCAGGTCAAATACGCAAATATTAAGTAAGAATAAATCTAAAATGTCCTTTTTTTTGTGTGTGTGTGTGTGTGTATTTTTTTTGTATTGTGCAAGCTAAACCAGGTGGCAAAATCGAGACAGTACGACATACATAAGAAAGGGTTTTGGGGGTAAAGATGTGGTGTATGATTTCCATATTAGGTGAAATACACACTTTCCTTATGCAAAGAAGCACTTTTTTTTTGGTTCTTGCAAAAAGAAAAAATTGACCCTGACCATAGAGCACATATTTGACTTTTCTGTGTAAGTTAAAAAGGGTTAAATTCTTATACAAAACTTGGACTTTACTTTGCAGATGAATGTTCTAGCTGTGTACATTCACGTACATAAGACACACTAGTTCTCTGTCAAAAATAAGGAAAACACAGTCTATAGATTGATTGGATCTACTTTAATGTCCGTAATTTGTGAATATAAAATAAAAAAAGGTTTTTTTGGTTAGGATCAAAATTGCACCCTGATTCTCGCCACTTGGCGCATTACACAAACTATTCCTCCCTAAAAGGATCATTATTGAACAAAAAAAATCTACTTTTATGCTTTTCCTCAGTACATGACAGGTGTATGCCCGTAAATTCTTCGTATGGTTGCTATATGAGACGTTAAATTACGACAACCGTTCTTGCCAGACTAAATGGCTATTATTATTATTATTATCTTGAGCCCATATATGCTTTAATACACTGTTTTTTTTACTTGAGATTGAGACTATTTCAGTTTTTTTTTAAAAAAAAAGGAAGACAATATTCAGACGTTGGGCCATTTACTTCTGCCACTCGAAAGATAAAACTAGAGACAAATTTACGACCAGAATACAAGGAGGCTTTAACGACAACAGTTATAGACGTATCAAGCCAGGTTCGACATTGTTTCATTGTCAACTATTAGGGGATTTCAACAGTCATTCAGGCTTTTAAACTTAAGATTTTGAGTTTAAATTTGAGAAATGATTGGCTGGAATGAATTTATAATCATTAAAAAAATGGTGTGGACAGACTAAAAGTTCAAAAAAAGAGCAGAAATTTAAGTCATATCATTGGGCGAGAGTTTTAACTAATTTTGCCCTTTTTTAATCGACTCTAATTAGCTAGTTTTCTTCCATTGCCACTAAAATTGAGAGGAGAAGCATTTTTTTGTGGAGAAGATGTCCCATACAATGAGAAGTCTAGAAAAACTTGCAATAAAAGGTTCTCACTTAATGACATAGACGGGATTATATGCACAATTTTATCTAATATGTATTTTGAACTAATTTTGAACTTTTTTTTTTTTAAAAAAAAAGGTGTGGACAGACATAAATTAGTCTGATTGGCTAAGTTCTGGATGAAGTTGTTTTACCCTTTTTTTGCCCTTTTTTGAACTTTTAGTCTGTCCACACCAAAAGATTAAAACTCTAGAACAAAATCGTTCAAGAGTTTTACTTTTAATACATCCTTGCTTAAAATTGATTTTTGTTTGGAAATTTAATAAATCCTTGATGCAAATATCTTTACCTCTTTCAATACTACTTTAAACTTATATCTTATCATCACAATACCTAATATAACTGAAAGAAGCATTTAGGGTACTCAAAAACACTTAGTAACCAATAATACGTAAGATTTACTGCTTTAAAACTCAAAGCCTAAGCTTAAAAGCTTAAAGGACTGTTGAAACCCCCTATTATATAGAAATTTCATCAAAAGCTATAAGCAAAAAAAAATCTTTTGAAATTACTGGTACACCATACCTCAATTGATAACCTAAAAGAAAGCTACAAACGCATTATTACTACCAGGCAACATAGTATACTTTTGGGAAAAATAAAGTAAAAAAAACATGATATTAAATACATGACACAATTGACAAAAATATAGAACCAATGTTAATCGCCCGCCTGTATCGAAAGTGCTACAGTATATATAAATCACATTGACGAATTATTCGAGCAATGGCTCATTTCATTTATGATTCGGAAGGTGCCAAGCCTAATTTCTAACGTACATAAGATGATGAGATATTATAGATACACCGAAATCAAACACAATTATTGGGACTTACTTCAATGTACTTATTATATATTTAGTCTAACATGGCCGATAATAAAGGAAAGAAAAAAAAACATTGCTGGGCAATATTGCTACCAAAAAGTGTGCTGTCTCCCTCACAGCTGGCCAAAACGGAGAACCCTAGTTTCAGATACACATAATAGTCTTAATAATTTCGTTTACAATGACTTATTTCAAGTTAAGATTCCAAGACCTGTTACACTTTTAAGCTTGACTTCTTCTCTAGGATGTTACATACCAATGCCAATGTATAACATGCTATAATATAAGCAAGAATATGACAAAGAAATAATTTCCCGTAAAGAAGCAGTAGGACAAAAAGTTGATAGATGAGATCAAAAGACAGACCCCAAAGCAGATTTACCGAGGCAGTTTGCTTTAACCTCGGGGCCTTCTTTCAAGTTCATGTCACTTTCTATAGATCCTACATAGCTAAAGGCATTCACAAGAGTTTTTTTTAAAGAAAAAAAAAAGGGCCTGTGGCTTCCATTGAAGAACAAGGCGTGTTTTTAAAGCTTTTGATTTTCCAAAGCTAAAATTGAAAAGGTACGAATTGTAAGCAGTGATATATAAACATATACAGCTTTAGTGAGAAACGAGCACGTAGGGTTAACCAAGATACGCAGGTGCTTTTGAACCTTTTAAGAGCAAAAAACAACCCTGTAGAGAGAGCGTTTCTCTGACAGAAACTGACCCTAACTGATCTTCCGTCGTTGCATCAGCATCAGGGGATGATAATAGAGAGTACCCAATTGAGAAGATTTACTCGAAAAGAACATAAGATAATATAATGTAATATCTGGTTCGGCAAGAAAAGCTAAAGAAGAGGCTGTAAAAGCTGAAAAGGAAGACATGCTAGACACACTCAGGAACAAACCAACCCCAAGAATTGTCTTTGATACGCTGTCCAACAAAATAGTGTTATCATCAAGGTTATACTTGGCAGAGATCGTCATAATCAACTACAACCAAATTCAAACATTCCAACTTTTATATAAATTAACTTGTGATACTAATGCAAATTTATTCAAAGAACGCATTTCTTGAGAATCTCCTCTTTAACAGCATAAAGAGGCTGCTTTGATATTAGAAGAATTCATACAATCAAATCGTACTAGCTAAGGGTACTTTAGTTTCGATTCGACTGCCTCATTAACATAGAAAAACTAGAAAGTGTGGTGACTACCCTGTTTAGCAGCGGAACAGTCCGTAAAAAGTAGCGGAATCATCCGTATAAATCAAAACGAGGTCCCATTCACGCTTTTTTTTTATGTGTGTTGGTTTTCAAAAGAAATGTTTCTAAAAATACATTTATTTCGGTGGCTGCTTTCTTTATACATATATATTTTCATTCTCTTCTTTTTTGTTTCTACCCCAAAACCAAGTTCAATCTTTTTTATTAGATGATTTTTGGAGAGCGTACAGACGGTTATTTTGTGTCAGCGCCTTTATAGAAAATGTATCATAAGATCAAATCAGGGCAACCAATATATACATATAAATATATATAAAATACAAAACTCCACCCATACTGGCAAGTATTTTTTATACGTCACAGGTCCCATGAAGTGATTGGCTTGGCCAACTCCTACCTCCGCTTGCATCATCAGTTTGCTGCTCAACTCATAAAGAATAAGCTCAGCCCGGGGGTGAGTCGCGTACACTCGACTCGTTCTTTTCTCTTCATCTTCATTCCACAACTACTTTACAATGTCTTGGCAGCAGTATGTTGACAGCAACTTGGTCGGTACCGGTAAGGTCACCAAGGGTGCTATTTATGGCACAAACGGTTCTCTCTGGGCCTCTTCTCCTGGATTCCAGGTAATAACAATAGCATCAACACAAATAAGTATATAGATGTGATAAAGCCTTTGGTGTACAGTAAATAGCTCTTGAGAAGAAAATATAATAACTGTATAACATCATAGCTTGCTGCCAACGAGATCCAGGAAATCATTGCTGGTTTCAGCAACCCTGAGCCTATTCGTGCCAGCGGTATCCACGTTGATGGTGTCAAATATTTCTCTCTCAGAGCCGATGAGCGCTCAATCTACGGAAAGAAGGTAAATAACAAGGGTCAAGGATAAATGTCACATATTATTCTGGTGGACTTACCAAGTATAATCGCACTGAACATTCTAGAACAACAATGGCGTTTGTATCGTAAAGACAACTCAGGCCATTCTTATTGGTCTTTATGACAGCAACATCCAGCCTGGAGAATGCACAAAGATTGTCGAAGGTTTGGCTGACTACTTGATCTCGGTGGGCTACGTAAGTGTATTTGATTTGTGGTTGAGGAAGTTCATTACTCACACGTCTGTGATTTGTAGTAAGTCAAAGGCTTCTTATCCTACTCCGCTCAGTTACCTCGGTTTTTATATCCACTATCAAATATATAAAAATGTATAAAAGAACTAGTGAGAGTGAGAATGCGATAGAAAGCTTTTGATTATATTGATGATTATTATGAAGGCGATGTTATATATATATATATATATATATGTGTGTGTGTGTGTGTGTGTGTAAAACCTGAAAACAAAAGTATTAGCCACATGCTGACCTTGTACGCCTTGTCCTGCGTCCAACGTCACTTGTCTTACTAGCCAATGGCAGTTTTTTTTTCCCTCTCTTTCTCTTATAATGAATATTCGCTATTTAAAATTGTCTGTGCTCAATAGATACACGTTGTGAAGCTGCATTTTCTAATCGAAAATACAAGTCTTTTAATTGAATCGAGAACTTCTTGACACTCGTAAGGACAGCAACTAATATAATATTAAGGGATTTTGGCTTGTCTAATTTTAATTCGAATATTGATTTGTTGGGACTACCAGTGGGACTACATGTAACCATAATCAATAAATAACTTTGGAGAAAATATCGTTTGCTTTGACAGCAAAATAAAATAAAATCTTATTTATTTTTACTTGTTCTAGACACCAATATTTTACAGGAATATCTTATTTTTGTTTGTCTCAATCAATATTCTATATCATAAATCCAACAATTCGGCTTCATAATATTGGCACAGATTGACACTACTCCAAGCTACGTTTGAAGACATATACACAGCACCAGATATCAATGATATATATTACCTTTTGATATCAACAATACGGCATTATGCAATGCTTTGTAAACCAGCCTAATTTAATTGTCCAGTCTACAGTACTCAAAGTTAATCCATGAATCCGAGAATATAAATAAGCTTTTAATGGGTACATAATTTTATTTGAAAAGGCGCAAGCTATTGAATGAATGAATAATATATATATATATATATAAAGCTATCTTAAATAGGATATTAACCGGATCTTTTTATATATATTTCTTTATCTTTTACTCTAATATATTGTACATTTCTTTCCATCTCTTTTAAATGGTTATAAAAGGTAAGCTAAAACTAAGATCCCCCACAGGATCATATCCTAGATATTTACATGGACAACTATTTTGTTTTGTTTTGTTTCAGTTCTACTGCTTGTAGCAGGCTATGGCACACGGCTTCAACAAGATCTCAGAGCCTCTCCTTCTCATCACCACTTGCTGGGTGTTCCAAAAGCACTCTTACCCCTTGGCCAAGAAGATGCTCTTATCACATATTGGCTAGACCTTTTTAAAGCCAGTGGAATCCCTGCGTCTGATATCTACCTTGTCACTAATGCTGCATCCTATTCCGTGTTTGTATCCTGGGCTAATCGACACCAAGTGCCCCTTGTCAATGTATTCAATGACGGAACTATGTCCAACGAAGATCGGTTGGGTGCTGTGCCCGATATTAACCTTGCTGTAAAGCATTTTGGACTTGGCCAAGATTCAGTACTTGTAGTTGGCGGGGACACATTATTCCTCAAGGACTTTGTTTTTAATAATTTTTTTCAGACCGCAAAAACCCACCCAAACCGGTCATTAGTTACTGTCTACAGTGTACCTGACGAAGATGTATCCAAAGTCGGGATTATAGAAACCAACTCGAAAGGAGTTGTGACAAGCTTTTTGGAAAAACCGGAGCCATCTGAGACATCATCAAGATATGCATGTCCATGTTTCTATCTTTTTGTCCCCAATGCTCTTTCTTTGCTGGACGCTTTTATTGACGAGTCTAAAGGGAAGCCCAAGGAAGAGGTAGACGCCACTGGTAAATTCTTGGCCTATCTTTTCCCGCGTTGTCCGGTTGGGACATTTCCTATCTCAGGTCGAATTGATGTGGGAGGACTGTCTTCTTATTTGCAGGCAGATGTGTACTACAAAAGTATGTGAGCATTGGAAATATACAAATTTCCGTACCCATTGTTAATGCGCCGAGTTATTATTCTGTGGATAAATAGCCCAAAGTTATGGGTATTATGCTTTCTTAATTGCATAAAATAAAATACCTTTGTAATTTTATTAGACGCATACACCAGGTTGTTGTGTTATTCAATTATTTTATTCAAATTTATAATTGAAATATTCATATAGCTTTTTTTTTGCTTCTAAAATGTGGGGGAGCGGGGGGTGACAACCCCGTTAGGCTTGGATGACTTCATGACTCAGTTACTCAAAGCGGGTAAATATTTCGACCCAGACTACTTTTAAAAACTTACATAATTTATACTATAGAATCATTCAAAATGTCAAGATGGTCGTTGTGGTCATCTCGAGCCATCACACACTCTAGACGATTCTACAGCGCAAAGGCACCTGATATTGAGGTTGATAACCTTGTTGTTGGCGGAGGTGTCATTGGATTGGCTATAGCAGAAAAATTAACGCGTGCTCGTTCAGCAGAAACCACTGTTTTGGTAGAAAAGAACGGAGCTATAGGAGAGGAAACCAGGCAAGTTAAAAGGATAACTAAAAGATAATTTAAAAAATTAAATAATATTTGGGTTAGTTCTCGCAATAGTGAGGTGATTCATGCAGGACTGTATTATCCAATCGACAGTCTAAAGACAAGATTGTGTATCCAAGGAAACCGAATGCTCTATGATATTGCTGCCAGGAAATCGATTCCTCATAAGCGTATTGGAAAATGGATTGTGGCACAGACTCCTGAACAGCATGAATATTTGACAAAAATGCACCAGAAGGCTAATTCGTTGGGAGTCGAAACTCATTTCCTGGATAAACAGCAGGCCAACAAACTGGAACCAGAAATCCAGTGTCATTCAGTGCTTGTTTCCCCTTCTACGGGTATTGTGGATAGTCATGCACTAATGGAGTATCTGGCTGAGACTGCACAGCAACAAGGAGGTGACTTAGCTTTAAGTACACGTGTGCGTAAGATTGAAACCTCTGAGGGACAGTATAGAGTAACAATTACATCACCTCTGGAGAATGAGCCGGACACAGTTGTGCTTGCCAAACGAGTATTTAATTCAGCTGGACTTCATGCCGACAAGATCAGCAATATGCTTATGCCAGATCGATATAAGCTGTACTATGCCAAGGGTCATTATTTTTCTTATAACGCTCCCAACAATATTCAGCACTTGATTTATCCTTGTCCGGAAAAGAATTTGGCGGGCCTTGGTACTCATCTTACACTGGACATGGCAGGGCAGATCAAATTCGGCCCCGACGTGGAGTATGTCGACAGACTTGAATATAATGTTCCAGATAATCAGGATAAGATTAAGTCTTTTGGAGATGCTATTCATCGGTATTGGCCACCTCTAGATCCTCAAAAACTTCAACCTTCGTATGCTGGCATTCGGTATTTAATCTATGACTAGTGTATTTTCTGTTTTTTTCTCGCATCTAATCCACAGTTTTCTTTTCACTTAATTGCTCTAGTCCAAAACTAGCACGACCTGGGGAATCTTTTAGAGATTTTGAAATTCGAGAGGAAAGAGACTCTGGATATGCAAACTTTTATACTTTGATAGGTATTGAAAGTCCTGGTCTGACTTGCTGTCTTGCCATTGCAGACCATGTTCATGAACTCATTAGAGATTAAATACATGTATTAAATAATACTGTGATAAAAGAAGAAAACGAGGAGGGATAAGACAACAAAGAAATGATTTGTTATTTTTTAGAGGGAGGAAGGAGTCGATATTTTCTTGTTTGTTTTGCTATTCTATCTGCTATCATTGGGAACAGGTTCTGATGAGGATTCTTTCTTTCTCAACTCATCGAAATAAGAATCTATATTTGTACCAAAATGAGTTTGTAAAATGCTTGTGTATCAAATAAGACTTACGTTGCAACGCAGCTTTTGCGGTAATACGCTTTCTAGGAGGGTATTCAAGAAGTTTCTAAGAGAAAATATAAGCATAATTTTATTTGCCCAATAGTTTTTTTTAAAAAAAAGATATGAACTTACTTTTAAGAGGTCGATTCCGAGGCTATCCAACTTGGGAAGCATATTTTCAAGAGATATCCGAGCAAATATTTCAAAATCACGCTGCGTAGACAATATTACTCAATACAGGTTGATTTTTTAAAAATAAAAAATAGCGTTATAAACCCAACTTACTTTGTATTCAGGGAGTCTAGACACATCTGGCCATATTTCCTCGGTTGGAGTTCCCAATACTGTACAAAGAAGTCAAGGCTAACAGCTATTGTTCGTTCAATTTATGTGCTATGTATGTATAAGAAAAAAGGATATTTGAAAATGCGCTGAAGCTGATCAGGAATAGAGCTTCCAGGAAACAAAGGCCTTCCAGATGCCATTTCTATTTAACATTAACAAACAAAAAAATCGAGGAATTAGATTAGCATGTGTATATATGCTTGCTCTTTTTATACCAAATATAATACAAATGACTTGCCTGCAAATATACATCCTGCTGACCATAGATCAATTGATGTCGAGTATTGTCTAGATCCCATTAACACATCTGGAGCGCGGTACCACAGAGTAACCACCTTTTTATACCATTGAGGTTAATATGTAGTTCCAAAAAATCTCTGATCAATCCGTACCTCATGAGAGTAGCTTCTAACTGGAATGCCAAAAGCTCTTGCCAGACCAAAATCACCCAATTTCAACTCTCCTTTCTATAAATATTTTATATTTTTAAATAGTCAGTAATATCCGCTTTCCTCCTTATGATTTTATCATTGTACCTTGTTGATCAACAAATTCTGGGGTTTCAGATCCTGCGCAGCCAAAGTTCAGTAAACAGCTTTACGCAGCAAGATAAATAAATAAATAAAGATAAATAGTCAGCTTACTCTGTGAAGGACCTTGTTTTCATGACAAAAGGCAATTCCTTTTAAGAGTTGATACATCAATTGCTAAAGCGATATTGATGTTAGTATTTGGGCTAAAATCCGTTTACATTGTCTCACTTTGATTGTCACAGTATCAATATCACCACCGTAAGAGTCTAGAAATTTCTTCAAGTCGGAATCCAGGTACTCAAATACGAGCGTCAGTTTCTTTTCGGTGTGCAAAACATCGTAAAGTCTAAAGTTGGGTTAGCTGACGTGAATTTATTCTTGATTCTTACCTGACAATGTTGGGATGCTTGAGTTCCTTCAACAAGGAAATTTCTCGAATGGCAGTACAAGGCACCTATAATAAAGCTTCAGCTAAGGAAGAAAAATAGTTTATAGCACTATTTTGGATATTTACTCCTTCTTCCTCATTATCAAGGCGGATGCGTTTTAATGCAACAACCTCATTTGTATCACGGTTCTGGGCTTTGTAGACAATTCCATAGGTGCCTAAATGAATGGAAGATAAATAGTTTGTTGAAGATAAGGTCCATTTTTATAGACTACCTTCGCCTAGCTTTTCTATTTTCTGAACCGAGCCAATAAGGGTCAGAAATCCAAGCTACTTTCTCAGGTCAATTAGCCATTACCTGGTATTTATCCATGATGGGATGGTGAGAAAAAGATGAAAAAATAAAATAATAAAAAAAGGCCAAGCGACTTGTATTTACATAGGGGCGGTATTTGAATACAGTACATGAAAACTACAATAAGACACACTATTTTTCAATGTAATGCATCAAAATCTTATTTTTCTTTATTCAATTGACTTTTTCATCTCATCAAGAACCATCTTTGTCACCATTTCACGCAATTTTTCTTCATCTTCAAGGCCACCTTGCTCTTCAATGCGCTTCATTATAGATTCAATCTGCTCATCCATCTCATCTCCTCCATCTGTAACAGCTGTTTCTTCTACTGACTCATCGCTTAAGCTTAAAGGAATATTCTCTCCTGTCACAGATGCAAGGTATTGAGCAACATCAAGCCAGCCCTCATCGAATGCATGGGCAGCAGCCGTAATTTCTTCGCTATTTGTGCGCTTAGCATCAGCTCCATGGGTTACCAACAGACGTGCAGTCTCTACTGTCTCGGCAACAAATAGAGGTGTATCTTGATCTACATCAGGGATGTTTACATTGGCATTCTTTGACAAAAGGTAAAGAATAACCTCTTCCTGATCATAAGAAGCTGCAGCATGGCTTATGGAGTATGTTAGCAATATAAATATGAAAAAGGTAAGGTTTATATAGTAGCTTACAGTGGACTATAGCCACATTCATCCTGTACATTGATATCGACGCCTTCTTTTTCAATAAGTTCCTAGTACCCATGTTAAAAAAAACAGAAAGGAAAAATAATGTCTGTTTGCTTACCTTGACTCGATCCAACTTGCCATCACCTGTTGAAATGTACATTCAGATTCGAATGAGCTTTTCTTTTAAACATGTTGACTTACCAGCAGCGATCCAGATGTTGTCTGTGATTGAAGGTGTTTTCATGTTCATTATGTATAGGTATTACAGTTTTTATTTTTATTTTCTCCTTTCAAGTTATCGTATATATACAATAGGTGGCTTAAAAAAGCGGAGTGACATTGGAGTTCCCAGCAGAGAGCTCTACTATGGCTGCGGCCCGACCAGTTGCCAGTCGAGCCAGCCCAGTTAGTATTGAGGATGGAGAGGATGAGGGTGAAGAGGGTGAAGAGGGTGAGGGTGAGGGTGAGTGTGAAGGCGAGGAGGATGAGAACGCGTATATGAACGAGGAGGTCGAGGTCGAGGTCGAGGATGAGGATGAGGATCATCCAAAAGTGGGAAATGAAGTCCCAGAGTCCAAGGCCACCCGCCATGCTGAAGTCATGGGGGTGCTGAAGCAGATACTTCAGAAGATGTGCGATATCGAAGAGAAATTGAAAAAAACAAAAAAATAATGATAAAAACTTAAAAATTTAAGTAATAATTTATTTAAAATAATATATCGTCTTCATCTTCTCCATCTATTTTATCACGTCTTAATCCAGAGATATACTCCTCAAGAGTTGGTGGCTCTAAACCAAAATATGAACTTGTTGGCGATCTATTGCGACCAGTACAGTGGATCATATTTTTGAAGACTGCGGATAGCATGTACACAGTTGCTGGACTTGTTTCTCCTGTTTTCATGGCATACTTATACTTGGAATACTTAAAGTACTTCTGTACTTCCCCAAATTCCCACTCTATTGCCACTCGCACTTTCGACATACTCTTGTTGATTTTTTTATCCAAATCTATTGTACATGATTAATATATTGTACAATCTTTGCCGACAATCTTTTATGGTTACTATACCACTAAGAGATACGCCTTCAAATGATGAGTACAGGCACTTGGAAAACATGTAAGCTGGATCGCCGTACAAGGCAAATGGCAATTCGACATCTGGTACAATATCCAAGTATTTTTCCACTCTTGCTTCTGTTTTGGACATAGTATATATGTACTGATCGTGTCTAGAACCGACATATGGTCCAAGCAAGCTGCTTGTGATCCCATCAGGAGTAACAATAGACTGGTACTTCAAAGCATGCAAGTGCTTCCAACCATTGTAAAAAACTTTTTGAACTTCATGATCTTGACTTGGTCTTGCTATTGCTTGCATGGTACCATCAATGAAACCAACAATGTTTGGCAGTTCTGCGCCTTTATCGTAGATTGCACTTGCAAGCCCTTCCAAGTTTTCCGGGCGAAATTGCTTAGTATTGAATTGAAATCCCCATTTAATCCGGTTCATAACAATGCTCTCAAATCCTCGGCAGACTACAGATACATTGCTTTCACTCATTCCAAAAAGTATAGACATATCGCCCACGCGTCTTGAAAAACTGTACCGATTGAGCAACATTGCAAACCCAAGGTTCTTACGGACTTGTATACTTGAAAAACGGTACACATGATCCAATCCGAGTGCTGTTGTTATTCTCTCAATTTCACCCAAAGTGAAACGAAATAGATGTATACAAGTACCGTCACTCAAGAGATTTAGGTTTAGTTTGTTATATCTAGTTCTCCTGGCTCTTCTAATCTCTTGAGGTATGGTTTCTTCTTCATTCTGCTGTTGCTCTTGCTGCTGTTGCTGTTCTTGGTGTCGTTGTCGTTGTTGTCGTTGTTGTCTCTGTTGCCTTTGTTGATGAACTTGGACGTGATGGTTAATGTTATATTCGGAACGATCGGTTATTTTATTTTGAATTTAGATGATCAATTTGAGTATAAAGAAGTTGTTAGAGAATGAGGCTCATGCGTAATATTTTCACAAGCTATATTGTTGACGCAACATGATGGTACACGTATGGTGTATCGGAGAATATATTCAAAAAAAATTGTTCCAACTTAAGTGCCTTTTTTGGGCGTAGATACCGGGCAACTTTAAACAGCTCTCTATTGTTATCGAAGAATCAATGCAAAAGTAAAAGTATAAAGACTGGACTCCAAAAGAGAAGCAATGGACTAGAATTGGGATTCATAATTTACATTTAAACAAGCTATGGTGTACATGCTTTTGTTACAAAGCCTGGTGATCAAAGACCAATGAGATATATCGTCTATCCTTTATTTCTTTTGAATTAAGTAGGACAGACGTCGCACTTCAATACAGTACATTGCGATCTCATGAATGCCCTAATCATATACCATCAAAGTCCGAGGAGCTTGCAAACAATCTTGGATTTCCTTACAAAGCTTTCACAACAAAACTCCAATTGGATACTGCTGTCAACAATGAAGACAAAGAGCTACTAAGAAATAAGATCATAATCACTTCAAATTATTTCCGTAATATCATATACAGGGCAATGATGTTCATAAACAGCTACTGCTTGGCATCGTCTCGTATTTCAATACCTAACTCCATTTACAAACAGACGTTTTTGTACTCGGTGTGCCAACTTGTCAATGACAGAAAAATAACAAAGAACGTCAATGTACTACCAGATCTTGTACAATCCTGAGATACCTATAGAGCCTCAATCACAAATTATATATAGGATCGAAACATACAAAAGTGGGCTGGGATATCCGTGAAGGACTTGGTGAGCCTAAAGAATAACCGATGTGGAGCGACAGAAATGTTATGGAAGGTTTTGAAGAAACGAGAGAGAGAGATGGAGGTCTTGTCGCTGTTACAATAGACTAATACAATACCTCAAAGACGTTCAACAATTGTCAAGCGAAGAATTTAGAATTTGAAAATCACACTCCTGTTTCCAGTGTACTGGTCTGTAAAGCCTGTAATGCACTGTATTAGAGCTGTGAAATCTAAATCAACTTAATGAATAAAATTAGTCAAGTATCGCTTTATGGGTTAGACTTTGAGTATTTTCCATAGAGCACGATTTATTAATATAAAAAATATTGTAATCGAAGACTGGGACTATTGATATTATCCTTGGGCTACTTTTTTCTACACGGAAGGGATAAGATTATTTGGAATGATTCGATGTTTGGTTTCACTAAAAATAAAAATTATATTCTCATTTTCTGTTCACGCTAATGCAAGAAGAATCATTGGATATTCTTGTTTACTCCTTATTATTAGCAAAAGGGTATCATTCGCAAATAAATTTTATTGGCCAAAATAAATCTTCGCCTCTATTTTCATTACCGACTATTATTCACGAATAATGACCCTAATATATATGCATGCATTTTAAAAATAAATAAATTATATAGAAAAATCAGGGAAGGGGAGGGAGTATAATGCGTTATTTGTGAATGTATTAAATGTGAAGATAAATATATGAATATTGATATTTTGAGGAAATAAGAGTGTAGGAAGGCATTTTATTCTCTAGCTGCGCTTTACAAACTTCTTCTTTGGTACATTGGACCGCTCTTTCTTCTCTTCCTTATCATCATCATCATCTCTTCCGCGCTTTGATCCCTTTTTGTGTGCATGCTCTTTCATTTCCAGGGTGGCAATACGCTGAGCGTCATTGACACGCTCCTGTAACATCATGACAGCGTCTTTCTCAAGAGGGAAAGGATCCAACTTGCGCTCAAGATCTTTTTCTACACGCTGAATCAGCTCGACATCGTATTGGGTAACAAAGGTAACAGATTTTCCGGATCTACCGGCTCTTGCTGTACGACCAACGCGATGGATATAATCTTTAGATGACTGTGGGACATCATAGTTGATCACCACATCTACAAGAGGAATATCAAGACCTCTAAAAACAAATGTTAAATCTTAACTAATTTATATACATATACTCCATATAATTGTTATTTACCTGCTTGCTACATCAGTAGCAACAAGAATATTACGAGTACCGGCTTTAAATTTGTTCAGAGAACCAAGACGCTTAGCCTGAGCCAGTTGTCCATGCAAAGGAATTGCCCCAAAACCAAGGTTTCTAAGCATGATTGCAATTCTTTGTGTATCACTACATGTACGAGTAAAGATGATCGTAGAATTTCCGGCGAACTCGTTGAGAAGATACACCATGTAGCAATCCTTGAACTTAAGAGGGAAGAAGAGATAGTACTGTAGCAAGGTTTTTACTGTGGAGTACCTTATTTTTTTTAAGAAGAATGAGAGTAAAAATGAGCAAATGCATTATACACGTTTCACATCCGATATAATTTACTTACTTTGTGGCTACCTCGACCTTGACAGGCTTTGATAAACTTGCACGCTGTAGCTTAGCAACTTTTGTTGTCATCGTAGCAGAGAAGAGGAAAGTGTTTCTCTCTCGTGGAATGGCCTTCAAGATCTGATCAATTTTAGGCCCGAAATCCATATCAAGCAATCTATCGGCTTCGTCCATAACCAGATATTTAAGAGTACGTAAACTGAAACCCTTTGTGTTTTCAAGATGATCTTGCAGACGACCTGGTGTGCATACAAGGATATGGGGTCTTTTTGACAAGGCAATGGATTGTGCCATCATATCCATACCACCGACAATAACTGCGCAACGGACACCAATGACAGATCCCAATGATTCAAAGGTTTCGGCGATTTGGTAAGCTAACTCTCTATTAATTATTATTTAATGGTTTTTATTGCTTGTTTAGTATACCCTCTATTTATTTTCATGATCACTTAAGGAAAATTCATTTACCTTGTTGGTGCCATGACACATGCAAAAAAAGCTTCTGCCTTAGGACTATCCCACAGCTTCTGGATAATGGGCAATGCAAAAGCAGCCGTCTTACCAGAACCTGTTTGAGCGAGACCAATAATGTCTCGGCCTTCTAATGCCCATGGAATTGATTCTTTCTGGATTTCTGTGGGATGCTTAAAGTTCAATTTTTCGCATGCCTCACACAATTCTTTCGAGACACCCTACACGACATAAAGTTAATAAAATCTTAAAAGAAAACTAAAGTACAGAAGTTAATCGTATAAATTATTACAAGATCAGCAAAAGATATTTCCTCGGCCTTCTTTAAAGCAAGAGCTTCAATATCAACATTTGGTTTTGTTGGAATGACTGACATGGTTGGTAACTCAATCATTGATCAGATCGCTGAAAAAAATCCAAGCTTGGTAAGCGTATAAGCCACTGCATAAGAGGAAACGTTGTCACTAAGATGTTTCACATAATGCAATTCATTTGACTTTCAAAAAAAAAAGGAAGTTATGGCTCGTGCGCATTCGAATGGATTTTTGAAGACAGGTTATTATTAAACTATTATAAAAGACACTGTAAAATAAATAGAAGAATTAAAATAAAGTATAGAGCATCATAATTGTTACGTATTTTTTAATAGATAAAAGTCATTTTATAAGTTTAGATATTGAGGTACTGATTTGAAAGAGTTGTCCCAACAACACCCCTCCAGCTCTTTACAAGGTATACGTGATCATTATCTTTTTTTCTGGTCGCATTTTGCTCAGCTTATATATAACCTTTTTTTGCTTATTCACTATACTCGTCAATCCATGTAACTACCTTCTTAGCCATATACTGTGAATGGCCAGACTCTGGAACAACAACAACAAATAGAATACTTAGCTATGTATACCAAAAAATATGCCTTAATATAAAATTACATACCTAGTATAAAAGCATGAGGCAAATTCTCTGGACAGAGATGAATTTGCGCTGTATTTTCACATTAGCCTTTAGAGTCTTATATTTTCTATCCTATGGTATACCTTTTGGAAATTTCTCTTTCATATACTCAAAATGGTCTTCAGGTGCCCATTGATCGTTTTTAGAGTAATAGATAATAAACTTATCTACATGCGAGTCATAAAAATCATGATCAAGAGCCTTGATGGTTTCCATCTCCTGAACGGCCATGTGGATTACATTCTTGACCACGGACCCATTCATTAACTGATGGGCTGTGACGCGTACACATGGCTCTGTTTGGCCAGTTACAAGTCCAGTAATTGCCTGGCGTATAGGAGAAGGGATATAAGATGCCAGTGAAGCAGCATTGGAAATGAGGCCCAACGGAATGGAGGATAATAGACGCTAAAATTTAACCATTTCGGTCAATACTTTTGAGCACCAAACACATTATTTGCGAAATAAAGAATTGTCATTTACAGTCATAGCCACACCATTGGGTGTGAGAGCAATCTCACGAAGAGTTGGAAAAAGAGCGATAAGGCGACCAATATTTGCTGTCTGTCGGGCCTTCAGTACTTCAGCGCATACATAAGAACCCATTGAATGTCCCATAAGTATGTAATGTGTGTTCGGAGGCTTATTGGCACACAATTCATCAAAACATGCTATCTTGTGATCTATCTGTTCCTGAAGAGAATAAGGCTCGTCTTTTTTTACTTTATTGGGAATCTCGCTATGATGACCAACAGAATGCCCGAGATGAGATACTAACAAGTGGAACAGTTATAATGTGCGTCATTGTTAATCCTTAAGCTTTTTAATTACCACCATAAATTTCTAGTTTCGATTCTGTTGTTTGATAAATATCTTCCAAGAATCGGGTATAATATTCTACTAAGCCTGGATTACCAGGTATAAAGAATAAGACAATCTTGTAGCTATTTTTTGATGATTCTTTGACTGGCCACCACAATGTCTCGGTAGGCTCATTGTTCACAGTCCATACTGCGCGAAGAGGTGTGCAGAACGAGTTGAGGGATTGCATTGTAAGTTGGCCAATATGAATAAAGAACAAGCAGAAAAAGAATACAAGCCACGGTTAAAGTATATGCCCTACCTTGTCTTAAAAAAAACTCACAGAATACATATTTGAATTGACCTTTTTTTGTGCAAGTACGTTACACATGTACACGCTTACACTTTTGTGCCAAATAACAAGCATAAATTATTTAAGCTACAACTGTATTTGTGAGCTAAAGACTTGATATATATATGTATATACATGTATGTATGTGTGTGTGTATCGCTTTAGAAATCCTGGCCTTCTATTGCATATGATTGAGGAGAAAAGCAGGTTTGTAAGCTGAAATATTCAGTTTAAATAAGTTTCGTTTCATACTGATATTCTCACTCCTATTTCTATACATTGATGAAACTTTTATATTACACAAAACAAACAAACAAACAAACAAACAAACAAATAGGCTAAAAACAGGCAACTCGATTCCAATATCGATCTCAAAAAATTACATTAACGTTTCAATAATCTAATAAATAATTGTACATCAAAATATTAACGGTGTTTTATTGATTATAAAGACATTAATAATTGTATTGGTTAAACCAAGACAGGTAAGAAGAGTATGGCAAAAAAAACATGTCATTGAAAACCCGTGTTAGTAAGATGGGTTATATAACACAAAGCTTATAATAGCTGTATCAACAGCCTATTTGATTCACTCTGATGATAACGATTCTCTTGCTTTACGTAGAGCTCAAGATATTTTATTATTAAACTATCGTAAAGGAGTGTTTATATAATGCAAGAGACAAAGAGTGAAAGAGTGATATACATACAAAAAATGGCTATGGATTTCAACAAGATAAGCACAATAAATGAAAAAAAATTAGGAGGGAGATATAAGTTAAAAATATCTACCCGATATTTCGTGCTGTTTACCAACAGGCTAGCTGTTGTTGGTGAGTAGTACATAATCAGGGCTTGCGTTCTCATACTGGCTCATAAATATATGTTTTTGGTTTTTTTGCATAAATCTATGAATAATTATACGTCAATATTAATTTCATTTTATTTCTCAATTCGAATACTTGCTTTAAGATATCAGCCAAACATTCGGTAAGCACTATTACACCGTTTGAATCCATGTCTGTGTGCGCAATAAGTGTAGGCATTTGTACTAATATACACACATATATATATAATCAACATCCACAACATATACATTATCACATTAGGTCCAATATACCAAACAATCGCAATAAATGCTCTGCGCCATAAATATCAACCATCTCCTTTTGTGGGTAGGTCTTGCGAGTCTCGGCATACTGATGACGTTCGAAACGATATAAAAGCATATTTCCCAATGCTTTATTAAAGTATGTACGAATACCCTGCATTACTTCCTCCAATAAATCCTCAGTTCTAACTCAAAATATATGAGATCAGGTATAACTAGGACTGATATTTTCTCTTACATCTCTCGGCCACTTCTCTTTTCTTTTTTGTATATTCTGTAACTTTCCAGTATTTCATTTATGGTTGGGTTCCTTGGTAAAGTAACCAGCTAAAAAAATGAAAATAACAATAAAACTTTTTAGCGCAAGTCAGATACACTCATTTTACAATAATTAGATCTTACCTGTTGATTCTTAGTCACATTCTCCCAATCATCTACCAATTGGCCTTTAAGAGTATCTGGAATATCAAGTCTGACTTCTGGCTTATTCAAATAATCCTCTTCCTAATAAAATCATATAAGGTCTGAGATTCGTATGCGTCACATAATTATCAGACTTTTTCGATTTTAGAGCTCACTTTTTCTAAGCTTGATCCTCGGCTACGTTTTTGTCCTTTGTAGGGTTCAGGGCCTGATGAATCGCTTGCCGATGCGGACGATCCGCGGGAAGTCTTATGGACATTATATAGATCTTTAAGTTGACGTTGCATCTTTAAGTTCGGCTCATTCCATCGAACTACGCGTGTTTCAGGTACCCATTCATCCCAGCTAAGCTAAGAATGAGAAATCAACAAAGAAGAATATATACACATATATGTATTTACGTTTGTTTCCAGCCTTTATAATGAATCAAGTAATGAGGACCTGGATGTTCAGTCCCTTCTTCCATCCATTGTTTGTCTAGAACCTGGACATATTGAGTATGAGAGCTGTTCTCAGAATATGCTTATCTTACTTTTGCTTCGTATAAAAGAGGTCCATGATAACACAGAACCCTTTCGTTGTCTTCAAACTGAAGTCGTTTTTCGGTAGCAGCCTCAACTTCAGTCATTATCTAGACTTGACAAGGAAGCTTAGATTGTTTGAAGAAATCACTACAATTTTGCACTGAAATTCAGACAGAAAGATTGATCGGCAACAGTACTTCCCCATATAAAAAACAAGTCACGGCTCTCAGGGTCACACTATGGAAAAAAAGCCAAATTTGAGGATTTTCTAACTTTCCACTTCACTTGTCCATTAAATCGCATCAACCAAGAAAAATATATATCAATTATTGAAAATTAAATAGCCGTTTACATTGAAAATGGATATAAAATTCAATTTTTTACTAGATAACGCCTTGTCTAATTACACTGTAGGAAATGGCAGCGTTTAGAGCCCCGTGCGCAACTTAGTTGCGTGTTAGTAACTTTTATAGCAAATAACATGCCAAACATTAACCTATTAACCTTACTTTTGGGCAAGTACAATTTATGGGATTTCAGATTATGTCAAATATTATGTATGGAAGAGATGTTCGCCACCACCCGGAAAATTTTCAATTTCGAAGATTTAAGCACTGTTTTTTGTTCCCAATCTATCATGCCCCTCAAAATAATCAGGATCCCAAAAAAGAACAATTTTTTAAAAAGGAAAGGGATGTCGACGATTTTCAAGTTACAAAATACAACTACTCAAAATAATCAAGGTCGCAAAAAGGAAATCTAAACTACCGTCACTCTTTTTTTGGGTTTAATATTTAAAAAAAATGACTACGAGGAGAAAAATTAGTTATTTTAGTATTTATTTTTACTCTTCCAAAACGAGACAAGAATTAAAAGCAGGTTATAGTCCTTTTGGGATATTTGAGATGACATTAAATTTTCGATATCGATATATTTACTGGTGGTGGCGAGCACCTATTCGTCCAGAAAAAAACTAACATCGTCTCAATCTCAAGTAGAAACACAGTAATATCTCGAAATGACCAAGCTCATTAATACAAATAAATAGTATTATAAACAAGTGCAAGTTAACACACACACACACATATATATATACAGAAAATCATATTCTTAACGTAAATTTTATTTTAAATAGTGCAAATCATTGCGAAAAATACAGTACAAGACCTTTATGTATTACCATTCAAAGTCACCAGTTGCGCGATGGAAAAGATAATCACGGCCATTCACCAGCATGATGCCGTCCTTCAAAACGCACTTCCATTTGTTCTTTGTGCGGGTTACCTTATCATAAAGACACAGGATAATATGTTCGATTTCTTCCCCTCCTTCGCCATCCTCAGCCTCTTCATCTGTATCATCGAGGTCCGAGTTTATGTCATTCTCATCCTATTCAAGAAGCACAGTATGGTTATTAAAACGTTATAAGTCAAACGATCAAACTTACATCTTCGGCTTCGCCGTCAAGCTGGCCAATACGAGACTTAGAACGTAAAGAACCTGCTTTAATGGCCCTTTCCCGAGCCTCGCGCATCATTATCTGCATACTTTCTGGCAACGTATTGAGAGATAACGGCTTTCCGGATTCAGTTTTTGCTGAAAAAGATAATTCAAGCTCTTCTACACTATTTTGTTCGATGATGTCATGGATATGAGCATCAATTTGCTATATATAAAAGTATATTAGTATTAAGCTTATAGTATAATGTAGTGCAATACAATATATCGTTTGTCTACCTCTGTGGTCATTGAATCATCGTTTGAACCATCATTTTGAGGAAGATTTGGTCTTGCTCCACCAGGTAATTGCAAATCTGGCCTCGATTGGCGGCTTTGTGTCTGTGCAGAAGTTTGTTGCTGCTGTGCCTGCTGCTGTGCTTGTTGTTGTGTTTGCTGTTGTGTTTGCTGTTGTGTTTGCTGTTGTGTTTGCTGCTGTTGTTGTGCCTGTTGCTGTGCCTGTTGCTGTGCCTGTTGCTGTGCCTGTTGCTGTGCCTGTTGCTGTGCCTGTTGCTGTGCCTGTTGCTGCAATGCATGTTGCTGAAGTGCTTGCTGTTGTTGCTGTAATACATGTTGTGTTTGTTGCGGTTGCTGGGGTTGTTGTGGTTGTTGTGGTTGTTGTGGTTGTTGTGGTTGTTGCGGTTGTTGCTGTTGCTGAGGTTGTTGACCCATAGGCTGCATTAACCGGAAGGCACCATTTCCAGTATTGTACTGAGCTGGTTGTGTTGGCCCATTTGATCCGGGAGCTGCTCGCTGTGGAAGACTAAAATTTTGATTTGTATTTGGAGCAGAAAAATCTGCGGCCCTCATACCAGCACCAGTGGTTGACAAAGTCCCCATATTTGCTGTAGTATTTGGTGTATATTGCTAAATGTATATATGTCAGATCTAAAATACGGTTTTATAATAAAGTGCTTACATCAGAGCCATTTGCAGAAGCGAATTGCATCCCATTTAGATTATCTCCTCCCGTGCTTAATCCAGCTCCATTGTGGTCATCTCCATCTTCGTCCAAGTAAGTTTCATCACTAAATCCAAAGTTTGCTACTCTAGATCGAGCCACCTTTGTCTCCCATGACTACAATAGGTGGTTTAGATAATTATTAATCTAAATGAAGCGGACAACTTACCCGCTGCAATTCCTGCAGTACAGCTTCATCAATGCCCATGTCTTCAAACTCTCCACGCACTTGGTTGATCACATCGTCAATCACATAGCGGTAGACATTTGACTATCAAAATACTGTCAAACTCATATTTCATTATATTTTGATTGATAATTATTATTCTTACCACAATAGCATTAGACATTGTAGAGGTTCAGTAGAGACAGTAGGGGCGTCGCAATGAGTAATTAATAATACTAAGAAAAATAAATCCTGCGATTTTTTATGGCATGTAATGTAACAAATGTAAATTAATTTCAAGGAAGATATATGTGATGCAAATTGTCAGTTATGTGATTCTGTTTTTTTTTATTCGTCATCACAGTAAAATGTACTGATTTCCAAAACCTCGATAGGAGCCAATTGAATATCACATAGAGAAACAGAAGCAAATATTGATAAAAAAAGGCAACTAAGAGTAATAATAGCTCAAAAGTACTAATGATCAATTGCTTTGAGGCTCACCTTGAGAAAAGAGTTGGAAAGCGGAACAAGGAGAGCAGTATTTATACCGCCAAAGAATACCCGCACCACAGTTATGGGCCAGCTTTTGCTTACGTCACATAGACGGAGCCAATCGTAGGGAGCCAATCATTCTAAACAATAGAACGGAAGATCATTTTATCTCACGTATATGATTGGCTCTTTTTATTAGTGTTTCTACTTTGAGATTGAGAAGAAGTTAGTTTTTTTTTCTCGGGCAAATCAATCTTATTTTCAGATGTTGTATTTATCTCTTTTGGACAAACGAAAAAGAAAGTTGAAACACAAAAGGGTGAAGTTTAGAGTAAAAAGCGAAATTAGTTTAAACAACATAAAGGAGTTCCTGCTAGGAGGTGCTCACAGAGTGGATAATCAATTACAAAAATACAAATATAGGTACTGTGTTATAATAAATACTATACTCCAAAGGTAAAAATCTTCTTAAAAGGATATCAAATCTTTTCTTCTTCTTCTTACTTTATTACTTATAGAAGTATACAGTAAACACATTATAACAAATCTCTTGGAAAAATAGAGCTTTATATATAAAACTTAACTTACAAGAATACCGGTCTGTAAGAAAAACAGGAAGGTAAAAAATGTGACCACATTGACACCAGTGATAAAATTGACGGATCTTAAAACCGTGCTACCATATATGGAGACGTATTGCCTAAGTATAGGACGCGTAGTATAATCGATTATCTACTTCATGAGCACTTTTCTCTTATTTTCTTTCTTTTCAGTATATTCTTACGTTGAATCATATTCAATATTTTACAGTAGAAGGTTTGCTTTGTAATAAAAATAAAATAAAAACAAAACAGCGAAAATTAAATGAACGAGACCAAGATCCCTATGAAGAAAGCTGAAGTTCTCTTACCAGAAGAAAAAGTAAATTAAAATTTATTCATCGTAGTGTATCCTATGTTTCATTCAGGAAACTATTGTTCCATTATTTTATTTTTTGAAGCCCAAAGATACTCCTGAGAAATTGAGTAAAGAAAGTTGTTCCAATGTCAAGAACAGATGGACTACATGAATCCCATGTGATAATTCTTTGCAAGTCAAGTGGAGCGCAAGGTCATTCAACTAAAAGAAGCCCTGACTACCCAACCCACAACATGACTTTACTATAGCTGCTCGATAAGGATCTTTATCTACATCAACAATATATCTTGTCCATTATTCTTGGCTTCTCTGTCGCAAAAAAAGATTATGTACAACAAGATCACAACAAAACTATCTTGTAAACACCTTTTCTGCATGAAGTGGTGTATAAAGCACAGCTTTTTATCAATTGCTATATGATACTAGGTGTTTCAGATTTATAAAAATGATTTATTCATTCAATATTTCTGTTACCCAGTTTGCAGAGTATTCTATGTACTCTTACAAATTAAAGCACTGTTACAATATTACTCTAGGTTACATAATCTTCAGATACTATACACAGAACTGACATTACAAAAAGGCTATCCTTACGGACAAGATGATGGGACAAGATTTGGAGGAAAAGATATCTATCTCTGATGTCAGAGATGATTGGTGTAACAGGCCCATTTTTTTTTGGGTGGTCCGATTCGAGTATTGCATAAAAGTTTCAAAAAATATTGATTATAAAAAAAGTTGGCAATTGAGATAAAAATTGATATAAAGATAAATAGAGATAAAAAATATATAAAAAAAAACTACAAAAATAAAATATTCAATGTTAATATTATCAATGCCAATTTAAGTACAAAATGTATACCTTAGTAATTAATATATGATCGAGTTATTGCTTAGGCAATATCTTTTGACTATGGCTTTGTGGAAAGGATTTATTTTTGGCCAAGTAAAGTCTCTGATAGGTTTACGTTTCGCAAGAAGAAAGTGGTTAATGTCCAAGACTATTATTATTGGCTCCAATTTTTCTGGTGTGGTAGTTAATGGAACAAAGAGACAGTTTTCTGTTTCTCTTGGAGTGTTCCAATATATGTCTATTGATCTATTGAACGCATCTGCTACAAGCTGTGGATGGTCAATGGTTCCGACCCAATGTTGCTGAGGAAGAGGTGATCTTTTGTTTTTGAGACTGATTATGAGCGGGTTTGTGGATGCAGACATGTTGTCATTCTTCATTCTTCTCTGGTAATATGTGTGTTAATATTTTATGTATGCTTCTAGCATCTTTTCTTTAACTTCAGATCATTACTTCTGGTTCTGATATATTTCCATTGCTATTGCTCAGTATCCATAGTTGCCATCTGCTCTGGAAGATAAGAATTCGGCTATATATTTAGGGGCAATGATAAGATCTGTTAATAATGTGTGATCAATTAACAAGCCAAGATTGATAATATTTTGCAAGGTTTTTTGCTTTTGAGTTGAGGATATTTGTTTTCTAGAAAATAGAGCAAAACTTGAGTGAAATAGATTTATGTAACGTACTATAAATGAATACTCACTTATTTTGTTCTTTTGCTGTTTTCATTTTTTTGTGTTTTCTTTCAGCTTCAATGCAGCGCTCTAATGCAATCATTTTACACTTTGTATTGTTGGATCGGCTTTTGATGGCTTCTACTATTATTAGACTATTAAGATCCTCAAGTTTCTGTTTGATTATTTTTTCTAGTATGTTTTTGGCAAAGTTATATATATTTATTTGTTCTTGTTTGCTGTGTGTACTGCGAAAGTTTTTATAAACAAGCTCAAGATCATGATCAAATTGAGGCAATATAGTTGTTATCTTAACAGTGTTTACTGGTACTGATGCTGTGGTGTTAATTGTCAAGTAGTCTATATATAATTATATATTATATAGAAAAATAATGCTATAATTATTATATTTATTACCTTCCCCTTTTAGATAATGTTTTCTTCAGTGTCTTGGAATTAAGCAGATTAGGATTATATCAAAAGCAGTGAGTGTATGATAGCATTGTAGAAGATATTTGTAGCGTAAGAGGAATTTGCACTCTTTGGTCAATTTTTCAGATATGATTGATTTTGATAGTTCTAGTTTGATTTTGTTTATTGTAACGCAGCTAATTTTTTGACGAATGTCATTTAGTCTCGCCGTGTTGGCTTTGTCAAACACAACTTCTGTGCTCTCTTCAAGATACTTTGTCATTAATCTGCATTTATGATCATCAACCTAATTAATATATAAATATATTATAGCAAATAATTATAATTGGAGAACTTATTCAACTAACACATAAAATAAAATAAGATAATGCGAAAGTACTAGTTCCTGATACTACTTTTTTACTTTTAGTATCACTGTTATCAATTTATCAGAAGAAATACCAAGAGAATGCTTGAGAGAAGCATGTGCACTCTCTGTGCGGTTGGAGATACGATTTCTAAAGTGAGAGTATTTACAGTAAAAAACACTATACAAGGCACACAATTTGAAAATTTAAGATGCACAATTTACTGGATATATCAGAGAACAAGGAAGACAATGCCCAAGTGCTATTAATCATTCTTTATTTAAATAGCAAAAAACTATATACAGTAATTTCTTATTCTTTGTGTATCTAATTGATCATCGACTGGTCATTACAGGTGTGAGTGGGAGGGAGACTTGGGCCATGTCTTCCTTGTTCTCTGATCTATCCAGTGAATTAACAGTCAAATTTAGAATTCTCCTGGAATTCGATAAGACCATCAAACAGGAAGACAAGACCCAAGTGCTAATTCAGAGCATATTTTCTAAGTCACTATAAATCACAGTGGGGACCACCAAGCCTGAGACCAGAACAGAAGCAGAGGGGCGTAATACAATATTGGTAAAATCAGCAGACGAAGTGTGGTTGCAGCTGTAATATTGCTGGAAGACTTCACAACTAGACCAATTACCAAGAGTAACTATGTTGTTCAAGGACATATCATGTTCGAGAACAAGAGTGAAGGCAATAGACTGGACCAAAACCGATTCATGCATAGAGAGCTGCAAGAGACTACGAAGCCAAGAGGAGATGGTAGAAATTTGCACAGGAATCATAGGTTGATGTGCATTGACAAACAAGTGTTGAGGAGGGCGAGCAGTGGAAGCCCGGGAATAATCCCTAAGTGCACAGAAAGCAAGGACAGGGCAAAGAGCCAAGGTAGAATTGGGCTGAATTGCAATGGTCTTTATAATCTGGTGACCATTTCTTCATTTTTTGGGGCCCAGGATATCAAAAGTCAACGCATCAGAAGAGATATCAACTCGAGCAGACAAGAGTTGGAGGCGAGCAAGATTGGACAGATGGAGAAAAGCAGTCATTACAATGAGAAAGGCTGTCTTGCGGGAGAGGGGAGTGAGAGAAGTGGAAGTGGCAGAAACAATAGAGGCAACATGATCGAGAGTAGAAGCAAAATCAATGGAGGGCCTGGTCTGTCGCAAAGGAGGAGCTTGGAGTGCAAGACAAGAAAAGACAGTCTGGACATCTTCATGGCAGCAAAGAGATTTGGGGTTGATATGTAATTTGAGAGCAGCAGTATGATGATTCTTAATAGTACTCACGCCAAATCCTTCATTGTGTTGGTGAACCAAGAAATTGATCAGATCTTGTAAGATATATTTTGTGAGAGAAACATCCTGTTGAAGGGCTCACGCAATGAACAAGTGCTGGCCCCATTGATAGATGCGGTTGGTAAGGGTATTGGTGAGGGCAGAATCTATGAGAAGAAGAACAGATTCATTGGTCAAGCCTGTGTTATTGAACTTGCACTTGATAGTCTGTATGCAGCAAGCTTCCACATTGAGTTCTTCAACTGCCATGGGGTTTTGGAGGAGGCGAAAACTATGGACTGATTGTCCATAATTAGGGGAGGAGCCACCAACATCTTCAGGAGAAGAGGATATCATATGGCACTCGGCCAAATTAGAGCCACCAAGGTCATCTTCAAGTTCTCCTGCCATATCTTGTGCAGACACTGGCCAATCAGGTTTCATAAGAGGTTGAGATAACAATTGTTCTATTGGCTCCAGGAGATGGACATTGCATCCAAAGCTATTGCCTTTGGGTCGGGGAGCCAGAACACATACATGGGAAGAAGATGAGTGATCTGATCTGGGAAGAGGTCCACATTGTGTGGTTCCCGTATCAACTGTGGTATTTCAGGTACGAAACAATAGAAAAATAAAATATTTGATAATAGAGACGTATAGAAATACTTTGAGACTGTATATAAGTTGTCTTTATTCATAAATAAAAAGTGTCCCTTTTTATAAGAAAACACAATCTGCTCTTGTCATTACGTCTTAGTTTCTTAAGGCTTTCTTCCTTTACTATATTTGGTTATTAGAGTGTATTTACTGCTTAACTAGTGTCGGTGTTACAATTATGACATCAAGTCATAAATCGTACTTCTTTAGCTCTTAGCTATTCTTTTCTCTTTTATACTAGAGCTTTAGGACTTCCTACTAAATTAGCTCCATATCGATCTGACACAGTTTACCCAGCAGTATGATATAATTATCTTAACAATCTTTAAGATATTATCTATAGTACTAACTGTAATAATTATTGGGCTGATTACTTAATCGTTTATATATATTTTATACTGACAAGATGATAGCTACTACGCTATCCCAATATGAATATGTTCTTATATGTGATAAATCCAACATCCGAGTGTCTGGATCACCACATCAACTGTATCATACTGAATGTTGCCTTGGAGAGTTTCCAGAGGATCTTCATAAAAGTCTGGTGAGATTCCAGATCTGCAGTGACATTGTCCTTCTCTGCAATGTGCTGTGCAGCCAATTAGAGACCACGGTGGATACACCATCTCCAAATCATTGTGGCCAGTTCCATTGGATGGAAGGCATGTGAGCCACCTTGCTTGTTGAGGTACAGCATCGATGTAGTGTTATCAGTGCGGATAAGGACTGAGGTGTCCTAAATGGAAGGAAAGGTGAAGAGAGTCAGTTGAACTGCTTTCATTTCGCGCTAGTTGATTGACATCTTGGCTTCCTCATGTGTCCAGTATCCATGGACTGTGTGGGTGCCCAGAGCACAACCTTATCCAGTATTGCTCGCATCTACAAACAAAATGTGTTGGTGTTGTTGAGACAAGAGAGAGTGACCATTCCACTGTGAGAGATTTAGTTTCCATAATCACAGTTTGCGAAGACAATGAGGGGGAAGACGATGACCCACATCCCAACCAAGGTTCTGGTGAACGTGTTTGTTCTTGAACCATATCAGATGCTGTGTGTATAGGCAGGCCGGAAAGAGGGCAATTGTTGCGGCCTGAATTCTCATAGTGAGGCTATAGACTAGACGGGGAGAGGGAGACACATTGGTGATAAGTTGGCGAATCGATTGGCAAAGATTGTAAAGCTTTGTCTCAGGAAGCTTTGTTGTCATAGTTTGGGTATCCAACAAGTAACCAGGATGTTCTAATTACTGAGATGGTTGGAGAGACGACTTCTTCAGGTTCAGAAGCCACCCCAGGGATTCCAGCTTGGTCATTAATAGCTGCGTGTGAGCCAAAGACTGTTGAGGAGAATCTGCAATGATAATTCAATCGTCCAAATAAGTGCTTACGCATATTTCACATCATTGTCCCCTTTCTGAACTGGCCGTGTAACCTTGATGAAGAGTCAAGGAACAATAGAAAGACCAAACGAAGTCGTTCAAAATTGGTAAGTACAATTTTCCCAACAAAAACAAAGATATTCGTGGGATGCATGGTAGACAAGAAGATGGAGAAAAGCATCAAAGAGATTGAGAGAGGTCAAAAAGTTGCCAGATTGAATCAACTTGCACACGGCTTGCAATGTTTCTATCTTGAAGTGAGGGGCAGTCAAGTGTTTATTGAGGTGTTTGAGATTGAACACAGGACGGTACCCACCATTCTTCTTGAAGATAACAAACACTGGACCGTTGAAGCCAGGAGAGTTGAGAGGAGCAGGTTCTATTCCTTTTTTGTGCAACAGTTTGGCTATCTCTTGACAAAGAAGATGCCTTTGAGAGTCATCCATTGGAATGGTTGGACGGCTATGGGTCAACAGAGGAGAGAGCAGATTGAAGTGAATCTGGAATCTGTCAGAGATGATACTATTCAACCACTTACTGTCAGACAGTCTCTATTATGCCAGAGAGAACTGACTGAGCCACCCACCCACAGGAGACGAATCTATTGGGGTCCGGATTGCTTGGGGTGGGGGGACTTTGATTGTGGAGAACGAGATGACTGGGAATGGGCTCAATGTCCATGGGTTGAGATGCGCTGATTGGAATGCCCGCCTGCAGTATGTGACAGGCTGGATCGAAAAAACGAATCTCTGGGTGCGGAGGAGGCAGGGGTGGATGGACGTGACTTGCAGAATGAAGAAACAGCCTTGTGCACAGACTCCTGTGAATTCACTTGTTCCAAAAGAAATTGTTGGAATTTGGAAGGATCTATAGTGTAGTTCTTGGTGGAACTACTGTCAGTCACTTAGAATTTAGGATTAAACAACTGCATTGCCAGTTCATTGCGAGATTGTGTGATAGATGCAGAAGTGTGAACAAGTAAGGAACGCAAGTTCTAAATCATAGCAAGAAAACGTGATGCTTGCAATTCAGGAACACTGGGAAGAATTTTGTAGGCCAAGATGTCCAATGGCCAGAAAGAAGCAGACAAATTATACTGTATGTTATGTAGAAGAGTGTCTTCCTTTACTTGATGTGGCTTGAATTGAGCCAGAGCAACGGGAAGAGTAGCAGGAGGAGAGTAAATCATATCTTGGATAGGTGGGTAGGCATCAATAATCTTCTTGTGGGCCGTGGTATCCAATATGAAGGTAAAGAGAGCCACTGACATGTCAGTGGTAGCTTTCAAAAGCTCAGATAGAGTTCAACTATAGGTTGCACAAACAGAGATCGTGTGTAGTGTAAAGGAGGATGTATTCTCCAGTGACACCAAGTGAGCCTGCAAAGCAGTGATGGTTTGAGTGAGTAGAACAAGATCAAAAGGTTTAGACATGACAGAGAAAATCAGGTAGTGGTAATGACCAGCAAAAAAGATGATCAATTAGATACACAAAGAATAAGAAATTACTTTATATAGTTTTTTGTTGTTTAAATAAAAGATGATTAATAGCACTTGGGCCTTGTCTTCCTGTTTGATGGTCTCATCAAATTCTGAGAGAATTCTAAATTCAACTGTTAATTTGAGAATTTAAGGTGCACAATTCGAACATTTAAAGTGCACAATTTGAGAATTTAAGTTGCACAATTGAGTGTATGTTATATTGTATAAAAAATGGGGAAGTTGACGAAGTGAAGACAAAAGATGTGGTGTCATATAGGCTCTCCGAGCCGCGCTTTTATTTTTTGAAAATATATAAATTAATAAAGTTATCATTCCCCTTGTTCCTCATATTTTTCCATGCTAAGCTAGTCATATTTGTTGCTATTGATGTGGTAATTGGGGAGGGAAAATGTCTGGTAAGTATATAGAAAATAATAAATAATAGTCAAAATGGTAATAGTCTTGAGTACCAGCAGCAGGTAGCTACCACATCTTTCGTCTTCACTTCGTCGACTTCCCCATTGTATGTCGTACCTAACACAATTGGTGTTGACTTCGTTACAACTACAGATGTGGTACTGTTCTCAGTACTAGGCACAAATATGGCTTCTGTAATCTGTGCTCCTCTGGAATGTTGTTCATTTGGCTTAAAGTAATATTGCTCAAATGTATTACTTGACGAACTCCAGTTGGCATGCCATTTGACTTCTTCTACTGGTATTCCTTGCAGTATTGCATGAGTACTTGCAGCTGATCTTGTGGAGTGTGCTGTATATTTCCTGGTATCAATCCCGGCTTCTTTTAAGATGTTGGTCACCCAGTTGGCTACTGTTGTTGGTTTTACGGGTGTCGGTTTATCCGAGTCAATATATCCCAAGAAAAGAGTGTGGTCTATTTCTAACTTCTCCCTAGTCATGGCCGTTCTTTTCACAAACCAATCCAAGGTCAAAACTGGGCAGATTTCTGGAGTGCGAATAGTTCCTAACTTTGAGGACTTGGCCTGACCCTCTTTTGGCTCCCGTACAATCAATGTAACTCCTACTAGTTCTAGTTTCTCATTGTACTGTAGTTTGACGTCTCAAAACTGTAGGCGGCCCATATCCGATCTAGGTCGCCACATTGTTGCTAAACACAAAAGCATAATGGTCTTTTGTTGTAATTTTCCTAAAGGAAGATTCTCGCTTGGTCCCCAAGATTCCAATAACTGTAATACTGGTTGTACATCCCATGTTTTGTTGCTGATATTGGGTAATTTAAATGTTGTTCATTTCTTTGCTTTGAAGAAGTTTTGGATCAGAGGATGATCTGCCAGTGGAATTTTGGTAGGATGTGTAATGCGATATACGGATCCCAAGGATGACCTTGCTACATTTAGTGTTTGGGGCGACTGATGTTTTATTGATAAAAGGTATCGTACTACTTGCATTGGTTGATATTCTTCTGGTATGACTTCTGGTGTTTGATGTGCACACCACTCAACCCATCTCTTCCATCCACTATCATATATTCTTTGCGTGCTACTTCTGGTGGACTGAGAAAGGAAATCAATAATCTCGTCGTCTAATCCGTCTATCTCTTGTTTTTTGCGGATAATATCCATGCGCTTAGAGACCATGTCCTGTTTATTGGAATGTACATTGGTAGAGCAATACTCATCTGTAGAAGCATCGGCCACCAAAATTGGGTAGGCCAATTTGGGGCCACTAGAATCGCTTTCTTCACCTTCTGTTCCTGAATTCGTTGCAATACTTTGGGAATCAACTTCCACGGTGGGTGTAAGTATAGTCCTACCCGTGGCCAGTTTTGGTAGAATGCGTCTTGAGCTTCTGCTTCTGGGTCTGGAAATAGGCTCCAAAACCTTGGTAGCTTCGTGTTGTGCCGTGCTGCAAAAGCGTCTATCGTCATCTTCCACCTCAATTGTTGTTGAATCCGGCGGAACCATGTCCGTGGTAGACTCCACTCGTAAATCAGTGTTGCTTGTCGACTGAGACGATTGGCTATTACATTGTCTATCCCAGCTATGTGTTGGTACTGTACGGTGAGGTTGTGGCTTTTGGATATCTGGTATATCTCCAGAGCCAGTTGCTGCAGTATCGCTGATGCGGTTCCTCCCAATTTGTAGGCATACTTTAGTGCTGTGGTGATCCAGACACTTGGTTGTTGGATTTATTACATCTAAGAACATATTCCTATTATTATAGTAAAACAGCTATCATTACAAGAACAAATGAATAATTTATTTATTTTACTTATGGTAAATCAATAAGACCAATAATTAATTACAGTAAGTACTGTAATTATGACAGCTCAGTAAGCACTGAGTTAATATGAGGACACTGCAATTAGATTAAATTATAAACATAGCAGTACCAGCTCTCTAATATCTAAATGAACTCAGACTTAAGAAATTAAGATGTGACTGACAAAGCAGATCGTGTTTTGATATAAAAAGGACAACTTTGTATTCTTTAATAAAGACAACCTATATACAGTCTCAAAGTATTCTTATATACGTCTCAATCTTTTTACTGTTGATTTTATTCTATAAAACTTCACAAGTGCTGTTGTGTTGTCCGAGTATATCATTATGCTGGAGTTTTCGGATTTTCTTGCGTGCAGTTGTAGTGCAATCAAGATTGTCTTCAGCTCCCTGACATTGATCAAATCTTCTTTTTCGTCTCTTGTCCAATATCCAGCTGTTTGGATCATCTGGGATGAGACTCCCCAGCCCGAGTCGGATGCGTCGACGTGTATTGTGAGTGTTGGTGGTGGTGGTATTGGTTTTCTGATTGGCAATCCATTTGCGGCTTCTGCGTTTTCGACCCACCAGTTCAACTCCTTTTGTGCTTCCAAAGATAAAGGGCAGCTTGCTTCCCATCTTGTTGCTTTCGCTTGAAGTGCTTTTGATAAATCTCTCTGCATGTACCAGACGTGCAGCATTGACTCCCCTATTGCCGGAATCATGGCCATCATTTTCCCTATCAAGCTGGCAATCTATCGGCACGATCTCACTTGTGTGAATGCCTGTTTGACTTGGGCGTTCAAGTTTATCATTTTCTTCTTTGGAACTTTGATGTCCATAGCCTTGGTATTGAATTGAAAGCCTAGGAATTTCTGTTTATACGAAGGTATTAATACACTCTTCTGCCAGTTGATCAGATATCCTAGAGATGTTAGATGCTGGAGTACTCGAGATGAGTGCTTCTCCATCTCCGACTTGGTTTTTGCTAAAATACAAATGTCGTCCAAGTAATATACCAGGCGTATTCCCTCCTTCCGAAGAGGTTCCATCACATATCGCATGAGCTTTGAGAATACTCTCGGGGCCACACTCATTCCAAACGGTAGAGATTTGTACTGGTAAACTATATTCTTGTACTTGAACGTGAGGAATCGTCTGGATTCCTTGTGTATTGGTACGACAATGTATGCATCTTTTAGATCTATCTTGATCATCAAGTCTCCTGGCTCTATTATATCCCTCAGGGCAGGTACACCTTCCATCTTGAAGTGATAGCACTGGATAAACTGGTTGATCCTCTTGCAGTCCAGGATGGGTCTGCATTTGGTTGCTTCCCTGACAATAAAGAATTGGGATAGGTAATCCTCGTTCTGTGTCAGTGATATTTCTATTACATCGGAGATCTTGAATTTCTCTACTGCCAAATCTACTTCTTTCTGATCTTTGGGTGGTAATGACAGTGTTTTGGTTCTCCAAGCAATGGGGGGCGATGTCCATTGTATTTGGTAACCTTGTTCCACTACCATTATTGGCCATTGTTGGTTGATGACATTCTTCCAGACGGATAGAAATCTGTTCAATCGTCCTCCTGGAGGAATTCCATCTGTTGGTATGTTGTAGTGTTGTTGTGTAACCGAGATTAAGTTTGACGGGTTTTGTGAGACTGATGCTGATGTGTTCTGATCCATTTCTGGCATATTCATTGGATAATCTAGCTGTGATACTAGATGATCTTTCCCTATTGCTGGTTGAGAGGATTGTTGTTTGTTGATGGGCTCTGGTGAGCATTGAATCCTGTTGGATTCGATTTTCCTCTCTCAAAAAAAGGTTTTTGTGTGTAAGTGGACTGTCCTCTACTAAAGAAGTTGCCTCCACGGCCTCTTCCTCTGCCTCTATGACCTCCATTGGAGTATCCTCCGGTGGAATATCCTCCTCTCTTGTTACTGACAGCACTCTGGAGGACAGATTCTTCGTATCTTGCTTGTTGGATTTTCTCTACCCACTCCTGATCGAAGGCCGTGTCTTTGTCGTTGTCATCTTCATCTTCGAGATATCTTGCTCTTGTGGGGAGCTTAATTGCTCGGATGCTGAGTTCTTTGGCATCTTCGTCCAGCGTTTTTCCACTTGCGAATGCATAGACGGTCAAACGCCTGACTTTTTTGATGAGTTCATCAAAATCGGCTGCGTCTTTATTACTACTTTGTTGTGATTTAATATACTTGAGGTCGTTGAAGACTTCACTTGCTGCTCTTCCGGCAATTCGAAGTTTGTTGCCATCTTTGTATTTGCCTTGTACAATCTGATGGGCATCCATGGTGTATTTCTTGAGGTCAGAGACAAAAATCTGGTTGATCACTCCTGACTTTGTCCATTTTCCACCCTCAAATTGGAGGGTGTCTTTTGTGAATCGAATAATGTTCGACTTGAGACCTTTCGCTGAAGACTCATCCAAATCTTTGAGGATTTCTTCTGGGAGGTTATCTCCGTCATAATCTCGTTGTCTCTGTTGTGCCTGCTGTCCAAGCTTAATAAGCTCAAGGATTTGTTTGGGTGAAAGTTCATTGATATTCATTTAATCCACGGTGCGCGGCTTGGAAAGATATGAGGAACAAGGGGAATAATAACTTTATTAATTTATATATTTTCAAAAAATAAAAGCGCGGCTCGGAGAGCCTATACGACACCACATCTGTAGTCGTAACGGAGTCAACACCAATTGTGTTAGGTACGACATACAATGAGAAATCACAAAGGTTCTTTATTTTCACATTTTGTGAGCTGGTTTACAGAATGTTGGACAATGCTATAGTAGTCTTCATTGCTAAGACTACATCATTCATTCTCGATTCTGGTGAGAATATTCTCATTGTCATTTAAACTCTTTCTTCGCACTCTGTTCTTCACTACTTTCTAAAACATCTCAATAGGATTGAGTTCTGGAGAGTATACTGGAAGGTAGACCTAATTGTATCTCCTAGAGGAGATATAGTGACTGATATCTGCATTCTGGTGGATGGGTGCATTATCTATCACCAGAAAGTTCCCCTTCATATTGGCATACTTGTCTATCTCACCAAGGACAGCTTTCACGAACATAAAGTAATGTTTGACCACTGTACTCTTTGAGCCAGACTTACCAGAAAAGGGCTGCTTGCAGAACTTAGGATTCTTCAAGCTGATGCATATGAGACCTTTGGTCAATATAGCCCCAAGAATGATAAGAGGGTGAGATCTGGTAGTGAGGGTGGGGTGACTCCCTCATTTCCCTTCTCAGACCATTCTCTTCTGTTTTGCATGTTTATATCAAAGACAGACTCGTCCAAGAAAACGCAGTTTGTTATATAGTTGGAACTTGTTTTCTTCATCTGCAGAAGTCAGTTATATCTTGCTTCAATTTTTTTTTGCTGTTTTTTGCTACAGGCTACTTATAGACCTTTCTGAATGTGAGGTTGCATTCATTGGCTCACTATGGAAAAAAGGGGCGTTTTTTGTAATTGTGACTTCATTTTTGGTCTATAATAATTAAAAAATCACCAAAAAAATCAAAATGAAACTAAAAATTCTCTATTTTTTGAAATAGCTGACAAAAAGTAAATTGACTATCTAAAATTAAATCTCAGAAGAGACAAACATTCTTTTTGATTATAGATTTTATATTTTTAGCAAGTGTAGCTTGCAATTGATAGTTATTAAAAGTCAGAAGTAAAAAGAGAAGAGAATATCTAAACTTTTTGCAGAGGACAAAATATATTAAGACAATTTGAAATAATACACAAAAGTTAAGACAATTTGAAAAAAATATATTATAAAAAAAACATAAATCATATGTCTTTGTATTGACCAAGATTTAGTTTTTGCCTACAATTTAGCTCTGGCCAGACAATATATTTTGTTGTTGCTGTTGTTGTTGTTGTGCTGCTTATTGCATCTGAAACTACCAGACCAACTAACTCCTTGACATCTGCCAGGTAGACTACCTTTAGCTTCATTTGTTCATTTTTTGCCACCAGCACACTATTATATTCTTCAACAGAATAAACCTGTACTAAGAAAAGTGGCCATCTTTTTCCAGAATTCTCATGCTCAAAAAAGAGAACAATCTTATCAAAAAAAATCCTTTATGATAGGAGTATACCTCTGACGTACATTACAAAACAGGTCAACCTGGACCTGTAGACAAACGTGATGGGCCTCTCTTAACGGGGTTTGGGCAAATGAAGAGTCAATCCCACAGCCATTAACAAAAGCCTTGTGACTTGTTGTCATGACCAGTTCAATCCTGCTATATTCAACCCCCTTCGATTCATAGAAAGCTTGAATCAGAATCGGAAGGCAAGAGATGCCTTCGAAACTTTCATCAATCAATCTATGTCTCAAAGGCCCTCAGAACTCAATATCTAATTTGGCACCAACATGCTCACCCTCCTCTGTCATCGGCCAACCAGCAGACACATCATCGTACTCTAACACAATAGCTCTATTGACGTCTTCCCCAGAATCTTTCAGGTCTATACGGCGTGTCCAAGCTAAACGAACCATAATGTTGCCAGCATTAACACTAATGGCAGAGTTACTCTTTATTGAACGAGAGTACTCGCCAATGACACGCTCTAGTGATCTGGCACTATATGCTCTTGGGGGACCATATGCATCTACCATTTCTGGATAGTACTGCAGCAAGTGCTGGTTAATTGTAAACACTGGCAACTCAACCAAATCTTTCACATAGAGATTTTCAATGTATGTGTTCCATGAAACAAGTTTTCTAAGAGAAAAAAATAGAATAAGTCTCAGAGAAAGATAAACATTGACTAGCGTTAACAATATCTTTTTAAAGAGGTGTGCTCCTCTGCTGATAACTCTCAGCTCATGAGTAAATTACATGCCTGTACAAGGCCAAGCAATGTCTTCTGTGCATCTCGATCATAGACACACTCTGCCACCAGCGTGGGAACTACAAATAGTAGAAAGTCTGACCAGTCTACAGCTTGGAAATATCCAATGTGTCTTGCCACATCTCTCCAAGCACCATGGAAAGACGTTGAGATTGAACGTCATGTGTTTGCTATCACCAAGCCAATTTCCTTTTGAGCACTAACAGAAAGGAAAAGAGGGTGATTACTCCCATACTTGCCACATACCAGTCCCCAAATTTGCTTGCCAATTTCATGGCAAAGTCCATGCATTTTGTCAAGAGCAAAAAAGAGTGGGCCTGTAAACGATGCGAGTGAGACGAAGGCAGACTGTCCTGTGAGGCCCTTGCATGACAAACTTGTATTATCAAAATTTTGGAAGCGTTCCAGAGTGCAGATGTTAGTCCCTGGCAAGAATCGGAAATACTGTCCACGGCCAGGAGTTTGGGCCACAACATTACATATCCGGCAGCCATTTTTGCTCATATGGCCAGCATGACATGCCAGCTTTGCAACTGCTGGAATATTGCCAGTCACTATGAGAACGTGAACTTTTGCTCGATTTGTTGCAGTCTGGATTTTGACTATCATTCCTTTTTCTTGGAGTACCTTGAGTTCCAACAAGGTTGGCTTCAATAAAGATCAAAAGTCGAGTGGTGCGAATGGGTCTGAGATCATTGCGATTTGCAACATTCAGTTTTTCTTGTAATGGACCATTGGCAGAAGGTTGAGAATCGTGGCATACAGGATTGTTATTGAATCAGAGATGTTGTGAAATGCAAAGCCATTGAACGACAGCAAAATGGCAATTTCATTCTCATTGGTAAAAATATGTTTCTTTGTTTGATATGCATGTCCGTCAAAGATATCTGATTTGCTACCATCAGAATTCTGTTCATGGTTGTGGTGGTAAAGCATTTCAGCGCTGGTAGTACCGTTGGCCAACACAAGAGCAAGCTGTCTCACCAAAGCAATCTGGACCATGTTCTTTGCAGCAACTGGCATATCATCCTTATTGGTTTTATCTGCTTTATAACGATCTTCACCACAATGTTTGCATACGATTTCATGTGCCTCATTGAACATCATACAGCCTTTAGGGCAGACACTGTAGATGTTTTCTTCTACATCAGAGTAACGCTTTAAGAGTTTACTGCCAAGGTATGGAGTACATGCTCTGTATGTGATCTCAGTTGACAGTTCCAGAATCTTGTTGAAATGGGCGGTAAGCTTTTCCTGGGCTTGACAGGAAATGTCAAAGTCATTGATTATCTTAATCAACTCCAGATTCTTTGCATCGTTCTTGCTGGGAATAGGAGAAGGTTTGCTAAAATCAAAAACCAAGAGAGAAGTGCCACTTTCAATGTCATTCTCATATTCGATATCACACTTTAATAACGCAAAAGCAAATTAGTACAATGCATTTATATATGCACATATATATATCTTACTATGGGATCATTGAGGTCAGTGTTATTATTACCATCAGTGCTGTCATGACTAATTATGTTTGTATTTTCTTTGTTTATTTGAAGTATCAATATTGTTAATACATAGTCTGCCTTTTTTAACTTTTGTTTTTCTCAAACTCACTTAAGCATCAAGCCTGGAATCGCAGCTGAAACAGACTGGCTAGACATCAAAAGCAAAGGAGCTGCAGACAAGTGTGCATTTCTCATATTTTCCAACTGATTTTTCAGGCACTGGGTTAAGAACTTCTCAGCCATCTTCATATTACTGTAGGCTTTTTTGCAAGAGCCACATTTATGGGGGAGAGTTTTTTTAATTGATGGCATTTTTAAATAGGTAATTGAGTAACTTTGGTAAGAATAGAGATAATTATCTTCTCAATACACGTCTTTATACTTAATCCATTGAAGGTGACAATGATATAGATAATTTGAACTCCCTCACAGAACTAGAAAAGGTAATAACACGTGGTATGTAGTTATTGCAGCTATTATAATAAAAACAACAAATCCTGTTAAATCAATAAATATACCAAAATAAATTTGATAGTAATTAGAAAAAAAAAAATTTCTTCCTCTTTTTTCCTTTTTTTTCATAACAAACCCATATTCCTATTTTTTTAATATAATCAATAATACTGATTATACAATTCTCCAGATATTTCAGGCTATGCAAGAAACACTTTTTGCTTTGCAAAAAGGCCAGGAAGAACTCCAGATTGGACAAGACGCACTCAAGAAAGGTCAAGAAGCACTCCAGAAAGAATAAGCGTTGCTTAGACAGGAAATTGCCAATGTTTGTAAAGATATGAATGGCCAAGACAACCCAGAGCCGACAATAGTACATAATGTAAGATATAATAAAAGGAAGTAAAGTATACAGGCTAATATAAGATAATACAGAATCTTGGTGGAGCAATTCCAAGACCAGTACCAAATATCAAAGATATAACTTTGGTACATATCTACAGAATGCTGAGCCACGATCTTGGGGTTGAGCTGGATAAAAAAAACAAGGCAATCCTTCACACTTGTACAGGCCTTGTCTGCGATGAGCTGGCCATTATTCCTTCTGTGCAAGCTCTAGGACAATATCCAAACTGGAGTGCAATTTCTTAAGAGGACAAGAACTGGGCATGCACCAGACACGCCTGTCCACTTAGAAACAATGGTATAGACTTTACCAGATGCCACAAAAACTGGGCATCTGTTGCAAAGGTCAGCCAATTATGGAAAAACTGTAAAAAGCGACAGTAGATTGTAAGTCTACGTTTGGTAGGTATCATAGAATAAAATATCAACTATCAATAAAGTCTGTAGTGAATAAAATGATATTTAGCCAGTATAATCTATATATATTAAGTCATTTTTTGTTTTGAAAACCAATAAACTATTTTTTGTTTTGACAACCAATAAACCATATTTTGTAAAATTTATTTCTATTCCAACAACCAATAAAATACTCATTTATAAGAATATTTGTTGAAAAATATATTTTTAATCCAATTAAAATGATTAATAACCCAATCTCTATATAAATAAAAACTAATCAAGTGAATATTATTTGTAAAGTGACCAATAATTATAGAAATAAGGTTAAAATAGAAATTATAATATCCAATAAAAGAGAATTATAACCCAAGACTTTCATATATAAACACCAATAAAAAGGCAAATATAGATTACAAAAATGTGTATCAGTAACTGAATAAAACCTCACATATGTCAATGAGTGAGGTTATACAATAATCCATAACAGGCAGGAGGTAAAAAAGTGGGTAGGTGAAAAACACCCATCTGGGTGACCTTCTGAGTGGCCCCCCAGTGAACCCCCGGCAGACCCTCTTTTTTTCCTGTAGTGGCTATAAATCTCCTGATAGTCTCTTTCAACACATCAATCTCTCCAAATACTGAGATAAGATAGTCCATCACATCTTTAACATAGACAGATGCATCTTTGGCAACAAATTCTTTAATGCACTTCTTGTGCTTATCAGTTAGCCCTTTTTTCCCACCCTTCTTGCCATGGTTGAACAAGTTGTCTAGGTCTTTATAATACACTGAGTGTTGAAAAATAATGCAAGAATTTATAGTCCAAAACCTCTCTAAACTTACACGATATTCTTCTTCTTCTAAATTCACATGTTAATAAAGCAATCAAAAAACTAAAAGCACTAATATGGCATCTACACCCAGAACTGAAGGAAGAAAAAAAATTGACAATGTAACTCGCGTTATTATTATACATGAGAGCATTACAAATGGCACCAAGCAATGTGACATTGCTAAGATGCTTAATGTTAGCCCTTATACTGTTTCAAGAGTGCTTAAGCACTACAAAGAAACTGGGTCGTATGAGAGAGTCAAGAACCCAAGGAGACCAAAGAAGTTAAATGCAAGAGATAAAAGAGAGATCCTGCATAAGATTTCAAAGGATCCAATGCAATCAATGTCTTATATCAGAAAAATTCTTGCTAATCCCATATTAGCAAATACTTTAAGATATTTTCTTCACAGTCATGGCATATATTACTGTAGAATGATGAAGAAGCCCAAGATATTTATTGAGAATCAAAAGAAACACATTGCATGGGCCAATGTTCATCTTGATTGGAGTATTAAGTATTGGGAAAATATCATTTGAACTGATGAGAAACGATTCCAACTTTTTGGTCATAATGGTCACAAGAGAGTTCTTTGCAAGAACAATACTGGTCTTCGTACTACATTTATCTCTCCAACCATGAAGTTTGGAGGTGGTTCTTTTATGGTTTGGGGTTGCTTCTTCAGCAAGGGTGTCAGAGCTTTACAAATCATAAATGGACAAGCGAATGACAAGAAGCATGTCAAAGTATTAGAAGAGATATATCTTCCTTCTCCCTTAGCCTTCCAGCAGAAAACTGGTTGGAGTGACTTGGTACTCCAAGAAGACAACGCCAAGGCACACACCAGCAATAATGCTGTAAATTGGAAGAACTAGCATAAGCTCAAAGTTTTGGCTGACTGGTTTTCTCAAAGTCTGGATCTTAATTCCATTGAGCATCTATGGGATTATGTTAGCAAAAGAGTCCAGTCAAAAAGATACAGCTTGCACAGCCTGAGATATCTTTATGCTGCTCTTGAGAAGAAATGGAAGAAAATTTCTCAGAAATATTTGGATAGCTTGATTTCAAGTATGCATCGAAGATGTCAGGCAGTAATTAGCGCAAAAGGCTGTCCAACAAACTATTAATAAATATCAAGTCTAATGGCATATTCTGAAAGTATATATAAACTACTGTATATCATTTTAATTTTAGATGTATACTTTTTTTCTTGATACTTTTTTTTAAATCAAAGAAGTGCATGTTAGACTGAAATTTAGGCAGCTGAGAGAAAATTATGTGTTTTTTAACACTCGGTGTATGTCTTCACTCAATGTTGTGTCACTCTGGTGCTTATGTTCAATTGCTTTGCTGCATCCTTGGCATTAAGCAATTTCTTATCCTTCAGCTTGAAGAACTTGATGATGTCTTCATCAGTATAAAAATTATACTGACGAGTAGTCTTGCTTCTTTTTGGGGGGGGGGGGGGGGGGGAAATGCTTGGACTTCCTGCTTGGTTCTCTGTCTGGTCACTCTAAATTGGATACATATATTTAAATACATTTTTAATTATTATTATTTTTTAAAAAATATCTCTGAGGCTTCTGAAATCCTATCTCTATTTCTTTATTCAAGAAATTGGGAATGGGTTGCTATTGTCTCAAGACCATGATAATCCTCATCAATTATATAACGCAAAGCTTGAGAGCCATCTTTATTAATGCTCTTACTTTGACTATCTTCATGCACAAATTTAAAGGAGGGCATTTTGTTATAGTAAAAGCTGAGATAAATAAGAAAGAAATGTATATTAATTTCTTAATTATAAGTAAAGTTTTATACATGTGATTCTTTTTGTGAAGTTCATTCACAAAAGTTAATAGAGACAGTCACAATATATTACAGTTAGTCACATTATATATACTGAAACTAAGGCTTTTGGTTTTATAGCTTTTTGTTGCTACTAACATTTTGAAAAAGTCATTTTATTTCTTAGTTGTTATATATAAATGGGACTTGATGTACTTCTTGTATGATTTTTGCAAGAAAAAATAATAATATGTGTTTGGTACGTCACTTTTTGTTTTTCTAAAAAAGAAATTAAAATCTTAAAAGTATACCTTATTTTCTCAAATTATGCACCTTAAATCCTTGAATTGTGCACCTTGAATTTTTGAATTGAGCAACTTACAAATGTTTTTTACAGCATAAATATACATGTTTACCCAGTTTTTTTTGTCTTTCATTTTTCTAGTAAATGATACAAAAATTTCCAATGTTTCATAATTAATAAGCCATTTTTATTAAGTTCAATGGCTTTATATGTATCTTTCAAGAAAATTACTGGCAGTTTCCCCCTAATCCTTGTAATTCTTCCTTGCAAACTTGAGGTATCTATCTGTTTTTTTTGTGGGGAGAAATAAAGCAATAAGAAATGTAGACAAAAGAATTTGTGAGAACTTGTGTATGTTGTTTATTTCAAAGAAAAGTAAAGAATAATCAAATTCGATTGTTTTTTATATAGAACTATCTACTGATATTTATATATCTTTCTAATTTGTGTGCTTAAGTAATTTTTATCACAATGAGTCATCTTCCAGAAGTATTGTTCTTCAGAAAAAGATCAATTGATATGATACTTCTCCAGTTAGATCAGTCTGAGAGTTTTGGTAAAGAAGAGCATTTATGCTATTAGTAATATTTTTGTATTCCAACCCAGATATTTAGACAATGTTCCATAATATTAAACAGTTGCAGTTGTAGTCTCTCAATTAAGTATTCGTATAATAAAAGAAGGGGAAGTTTACAGACAGCCTGAAAGTGTATTACATCATCTAGTCATGTGTTTGTGCAAATGTCATATTGGCAGGACAGCCTGAATAGTCTGAATAGCCTGTGTTGAAATGAGTATTGACTACTGCTGTAATTGAGAATGAGTCTGAAGGAAATAATATAAGGTCTCAGCTATTCTAGTCAAAGGTGTCTACCGATCAATTTATAATTTAACATACAAGTTTATTATGCATGATAGTGATTATATTTCATATGATGATATCACCATAATATGGAATACATCAGTGGATTATTATAAGCATAATTATAACTCGTAAATACATTTACTTTCGATGTTAATACTTCATTGAGACTACACACATTTATATAATTAATCATACATTAATTATTTCAAGATCACATTGCTCTGATTAAGGCTCAGATAGGATCAATTACCTGACCCCAGTCATATAATTTTCCCAATCCAAAACAATATAAATAGCAGTAGTAGTTCAGTATAGGAACCTGGTCAAACTTTGATACCAAATCTTTTCTTAATAAACAAAATCTACACAAGTTCTCATGAATCTTCGTTTCTAATCTCAAATCTTCAATTCTTCTTCTTAAAAACTTCTTCAACTTCAACCACCACAACACTGCACATTATCCGCAGTAGCTATTATATTATATTTAAATAAAAGAAGAGTCATTATACTGCGATTAATGCTTAGGAAAATGTTACTGTCAGAGTTGACATTGGTGCCCAAAATTGGGAATTGCAAGCAATCAGTATTGGTTGACTTTTTAAGATAAAAGATCTTGACATTGCCAATTGGTCTCTTGTATATGTTTTAGATGTTTAAGATGATGAATATACTTGTAGAAGATATTACTGGACAACAAGCATCTAAGACATATTATTATAGCTATTCTTTTAGCCAGAAATTAAACATCATTTTGTATAAATAGTCAAGAAATATAATTAATAAAAAGCATCTTTATTCTTATCAAAAAAACTGTTCTTAAAACTTGATGATCCCCAGTAGTATTGATTCTGCAACTTAGTTGTCAGAGTTGACATTGGTAACCAAAATTGAGATTTACAAGCAACCAGTAATGGTTGACTTTTTAGGATAAAAGATCTTGACTTCGCCGATTGGTCTTTCACATATGTTTTAGATGTTTAAGATGGTGAATATACTTGTAGAAAATATTACTGGACAACAAGCATCTAAGACATATTATTATAGCTATTCTTTTAGCCAAAAATCAATTATCATTTTGTATAAATAGTCAAGAAATACATTTAATAAAAAGCATCTTTATTCTTATCTAAAAACTATTCTTAAAAACTTAACAATCCCCAGTGGTATTGATTCTGCGACTTAGTTACAAGTGCCAGAAAAGAAATAGCAGATTGAGACTTGGCAATTAGTAGCTGAATGAACAGTTCCTCTGATCAGAACAGTGTCCAGTTTACTAACGCCCAGAAGAAAAATTTGAAATCGAAGAACAAGTTCAGGCCTTGCTTCCTGCTGAACTTGCTAGTTCTTTTGCTACTTCTCATACCGCGCCTTCACTTCCTGAAGAACTGTGTCTCCGTTTCTCTCCTTCCCATGTAGCTTTTTGGGACACTCAAGCCCAAAACATAGTTGGCAAACTATCTGGTGTACCTGTTTCTACACCTCCTGCTCCCAACTTTCCGGTCCACATACCTGTTACCAGCTCTTTGCCCATGAGTACTCCTCCTGCTCCAGTCAACCCTGCTGCTCCTGCTGCTCCTGCTGCCATGACCATACCCAAGTCAATTACAGCTTTTACTACTGCTTTTCGTAGCTCTCAGCCACCTGCTGCTTATACTGAGTGGGCATTGTTTGGGCACAAGCATGGTCTTAGACGGCGTCTCTTCAATTTGTAGTCAGAGAAAGGCACAGGATAGAATACTTTCTTTTTGGGAAAAAATTGAAAATCAGACCTTTTTGTGTAGCAGTTTTACTAAGTTTTTTTGAGCAGAATTTGACTTTTTTGAAGTGTATTAAGGAAGCTTGAAACTGATAAGATACATTATTATTTTTGATAAAGATTGTTAGGGAGAATCGTGTAAAAGATATTATGAAATAATAATATTAAATATAAAGATATAATGATCATATTATATTAACTTTAAAAGCATAAGAGAAAAAATTTATTGAAGAATTGTATAAAATTATAAAAGAAAAAAAGATCGAATTAGATGGAAAGTATTAAATATGTATGTATGTATGTATGTGTGGGATGTTTTTTTAGAAGGTAATGCTGCTATCAGCAATTCTTTTTGCAAGTTCATTTAAAGATATCTTTAAATTATAACACTTATTCTCAACAAGCAGGGCAACTTCTTCTTCTGTTAAATGTTTTTCTCTAGCAAGCTGTTCCACCTCATTGTATATATGAACTCTTCTGCTAAAGAATCGATTCTGTTCTGTTATCACTGTGGATTCTCCACTTTGCCCTGAAGTTCTGTTCAAGAAATCTAATTGATAGGCTCCCAGATATTGCAACAGAATATTCGCACCATATATCTGTTACAGTTAGAATTTTTTGGCTCATTTTATAATATAATGGTATCTCTTCATTTTTGTCTGGATTTGTAACTCGGGTAAAGCTTGAGGGAGCAGACAGGGCAGAAGGGACTGAGGGACCAAGGGAAGCAGAAGTAATGGAGGGAACAGAAGGAGCAGTGTGGCCAGAGGACGCAAATGATTGTGTCTGTAAGACATTTTCAAGGCATTGTCAGATTTGAGAAGGATCATTGCAAAGATAAAACGAGGCTTGTAAAAAGGTTTCAACTAGTACATTTCTAGTCTCTAGGCCTACACTTCTGGCATTTGCAAATTCAAATTGGTTTTGGGCTTGCATAGCAGCAGCTATCTCTGGTGCAACAACTTGAATATGATCACTCACTTGAAACTTCTTGGTTGATTCACCAATGGCACCAGAAAGTTGTGCTTCAAACTCTTGGTATAGGCTTGTTAAAAATATATCACTTATTCACAAGTAATGGTTTAGATACTTCTTTCACGAAACCACAGAGTCCTATTTTTATAAATTATTAAAGAGAACTATTTATCCAAGCACTATTGCTATTTTCTTACCTGAAGAAAAACAATTCTTAAATAGGACAAAAGATCCAAAAAATTGGGACCAGTGCTGTCATCTTCAACTTCTTTCTTGTGGAATTTAGCTTTTCATGATTCAATGCTTGGGAATATCATTTGTTGCAACTCAATTGGGGGAGTGATGGTGGCACAGTCAAGGAAATATTCTCCTCTGCAAATAAAAAACCTGGCTAGAACCTTGATTGCATTAACAGGAAGACTAGAAAGATAACATCTCACCAATTTGATCCAACCCCCATCTACCAACTTGTCTTTGTTAATCACCGGAGTCGCCTTAATAGGATATCATGTTGATGGCACTCTTTTGGTTGATATGGGTAACCTTAGATGAGCTGATCCCAACTGCTTCAAATGCCAACTTGTATGCTTTTGATTGCTCATTGTAACTCATGAGTTTGCTTTAATTTTGGCCAGGAAACAAGTAGCTGTTGTACCATGTTTTGTGTATAGAAAAATCAACAAACGGTTTGTTTTCATGGTGAAATTTGGAAAAGAAATGTTGAGCTAGTGCATCAATAGGACATAATTCTTCATTGGCATGGCAAAGAGCAGATCTGTATTGAATTTTTTCATATGTAATTGTAGCTACTAATGCAACACATGGAGAAACACCTTGATTTTCTAGTTCCATTTTGAAAAGGTCAGGATATTGAGTACCAAGGGCAGTTTCACTTCTCAACAACATTGCATGACTCATAAAGAAACAAAGACAATTTCTAACTCCCACTGTACTATTTTGCTCGAAGAAGTACTGACTGAGAAGAAGAGGTTCGTTTTTTGTATATCCATTGTTGAGTGTGTTTTTTCCTCTGTTTTTATACTTGACTCTCTTGCGCTTTGTTTCCTTCTTTGTGTTTGTGTTTAGAAACTGTCTTACAATTAGTTCTCTAGGATGAAGGTTCTTGTTTAAGTCCAAAGCTACTTGCTGGTAATAAATGTCTGTTATTGCCTTAATGTAAGCCTGAATTAATTCTCTCCAAAAAGGAACAGGGGTGTTGTATTTGGAATACTTTAAAATCCGATATCATATACGAACCCAGACAGAAGTATCTGTCAAAGAGGTTGCTATAAATGATTATCCAATATGAAGTCCTATCTGAAACATAAGAGCAATGTGTCAGATCTATCATTGGATTATCTTCAAGAAGTACTTAAACTATTGTTGCAAAGCCGTTATGATGACTCATATCCAGAGTGACTGGATACATCTCAATAAATATAAATATCATAGATAAAATAACTTTTATCAAGATAATTCGATTTGACTTGAACTTTTAATAAACACAATAAAAAAGAGTCTCAAAGTACTTATTGTTCCACCTTTCCACATACAAATATAACAAGGGGTGTCATCATCATTTCTCTTGAACTTGCGGTCACAAACCATGCCAAAATCAGTGAGAAAGAAGGCAAGTTTTTTATCAGAGACAATCGTGCCATCAGCAATTTTTTTTGTTTCAACACATCAATTCTAATTTTCATATATTACATCAGATAAATAAAAAAATAGTGACATATTTAATCATGAAGAAGTAGTACTTTATTCAACTTACCATCCACTCTTTCTGCTTTGCTAGATATGTATGAGTTGTGTTCTTGGGGTGAAACAGCTGGTTTTCAGCAACAATCATCTCACTGTTTTGCTGCGTAGTCAGCCAGTTTTCCATGTTGCACTGATAGTAGTCATTGTTGAGTACATTGGTTTGGGTAGAGGAGCTGGCTTCTGTGTAGTTCATAATGAAGATGTTGATAGTGTTTTATTATAAATAGTAAGGATGTAAAGAAAAAAGAAATTGTCTTGTATTTATACTTTTTGATATTAAATTATGGCTCAATGTTATATTCAAATGTACCAACCAATGTAGTGGAAATGTAATCAGATTAAGATGTGAACTGTTAGATAGTTAAAGTTTTGGCATTCCAGCAACCATTTGTTAACATTGGTTCCTGAAAGTCATTGTGCCACACTCCCAAAAATAAGTATTCTATATCTAAAAGACAAGTATATTGTAGCTCTCTTTAGACTTTCTTTTCTTGTACACACACCCGTCACAGCTTCTATTTTTTATACTTAACTACCCATCAAGTCTATAAAGACAATATATAGTCATTGGCAGATATTTATTGTATAAATATCAAGGTTTCAACACATCTTTACTATCAATTATTTCTTTTAGATCATTTTTATATGTCTTTTGTGTTTTTTATTAAAGCCAATTTAGTACATGAGTACCACTTTTTTTCTCTAAAAGAAAATTGTTGTGCTACTAATTCCTATTAAGTCTCTATTATACATAGTTTATTAGTCCATTTAAATATCTCCTTGATTTTAGACCCGAACCTCGGATTACTGTGAGTAATTCTTGCAATTTACATAGAAAAAAAAACAATTATGAGTATTACTCACTTTTTTTCACTCTCTGATATGAAAAAAATTGGATGGCTTAAGACATGCGGGGACCTCAGGTCTGTATACACACCCACTGAGATTTTTTAATCTCAGTGATGAGAAAGAAAAAAAATAGTTTAGATAGTACATGTCTTATTGGGAATTTCCAACAAGTTTAGAGAGGGGCCTTCCTAGAAAGAAACTATGCGACAACTTTTATTTACAGAATCCTTTTATAAAAAAATTGGGGGGAATATATTGGAAAAATAATTTGGGTTTTTTAAAATATATATTTTTATTTGTTTAAAAAAAATCACTGCAAATATACATCCGGTTTACTAGGCTGCTTTTCTATACTAGCAGTCATTCTATACTAGCATCCTCTACTAAACAGTAGCCTCTTGCTGGTAATAGCGTCTTGAGAATAATATCTTATATAGAAAGAGAGCAAGCAGCTACGTAATAAAAAATTATTAGCAAGAATTACTTAATGATCTCATAGTCTGACTTTATCTTTTATACTTGAAATGACAAGATCATCTATTAAGATCAACTTACCTAAAGAAATAAAAAAGGAGTTAGTATAAAGAAGAAATAAGTTTTGTTTTATCGTAGTTTGGATACATACCTTGTACAGTCAAATATAAATATATTTATTCATCTCTATTATTAATAAAGTCTTTTGAGATTTCAATACATGTTGGTTGGATCTAATCACAATGTCAATCAGAAATGAGTTGATAAAGTACAAAACACAGATTGTATTTACTTGAATATATTCTGCTTCTTGAAATATATTGTTTTTGTTAGAATGGATATAAAACTTACCTTTTATCAGAGAATAAAAAAGAGTACAGAAGAAAGAAATTAGTAATAAAAAGAAATTTCGTTGTATTTTTTGTTATTGTTTTGATTTTTAGCAGTCATGTTGACTTATGCATAATAGTGCAACTTGAATTAACAAGTTTCTAGTCTTTTGTTTCTCAAAGTTTACAAAGACTATTAAATCAAAACAATGGCATCTGAATACACTACAAAGAAGAATGTTTACCTTACCAAAGGAAATAGAAAGAATGCCAAAAAAAATATCAATATAATCTTTGCTAAATTTTGATGGTGTATACTTCTTTAGTTGGCTTTAAGAAACATCTTAATAAGTATCATCCTGAAGAGAGTACTGAGGAATATAGCAATGTTCTTTTAAGAAAGAAGTTAGTAACTGCATTACAATCTTATAAATAGACAATATTAATTCTGATTCTATTTGAATGTTAGAATTAAATTACATAAGGATTTCTCTACAGCTGTATCTGTTGACTTGGAGAATAATGTGGAGATAGAGAGCAGATTTACTGAATTGGAAATAGTCATAGAGAATTCCATGGATTATTATGACAGTTGCTCCTCTGATGAAGAGAATCAATATGAGAATAATCCTAGATTCACGTAAATAACTAAGCCTAAATGTACAGTGAATTAAGTACTAACCATAAATTTCTTTTAGTGATGCCCATGTTGATTCTATTTTGTTTGAAGAAAGAACAAACCAAGGTGAAGCCGAGACTTCAGATGCAGACGATAAAATAACGGATAGTGCTATTCACATGGAAACACATATAAGAGTCCTCGAGTCTTTTTCAACAAGCTTGAATGATTATGCTGCTGGAGTTACAGCCAGTGAATCTTCTCACCAGAGCATGGAAGATATTTTTATACTTCTTAGCAATATCAGTTCTTTCAAGTCGAAGGCAGAATTCATTCTACATGCATTATTTCATGGTGATAAAGATCTGGCTTCTGAAAGATTGATAAAAAAATAATGTATGCAATGGAGATGCTCTTGGAGGTACGCGAAAGTGCTGGAAAACAAATAGAATTCTCAAAGCCAGACGCAGTAATAAATTTTCATCTGAGAGCAAAAAACGATATCCCGGTTTTTAAGACCTCTACAGCCAAGGGTACAAATCAAAAATCTGAGGTACATGAATTTTCGATTAACATGCCATCTGAATATATCAAGTATATGATGGCATGCCCTGAAAAAACGTCGCAACTCTCTGCACTGCCAGACTTTACAGAGAACCAGAGGCTGCACCTCAACCAAGGGAACAAATGGAAAGAAAGCCCACTTCTTCAACATCTCATGCTCACGATCCAGGAATCAGATTATTGGGTAGACAATGTTATAGAAATACAAGAATGTCTAGACCAGTTTCTCTTAGAGAAATTTTTTACAAAAAATGAATCCACATACGCCAATGCTTACCAGGTATATGGTGGTCATGGACCTGTGCTCAATCATCCTGATGACATGTACTTCTGGTTGTGTGGAAATTACACAAATTTTGCTGTATCTGTTTCAAAGTACGAAATGAATGTAAATACATTTCTATCAGTTATTCAAAAAGATAGTAATCTTTTCCTTGGATCTGGCTTATCAGTCTCTTAATCTCCAACTGAGATTGTCAATTGTATTCTTGTTGGTGCCCAACTTCGCCTATGGACCAATACTACTATTGTTGAAAGATTTAAGAGAAGACTTCCTGGATCCGGCTTAATGAAAGTTGTCATTTGCCCAATAAAAATGTATTCTGATGATACCTTTGGGAATGATTCAAAGCAATACAATGTATATAACAGCTTTTTGATGTACTTTGCTGCAATGACCCTTGAAGAGCAAAACAAACGGGAGAACACTTTATTTGTTTGCACATGTAACCATGTCCTCAATGCCATTGATATGCTGGGACAACTTGTTGACGATCTCGTTACCTTAGAGAAAGGTATCCAAATGTATTCTGAAGATATTGGCAAACATGTCCTGGTAGTTGCTCCTTTGCTTCTCTTTATAGGTGACAATCCTTGCCAATCTCAGCTTGTGATGCACAAGGGAACAGCCTCAAGACGGTTTTGCAGAAAATGTTTAATCCTTTCTCCTCGTCTGGATTGGAAACATATATTGAGCATCACCCACTTTTCTCATGTTGCTCACTATGACTGGCCCCAACGATCAAAGGCTTTTCTTTCCACTTTTGTCTCTTCTGATAAACAATCCAATATATACAAAAGTGGGCAAAGCTTGAGCTATATGAAGAATGGAAGCGAAGAGTTCCTTAGACTCAAAGATTTTGATCCAACCAAAGACATGCCAATTGAGATTCTCTATACGATCCCACTTGGATTAATTAAGTATTTGGTAATCTTCTTATGGAAGCAGCCCATCTTGACAGCCATTCAAAAGGATAGCCTGCAATGTGAACTGTCCTCTTATTGATCCTGTAAGAGTTACGATTGGACATTTCGCAATCAGCTTCGTCACTCTGGCTCTTTTGTGGGGCGTGATTTCAAGCAATTGATACAGATCTTATCTGGTGTCATGAGCAAGCTTTTTGACAGAGATAGTAACCTGACATTTATTATCACAGCTTTCCATGCGGTTTCCAGATTGACATCTTTGGTTTACATTCATAGAGACCATAAAGGCTTTGATAACTATCTTTTTAAGATTAGGAGTGCTGTTGATGAAGTTGCAAAAGTGTTTATATTGCTAAACACTTTTATTGTATCTAATCCCAAGACTTTCCAACAGCAAGACTTCAGCTTTAAACCAAAGCTTCATCTCTTACACCACCTTACCAAAGATATACTTTGCTTTGGCTCCGTCTTACAGTACAAAACAGAAAACGGTGAGCAATTTAACAAATTCATTTGCAAACATTTGTTTAAAACGAACTGCCAAGCAACTTCCAGAGATGTTGCTAAAAAATTTGCAAAGCAATTTATCTGCCGTCACCTTTGCAATGGAGGCTCTTACATTTTAGAGAAATGTATTGACAATAGTACACGGCCTGTGAGATTGAGTGTTGGTGACTTTGTCAAACAAGCTCCTATTGACTTCCCAAAATTCAATCTTCATTTCTTTGGCTCCCATGCAAACAGCGACAACTCTGGCATATCAATTTCTAATTTGCGTGATAAATTGGCAGGTGTCTTCCAGAAAGATAATCGATGGTTTCTTGGTCATGTTTCTATTGAAGCTCTCAGATATGAGAGAGGAAAGCTAGTGAGAAAAATGTGTATCATGCAAGAGTATCAAATGATATCTAGCTTTAATGTCAATACAGTCTACTTACATAATGTAGTAACTGACAGTTATGACAATATTGAAGTTATATATTACAGAACTAGTTATGAGTTTGATGAGAATGAAGTAATTGTGGTCCAGGCCATTGACATGCATTTAACTCTTGTACCTGATGGTAGCTGCAGGCTGCTTAACGTCACAAAGCTTAGCACATTCTGGTGGATGTTGGTAAACATTTCCAATATAAACTAAAAAACAACTTGTCAAATAAAACACTTTTCTCAACAAAAAAAATATCAACTAATAAAATCTTCTCCTTCAAAACAATCTTTTTTTCTTTCCCCATTTTTAAAATTTTTATTCTGTCTGCAATTCAATGAAGTAACTCAAAAAATATGTTTAATCATTTTTTGGCACAAATCTCAATATTTTGCTCCCCCAAATCTGTAGCTTTCTATGTTTAATCTCAATTCATACTCTAAGCCAATAGAAGAATCGGTTTAGACAAGAAAATTTCATATTTAGGAGAAACCTCAGTGGGTGTGTACTACGATTAATCATCTTCAGATTTTATGGATTCATCAAAATAATATCCGACATCAATACACACTGTAGAAAAAAATCTACAAGTATTTGAAACAGTCTGCTTATTATGGCAATAAAATATATATTATTTTAATCTCAGCAAATATTTTCTGGATTTGGAAGCTTTTAAATTTATTTTGGTCTTTCAGCAGCATTATTTTATTTTATTTTCTTACTTTTAATTTAGACAGCCAGTTTGAGTAAAAATAGAAGGACTTGCTATTTTTTTTCTTTAAAAATAGTCGAAGATAGAAACATAACCAATTCACTAAATATATATCCAATTTAAATTTCAGTATTGACTCTGATTTCAAATAATTAAAATTAATCATGTCAATGTACTTCATGGTAGTGAGTAATTATGTTAAAAACAGAGGATTTATATTTGTACATGTAGAAAAAAAAAGAAAAAAACTATTCATAATGACGTGGATGTGGAAATACCACATGTCTAATAGTTTCATTGTTGATGTTGTGAACAAGACCAGCCATCCCCCTGATGGACTTTACCTCCACCATCTTCATCTCACCAATTGTTTGGCTTTCCCACACAGGAAACATCTCTTCATTACTGGCCCAAGCGCCACACAAATGCTTGATGACAGCAAAGAGTCTCGTCTCTCCCAAGACAGAATGAGAGAAGAATCGTCAAACAAATCCATAACTTTTAAAAATAAAATTGAAGCATGATTAATATTATAACAGCATAAAATATAACTCGTATTACTTACTCCCACAGGCCTCCAAGCACAACAAGATCGTTGGCTCAAATATGTCTGCTGTCAAAAGAGGACTGGACCCTGTACACCATACTGTCCTTTCACATCTTAGTAGTGCAGATCACCTCCTCATTTTCTGCGAACAGAGTCTGGTTGTCTTGACCCCAGAGAGACGCTATTTGGCCTACTAAATTATTGTGATTTATGCCGGTTTCTCTCGCCACAGCACCAAGAGACATCCTTGTTGGGCTGGACCAAAGCTGGGGACCAGCAACATCATCAATCGCGACCTCAAAGTTGCTGGTTTTTCTATTGGTTGGTCTCAGAACAGCAGACCGACCACGGAGGCAATGCTGTATCCCGGCCTTGCAAAATAAAATATTATCCATATTTTTTCCTGACTTTTTTCTCGACCTAATTGCTGTTCTGTACAAGCCAATAGTAGGTTCAATCAGGCGGCAGCTGAATGCTCGCAGTGTGCCCATCTCTCTCATTATATATTCAAGATGTACAAGCATATGTTGGTTGATTATGAAGATGGTAGGCTTAAGTCTTTTCTCTTCAATCTCATTGCGAAGGAAAGAATGCCAGTGGGTGATAGATTTATAAATATGATTAAATAACTGTTTATTATATATATAATTTACTTACTCTTCCATTGTTCAGATCTCTCTCTCTCTGTAACTTTCCATTGCTGGGCAATAGAACAGGCGTTGACTAGGTTCATTACTACCTCTCTGGTGTTGCTAAGGACAAAGTTTTTTACTACTACCGTTGGAACAACAAACAAAAGGAAATCCAACCAGTTGACTGCCTTTTGTCTGCCAGTTGTCTCCTCCAGTGACCTCCAACTGCCAGTGAATATTGCTGGGATGTCTGCTCTAGACTTGCTGATTGCATTATCAATCTTGGCAATAGGCACATTTAAAGAAAATGTATATATTTGCTGCTGCTGCTCCTGTTGCTGTTGTTGCTGTTGTTGGTCTTCATTGTGTGCGATCTCTGAACTAATCTGAAACTTGCTGCCCAATGCTATATATAGTTGTTTATGTATATCATGTCCAAGTAGATGTATCTCATCAAGCCCAAAGAAAGCAGGGCTGGTCAACGTAGGGAGATCCCTGAACACATTTGGACCCTTGAAACAATACCTCTAAAAATAAGGTATTAATATTTTAATTATTCTATGATTAAGTACTTACGTTTCCTTCGAACTGATGGAGACTCTCTACACTTCTCATTTCAGCCAGAACATCACTTCCTTCAAAACACATAGTTCTTGTTTCTGTGTTTCCGTGAACAAGGCAATCTCAGCATCCAAAGAACGAATTATGATGCAACAGGTTTGTTGTGAATGAGTATTGATTACTGCTGAATCTGAGAGTAAGACTGAAGGATAAAATAATATCCTCAGCTATTCCAGTCAAACGGATCTCCCTTTATGATATTATCTAATACACAGATCATCATACACATAATTGATTATTTCTTATTATTACCATGACATGGGATATATAAATACATATACATTATATATATGGCATCATTATATTTCATTTACATATTTCTTTTATTATACAAATACTTAATTGAGAGACTACAACTACAACTATTTAATATTATGAAACATTACCCGAGTATCTGGGTCGGAATACTAAAATATTACCAATAGCATAAATGCTCTTCTTTACCAAAACTCTTGGACTGATCTGACTGGAGAAGTATCATATCAATTGGTCTTTCCGGATCTTTTCAGAAGAACAATACTCCTGGAAGATGACTCATCATGATAAAGATTACTTAAGCACACACTGAATTACAAATTAGAAAAACATATAAATATCAGTAGATAGTTCCGTGTAGAAAGAGAATCGAATTTTATCATTCTTTACTTTTCTTTTGAAATAAACAACCTACACAAGTTCTCACGAATTCTTTTGTCTATATTATATTTTGCTTTATTTTCTCCCCACAACAAGGTTCATCAAGTCTGCCACGGCTGGAGTATCACTGGTTGCCATTATAAAATGAGCTTTTATGTTCACCTGCTCTGTGAGGGCCTGTATCCAGATATCTGAAGTTGCCAGCATCTGCAAATCTTTCATAATTGGCTCCAAGAAGGATCCAATATTTTTTGGATGCTTTGGTCCAGATATAATCGTCAGCTGCATCATGTTGTCACTCTCATATCTATATATATATATATTTTAGTGAATTTATATATAGTGTTGCATTTTATACCTTTCTTCTGGGTCAATATTAAGATTGATAACATGAATTATAGTTGCTGACATCTTGGTATCATCAAATGAGTTGAACTAGTCAACGAACATGGTAACCAAAACGTCATTCTGGCCAACTATACCGCCTTCACACAGTCTGTGGACAGCATTATCATTGAACACATCTAACAACTCACCAACATGATCACCCATGATACAGCTTCTACCGTACGCCATTTTGGCTCGTTCCTGGTTATTTCTTAGCTTGAATTTCAACTGTTGTGAGAGAGACACAACCTTGAATGTCTGAACAGGAACTAGAATGCCTCTATTAAGTTTGAATTGTTAGCTATTGCAATGAGAACACTGTTCTTCCTTATCTACCTGATTTCCAGCTTCTACAACATGGAAGCATGTGCAACCTTCCTTGCATATATCATAAACGTCTGTACAGACAGTGTATTCCTCCTTTAGCAGCATATCCATCTTGTAGTATGACAGAAATGAACTGTTTGTAGCTAAAATGTTGATAAGCTTTCATATTATAAACAATTTGATGTTAACTATACACTTACGCAATCCACATTCTACCATATACTTATTTACAATCTTGACACACTTGTCAAAAACATTACGAGATACGTTATTTTTGATAAACATAAATAATAACTCTAATGTAGCAGCCTCTGCATTGGTATTTGGCTCATAAAAAGAAACTCAGGTCTCTTTGTTCATGTTTTCTGTAATCCCAGACTCAATTGGTATATTTCTGGTATTTAATGGGTTGCAAACACATGAATAACTATGAGCATGTTCTTCAATATACACACGCGCATATATATAAGTAAATATTGATATAATCAAATCTTGTAAGACTATTTTAACTTTTGGTTTTTCTTCTTACTGGGCGAATAGTCATTGCTACTGTCACTATCATAGTTTTTGCTTCTGTATTTATTGCTTTCAATGTAATTACTTTCAAATTCAATATCCATTGGATCTCCAGTACTTTGGACTTCTCCTGCAGTCACAAATGCTTCATAATCATTCTCTTCTGTGCTAGCCATGTCTTGATTATGGATTGCGATTAAGAAGGTTCGATCATCACAGTTAAGCTCATTTTGGATTCTTTCTTGTTGAGAAAGAGCAAAGGCAAAAACCTCTTGAGCAATGTTCATATAATCAGCTTCATTAAAGTCGCTGTCACTTCCAGATGAACGAGTTATAGGAAAGTTGGTATTCATTTTTGTTTCAGGTATGTTTATAAAGAAGAGTTTAAAGAAGGATATTAAGATTGTAAGTTATATGAAATAAAAGTTTATGGTTTTATATGGATATCATTGTACGCATTGCCTTTAAAAAAATTGTTTTTCATTAAAATTGAACCCTTATATGATAATTCACTTGTTTCTAAGCATAATTATAACTGTGAAAATATATATTTTAATTAACATTTTCATAATTTAATTAATTACTCCTTCATTCTTAATATAAAATAAAAATGTTGAATGCTCAAAACACAGAATCAAGCATTAGTTCAACTGCTTTTGAAGGGGTTGTAACTGAAAGGGTCTCTGTCTTCAGCTTCTCTGTATCTTCTGGAAGTACTTCCAGAAAATACGACCTGTTTGTTCAGTCATGAGAGACTCAGCCTTAGCAAAACAACAATGTGGATGAAAATCGATTCATCTCAAGACCAGATAAGAACCATAACCCTGGGTCATGGATTCTCTCGACCACAGCAATAGAGTCTCTAATGGCCATACATCTGACTGGAGGTTATAAAGAAGCTGCTGAAGATATGTACACAGTAGCTGCTAGAATTGTACAAAATGTGATGAACAGCACATTTGAAGTATACTTCAAAAATAAGCAAGTTATTTCTGCATAGGGTTGCTTAATATCAGTACAGAAGAATATTCTTTTTGAAAAGATCAAAAGAAAAGCCACAGCAAAGAATATACCCCTTGACAAATTTCAAGAATCATGGGCAACTCATTACATGCTTTCTCAAAAGTGGAGAACTGCAATTAATAGTGCAAGAAAAAAGAGAAAAGTATACTTAAGTAACAATGAACTATTAAGTATTCAAATAATATGTGATGATTCAGACACTCGGATGTTGGATTTATCACATATAAGAACATATTCATATTGGGATAGCGTAGTAGCTATCATCTTATCAGTATAAAATATATATAAACAATTAAGTAATCAGCCCAATAATTATTACAGTTAGTACTGTAGATAATATCTTAAAGATTGTTAAGATAATTATATCATATTGCTGGGTAAACTGTGTCAGAGCAATATGGAACTAAATTAGTAAGAAGTTCTAAAGCTCTAGTATAAAAGAGAAAAGAATAGCTAAGAGCTAAAGAAGTACGATTTATGACTTGATGTCATAATTGTAACATCAACACTACAGTGGTCCCTCGATAATTTCACGCCCCTTTAATTTCACGCTTCGATAATTTCAAGGCTCTGAAGACCCAACTCGAAAAATAGGGCTTAACTTTCACGATTCTCGTTAATTTCACTTTCACGAAATTTTTTGGCCTTGAATCCTTAAAGAAAAAAAAATTAGCCAATCAGACGAGAGCAATATAGTTATAGCTTGGTTTAAATTTTTTTAATTCTAGCTTTTCACGATTTTGTAATTGACATCAATGTCAAGTGCGTTAAGTTTTCATGCCAAACACTGGGTTATCAAGTTGTCATCTAGCTTACTTTTTTTAAATTTTTTTTTTCATTTTTTTTTTTAGAAATAAAATAAAACTATATGTGCTATATTTTGATTAAGTTTCATTTATTAATTGTTTAGTAAAGATTATTCACTTGAAAAATATAAATATAATTCTAATTTGTTTGTTATAAAAGTTTTTATTGTAGATTTAATTATTTCTATCTGTCATTACTATTTATTGTTATTTGCAATTGTTACTATTTACAAACATATTACAAAATCAAGCTTTGACTGTACTTGGCTGCTAACTTTTTTTTTCTATTTTTAAATGAAGAAAAATATATTTCTTATAGAAAATTGTTTTTATTTTATTTGAAAAAGAATAAATTTTAAAAAGACTTAAAGAAGCTGGTTACTTTAGTTTGCTTTGAGTTCGCGGTTTTCTGGAACTTGTTTCTAAGGCCTTCAACCTTACTGACGAAGTCTCTGTCAATATCCTCGTCTTCCAAGATATCCAAAAGCGTGCAAACACACTCAAACTTTTCCGAAGCAGAATAAGTTCTCTTGAAAGGAACTGCTGATTCCACTTCAGCAATTTCTTCATTGCTGTTGTTGTTGGCTGCATTGTCGTCTGCGTCATACTCTTTCATGACAATGTCAGCGATCTCATTCTCATTGATCACTCTATGAGTGCATTGTCTCTCATAGAGTGGATCTGATTCGCTGGTCGGACAATCTTCCAGAGACAGAAGACCTGATCCAGCAATCTTGTCCAGGGTTTCTTGTAAACCCTCAACGAGAACCTTTTCAGCCAGACTTTGCTGAATCATAGCCTGGTTTACATCTATAAATTATATTTAGAATATTAAGAAAGTGGAATTGAAAGATTATACTACTATTATGACCAATAAATTATTTTACTACTACCTTCACTATCTTCGTCTTCAATAAAGTGAAAGATTGTTGCATTCCAGCAGTTCTCAATAGTCTTTGCCGAGACAGATTCCCAAGCCTCTCTTATCCATTTCATGGCCCACAATTGATCAATTTCAAAGATTTTATCAATTGGCCCGATTTTATCTTGATTGCCATTTTGAATCATGCCAATATACTGATATGCCTTGGCATACTGTTTACGCTTGAAATAAGCCTTAAAAGCCCGAATGATACCACCATCCAATGGCTGAAGGTGGGAAGTGGTGTTTGGTGGCAAAAAAAGAAGCTCGACGTTTGTAGGTGTATAATCAACTATATGACCAGAGAAATTGTCGAGAATCAAAAGAACTTTGCGCTTTTGAGCTTTCATGGCATGATCAAAGTGACGGAGGAAAACATGAAAGATCGATCTTGTCATCCAAGCATTGCTATTGTAATGATACATGGAGAATCCATGATCACTTGCTTCTTGCTTCTTGTTGTTCTTGTTGAAGCAGTTTGGTCTTCTTGCATGCCCAATCATCAGTACATCGGACCACTTGTCCGTTCCGTCCGCATTACACAAGAGACCTACAGTCAGGCGCTTCTTGTTATCTTTCCAACCAGAAAATTTCTGGTGAGAAATTGTTGTTCTTGGTGGGGCAGCATAAAAGAGTGCTGTTTCATCAAAGTTATATATGTCACGAGCACTATATCCCTCTATCTTCTCTTTGATGGCAGCCTTGTCAATCTGAAGCGATTCTATATCAGTAGAACCAGCCTCACCATGAATTCGATTCATTTTAATGCAATGACGCTTTCCAAACTTCTCCATCCAGCCTTGAGAAGCATTAAAATCTTTAACGCCTATTCTTTCAGCAAAAATAGTAGCTTTAGTCTTAATCAATTCCCAAGTGATGGGAATCTGATTATTTTCAGCAATGTTGATCCAAAGAATCACTGCTTCTTCAATTTGCTATAGTTGTGTGACAATATAATAAGGTTAATTTTATTTTTTATATGGAGCAAAAATGCATAATGTTGAGATATATTACATACAGGCCATTTTCCCTTTCTAACGCGCTTTCTGTTTTTTATGTCGGCTTGCATTATCAAGCCCTGGTCTCCTCTCTTCAAAATCTTCGAGATTGTAGAAGCATCAGGAGCTTTTTGAAGGCCAAAGGTTTCCTTTGCCCATTCAGCCAATTGGGGGTTACTCATAGATGGCTTTTTCTTTTTAATATCACAAATCTCAAGGTGATTTGCAATATTAAGTGAAACGTTTTTTTTGCTCATTTTTATTGTTTAGTTCTGGATTTGATAGATTTCATTAAAGTATCAAAAAAAATTGAAAATGATATTAGATAAGCATTATATAATAAGCTAAAAGCATACCAAAAAGCTGTTATTATTTGATTGAATAAGAATTTGAAACAATAATTGGTTACGAGACAGGGGGGTAGAAAACAGTAATGCAGCCAGGGGTTATATTTAACTAGAATGAATTTAAACAGAGGATTGAAGCATATCGAATCATTACTTGATATATTTTTTTTCTATTAAAGAATAATGTAAACTCCGCCCATAGTTGGCGGAAAATATATAATCCGAACTCGTTAATTTCACTCTTCGATAATTTCAAGACACCTGGCCTTCCCTAGGCCTTGAAATTATCGAGGGACCACTGTAGTTAAGCAGTAAATATACTCTAATAACCAAATATAGTAAAGGAAAAAAGCCTTAAGAAACTAAGACATAATGACAAGAGCAGATTGTGTTTTCTTATAAAAAGGGACACTTTTTTTTTATGAATAAAAGACAACTTAGATACAGTCTCAAAGTATTTCTATACATTTCTATTATCAAATATTTTATTTTTCTATTGTTTTGTATCTGAAATACCACATAATATATTATTCAAAGAAATTACATCTGGTTACTGAAAAAAAATCACACACATTAATTAATTTATTTGATGAAATCAAATTATAGGCTTTTTAAGTGAGATGTGTTGTGGTAGTTGAAGTTGAAGAAGTTTTTAAGAAGAAGAATTAAAGATTTGAGATTAGGAATGAAGATTCATAAGAACTTGTGTAGGTTTTGTTTATTGAGAAAGATTTGGTATCAAAGTTTGATGAGATTTCTACACTAAACTACTACTGCTATTTATATTATTTTGGATCAGGAAAATTATATGATAGGGGTCAGATAATTGATTCTATCTGAGCCTTAATCAGAGCAACGTGATCTTGGGATAATTAATGTATGATTAATTATATAAATGTGTGTAGTCCCAATGAAGTATTAACATCGAAAGTAAATGTGTTTATGAGTTATAATTATGCTTATAATAATTCACTGATATATCCCATATTATGGTGATATCATCATATGAAATATAATCACTATCATACATGCTAAACCTGTGTGTTAAATAATAAAGTAATTGGTAGACACTTTTGACTAGAATAGCTGAGGCCTTATATTATTTCCTTCAGACTTATTCTCAATTACAGCAGTAGTCAATACTCATTTACAGCAAGATAGATATAAGTTAAACTTCTTTCTTAGCATACTTCTTTAATTTTATTTTCTATTGTTTTTTCATCAATTTCTATATTTTTTTAATAAACATATTTTCATATAAAACATCATACATTTGTTAGACCAATTATAAGAAGAATTGCAGTATCTAAAAAGGTATAGACCTAACATATTTAGAGCAATTGATTGGATTATATACAGAAACAATCTGAAATCTAACAAATCATATTTGCTAAAGAATCTATGAGCTTGTAGAAACCTATGAGTCTGAAGTTATAATTTCTTCTGTTTTCAGTAATTCTATTGGTTAAAAAATCTTCCCCAGCATTTCTACAAGTACAGAGTTATAAATGCTGTTATTTGTTGTACCCAAATTCTTGTCAGCCAATTAGGATGACAATTACACAGAATTCTCTTTTGAGAACAACGACTGAAGTGATTTCCTTTTGCTCACAAGAGAATTAGAAAGCATATAGCTTAACAAAAGTAGAATAGAAACTGAAACAGATATTTATAATGGCTGAGTAGGTTTAGAAAAGATATAAAAGATGGCGTTTTTTCATTCAATAAAAGTTATCTATCTTTCTATTCTCTTTTTATTCTTTTATCTTTGTTTATGATTCCCAGTAAGTTTGACCAATTTTGGCTGTGTTCTTGTTCCCAATCTGGGTTGGTCTTCCTTTTACTATAACAAAGTCAAAAGGTCAAACCCACTGAGGATCAAGGAGTATACGTAAAATCAAAGAGAGGATAAAAGATATCTTTTATTAATATGAATTGAATTGTCTTATATAGTTTTCTAAACTAATACTGCACATTATCCACAGTAGTTATTATATTATATTTAAATAAAAGAAGAGTCATTATACTGCAGTTAATGCTCAGGAAGATATTACTGCACACAAAGAGGTACTGCAGTTAACTATCTTCAGATTTTATGGATTTATCAAAATAATGTCCGAAAGTGTTATAGCTGTCAAGTCTCGATCTGGTATTTCTTTTCTGGCACTTGTAACTAAGTCACAGAATCAATACCACTGGGGATCGTCAAGTTTATGAATAGTTTTTAGATAAGAATAAAGATGCTTTTTATTAAATGTATTTCTTGACTATTTATACAAAATGATAATTGATTTCTGACTAAAAGAATAGCTATGATAATATATCTTAGATGCTTATTGTCTAGTAATATCTTCTACAAGTATATTCACTATCTTAAACATCTAAAACATATGTGAAAGACCAATCGACAAAGTCAAGATCTTTTATCCTAAAAAGTCAACCATTACTGGTTGCTTGTAAATCCCGATTTTGGTTACCGATGTCAACTCTGACATAGCATTAGAAGAATAACTCGGATCGAAAACGCAACATTTACCACAGTGACAGTCAAAAATAAGTGTGAGACTACCAGGGGTCGAACCTGGAATCTCCTGATTCGTAGTCAGACGCCTTGTCCATTGGGCCATAGTCCCACTTATTATTGTCACCTGTGTTGTAAACATTTTGAGCGTTAATAAATTTCTGGTGAGGGATACCGGACAGTGGATTCCTTTGGTGGTTTGGTCTGGTGGTGAGCCGTGACAGGTGGTACTGGACTCATGAACGTTGACGTCGACGGTGAGTCGACCGAGTGACGTGTCTCGAGGGATAAGAGTGATCCCCCAGGTTTCTTGGGAAATCTTGCTCCCGATACCCCTATATTCAAACCCCTCAATTTAATCTCATTCCTTAAAATTAAAATACCCATCTACTTTGTCACCTCAGAAACACTTGTCACCAACTAAAAACATTATACTTCTTTCCTCTAATTTTATATACTTCTTTATCACCAACATTTATTTTATACTATTTTTTATTACATTTTATTAAATTCTATTATTATACTATTATTATATTTTTTTACTTTACTTTACTACATTGTTATTATATTATTATTTTACTTCTATTCTACCTGTGGTATTTCAGGTACAAAACAATAAAAAAATAAAATATTTTATAATAAAGACGTATAAAAATACTTTGAGACTATATATAAGTTGTCTTTATTCATAAATAAAAAATGTTTCTTTTTATAAGAAAACACAATCTGCTCTTGTCATTACGTCTTAGTTTCTTAAGGCTTTCTTTCTTTACTATATTTGGTTATTAGAGTGTATTTACTGCTTAACTAGTGTTGGTGTTACAATTATAACATCAAGTCATAAATCGTACTTCTTTAGCTCTTAGCTATTCTTTTCTCTTTTATACTAGAGCTTTAGAACTTCCTACTAAATTAGCTCCATATCGATCTGACACAGTTTACCTGGCAGTATGATATAATTATCTTAACAATCTTTAAGATATTATCTATAGTACTAACTGTAATAATTATTGGGCTGATTACTTAATCGTTTATATATATTTTATACTGACAAAATGATAGCTACTACACTATCTCCATATGAATATGTTCTTATATGTGATAAATCCATCATCCGAGTGTCTGAATCACTACAGTAACTATAATATTTATTCAGTTTCCATAGTTTGCGGACTGACAATCATTCTAGATTGGGGTTTTATGTACCCGTTGTTATGATGATATGCATCAGCACCATAGATGATATTGTATTATTGCTCAAAATGATATATCACAAAAATTGTAATGATATTAGCTCAATCATCTACATTATTGGTACATTTGATTCAGATGAAATTACTCTATTTTTCCAGTAAAAGAACAAGAACACTGTATATGAATAAAGAGTAATGATAATAACAAACAAAAATAAATAAGATCAAGAATATAATGATGATTTTATTGATTGAAAAGATTGTTTCTTTTATAAACAAAAATGTTTGATTAAAATAATTTTTTGAGGGAAAGAAAAGAAAGTCAAATGAAAATTTTACTATATTTAACTGGTGTTGATAGTAGAAGTGGAATAGAAAAATATAGAGAGGGTAAAATAAAAATATAGTAAAAATATAGTAATTGAATAAAGATAAAGTAAAATATAGTGAGGTAAAATAGAACACTACGGTGGGATGAATGGCAGTTGGACCAAAAGTAGGCACATAACTGCCATTTTTTTGGTTGAAACCCAATAAAATTTCCGCCGTTTGTTGTAAGATGGTAATGTCATTTATAGCAATTTAAAAAAGTGACATGAAAACACTTTTTTTGTTACTGTACAATATTTTCAATACTGTAAAAAATGTTTGTAAGTTGTAATAACCACTTTGAGTATTGAAATATATGTTTTATTGAATATCAAAGATGTCAACAATTATTAAGATTAATAATTTTTGGAATGTGTGAACAAAATGGTAACATAACTGCCATTTTTTATTTTTTAAACTACGATCTTTTTTTTTAGATATTCTTTTTATCTTGATGAATTGGTAATTTGATTTTATTTAAATCGCGTAATGGCATATAGAGCATATAGGGAATGAAGAGAAAAGCATAAGGTGTATAGAGAATAGAAAAAAACTGGAGTATATAAAGAAGAAAAGAAAGATGGGGCATATAGAGATTAAAAAAAACATAAGAAATAGAGAAAATTAAAAAAAGAATATAAGATATAAGGATGATATAAAAGATATAAGAATATAGAGCATATAGAAAAATAAGATAAAAATAAAAAGGATCACAGAATGGAAAAATTGCCTTTAGTAATGCGCATGTTGTTGTTAAAGATATAATAGGGTGCAATTACATAAAACTGGTTTCCATTTGGTGGGTATTGGACCAGACCAACTTGATGACAAATGTTATTTACACTTACAACTGCATAAGTCGGTTGCGTTTGGTGGCCTAGTGTACGGGTGCTTTGTGACCGTTGTTTGACGATAGGTACTGATGAGTCATGGCCAGCTGCGTCATGTTCCTTCATGACCTCCACAAAAGCAAGAAAGTGTGAGAAGCCATGGAAATCTACATGCTGAAAGTAGAACTGTACTGTACCGACGAGCTAGTTGTGAACAATTACATTACAGTTGCTAAAATAAATAAATAAATAAATAGAATGTAAGCAACTTTTGATTGTATATCAAAAAATATTATACTTACTTTCTATAGGGACAAGTAAACATCACGTAATGGTTGCCATGGCTGGTCTCGTTTTTCTTTCTTTGGTACATGCATGAGGAATATACAGTCGAGTCCATCTACAGACATGCAGCTACAACAACAACAGAGTCACCAAACTTGTGGCCAGTCAAGCCTGTTGTTCTCCGGTAATATTTCAATAAAGCTTCCTTCACACTAGGGCTGCCTACACCTTCCACCGAATCATCATTCAAATTAACAAACTGATGAAACGGCTCCCATAACTGCGCACCACTAGGATCATTAGGAAGGTCCATGTAGCTCTCTCTTCCGTATGGCTTTGGCCAAATGAGGTTGATTTCATCACAGATGCTGATTGCCATGCTGGTATAATTGTGAATCGCAAATTGCTCAACAAGAAAACTGGCGTTTTGGTCACCCTTTGATTTGGAATTTATCAATTTTGAGAAGACGCCAATTACTCTCTCCATTGAGCAAGTGGAGTAGCATCGCAGGGGGCCTTGCTGCTTGATGATATAGGGTATATGGACCAGGTAATGTTGCACTGGTCGGAAAACACTATGAGACAGGGTATTATTCTGGACTTGTTGGTATAAAAACGAGTGCCCGTGCTTGAAGTATCTATTATTAATATTTAAAAAATGGTAACAATCAGCTATTTGTAATGATAATATATGAGACGTATAATAACTTACGACTCCATCTCATCAAGCAATTCTGATGTCAACGTCCATTGCAAGGCAAGTGTGCAACCTTTCACGAGAGATAATAGAGCTGTTTTGACAGCCCTATTTAATAAATAAGGCATGACCAAAGTGGGGACAAGGTATAAGAGAAAGTCAAGCCAGTCAACTGCGTGAGTACCATTGATCTTGGCAAATACATTGTCGAAACTGCCTTGAAATGAGGTGGGTATATATTTTCGTGAGCTGGTGATACAGTTTCCAATTGTTACAAGGTCTGCTCTTGGTATATGAAAAGGGTGTTCAGTGATATTGAGGGTATTGTCTGGATGGGTATAATAAAATTTGGTTTTCTTTGTGAGGGTGATGGTAATCAGGTCATATACAAGCTTTCCAATCCCTCTTGCAATTAAATGAAGTTCATCTAATCCAAAAAATAATGATCCAGAGAAGGTTGAGAGTTGGGTATATATGCTCAGCTGGTATATGTTCTTCGACTATTACAAGCAGTTATTTAGTATGAAAAAAAGATGGCTAATTGAACATTTGTATACTTGCAGGGTTACCTACTTTGAAGTCTTCCAAAGGTCTTAACCGGGCAGAAATGTCATCAAAGTACATGCCATGCCGTCTGTTAGTAGGGCATTTGCCTTTGGTCTCACAAAAACGGCAACCAAATAAACTTGTATGGGAACTAATGTGGGCCATATCAGCTACAGCTGGAATATCGCCAGAAGCAAGCAGAAGATAGACCTTGGATCTGCAAAGCTCCACTCCATTGTGCTTGACAACCAAGCCATGTGCCTCAAGATCTCGCAATTCATTGATGATGGGTGTAAGAAAGGAGTCCAAATGAGTTGGCTTCTTGGGGCCAGGTAAGATTGCCAGTTGCAAAAGGTATTTGTTAGTATATCTAAGTATTTTATTAGTAATTTTTTTTAAAAAAAATGTAATAATAATAATAAATAGTAACAAATTAATTAATTACCTGATGGATGGGTCTAGGTTGAATATTATGCAATGGATGATGGTATATGAGTTTTTGCCTTTCTTTTGATTGACAAACCCATTGGTATAAAACCCAATGGAAATATCATTGGGATTGGAGAACAGGCCCTGCTGCACCAACTGCTTGTAATTGTCACCATCAAAAATGTTAGTTAGCTGACCAGCTACAGATTCCTGGTTTGCTCTGTAACAGAGGAGTTCTCTTGTGGCTGGATCTGCCAACATTTGAGAAAGCATATCTCCAACTGACATAAGTTTCATACTGGCAGCTGGTGTCTGACTTTGATCGGGATCAGTCTTGTATCGCGGTTTGCCGCAGTCAACACAAGATTCCTGGTCGTCATTAATGCCATACAATCGACAACCACTAGAGCAGACATCATACTCATGGCCCTTGACACTTGACTTTGACTTGAGCAAAGCATCAACAGTTTCGCCATGACTGATCTTAACCCCAGGTTCTAAAAAAAACAATATCACTACATGTTAGTGATCTGGAATTAAAGTACAAGGTAACAGAAAATATAATATTTTACCCATCATTATATCGTCATAGTTTTGGATAACAGTGTTTATAAATTGAACAATGTCTCTATATGTTGCTCTAGCAATTCTATGCTGTAGCATCAATTGAGACAGATGAATACTCATCAACTCGGCTTTGGTAAAAGTATTTGTACTGATTCGGCTGCTGTCATAAATGTGAGTTTTACCCTCACTGTCCTCAAAATTACATGCGCACTTATATGAAATAGTATTATCAAGCTCCATAGACTCCATAGTATATTCTGTAATACATTATTTAGTAATTGGAAAATAAATAATACAATTACAGCTCTTTTTATTATCTGAATTGCTAACAAATTCATCTTCATTACTAATATCATTTTTGTCATGGTACATGTCAACATCATCCAGAATAGACTGGTCAATTTCAGTCATTGTTGCTGAATCTCCTCTGTGAATTCTCTTGTGGTTTTGCAGCTTCTAGTAGTTATCAAAAAACAAGACACATTGATCACATTGGTATTGCTGTGTAGATATTCTATCTCTCTGCTGGCTGGCGTTAGAAGAAGACATATTGGTTGGGTTGGTACATATGTAATATATAAAATAAAGCTGCGAAAAGGATTTTGATGCTATTCATTAAATGTAAAAGACATCTTTATATACTCTTTATTTTTTAACCAAAATGCTTGTGGCTCTTTTTCTTTTTCTCTCTCATAGTGATGATATAGCAATGATTACAGTAATGACAATGCTAGGTGAAACACCTGTCAGTAAATAATTCCCGTGGTTGAAAAGATTCTTCTTCATTAATAATTATTATGTAAGTTAAAATACTTCTTGGTTGACAAGGGGGTACCATTAAAAGAGCACCGGTGAAACAGATACGTACTCTTTACTTGTGAGCAATTAGATATTTCTTGGGCTTTATAAAGAGGTATATGTATATTTAGGATAATTAATGACCAAATAATTTATGTTTTTTTTAAATAAATTATCAATTACTCTCTAATACCAAAGGCAAAGAAAAACAGCCTTCTAATAATTAACAGTTAAAAAAAAGTAGTACTGTCTAAACACATTGGTAGAAAAGACATATTTATATTATCTGTGTTGTACTAATAGTATTTTTGAGATACTGAATATATATTTAGCTAATAGCATTATTTTCTTGTTTATGTATAAAACTTAAAGAAATAGATATAGATAATGAGGGCTATAGTCTGATACTCTTTTACTGACATCATCAAGATAAGCACTACTGATCGAAAGGGGTGTTAATTGAAAGTGCCAATGTGAGTTAAAGCACACCTTTTTCAAAAATGTATAGTTTCAGTCAAAAATGCCCCTTGGTAAATAATAGTAATGACAGTTAAAATTATTCTTACCTTTGATGACAGCATCAATCAAAACGCGTTTTAGTCGATAATGATAATAAGTATGATATGGACTTGAGTATCATAACATTTACTTTAATGTTGATAAAAAGAGGCTAATTAACTATATGATGTTCAGATGTTATATAGCTACTATAGAGTATATTTAAAGTTATAATTTTAACTGGTACAGGGTTTTGTCATCAAGAACTTTAACCAAATTTCATGCTATATCTGCAATATGTATAGAGTTATATTATTATATCATATACTTTAAAACGTTTAATATGTAGATGGTACAAAGTATAAACATTTATACATATAATATTGATTTAAAGTCTAATTCATTTTATCTTTATATTTCTTACAGTTTTGTTGTGTCAACACAAAAAGACTGTATCATGTTCACATGAGCTACTGCAGACAGGTGCAGACAGGTGCATACAAGTGCATAAGCATCCCTTCTTTTATATGTTTTATTTGTACATCTGTCTGTATCTTTTTCATATAAATAGCTATCAATTGCTTGTAATAAATCGTTGCCTTTCTCAAATTCAAATCGCTCTTATTCTACTTGTCTAAACTATCATCTTTTCTTTCCAACTCACTGCTTATAGCTAAAAAAAAACTTAAATGTGTCCGATATTAACACAACTCTCCTCAACTCAATTCAAAAGATTGAGGTTGATCTTGCTGAAATCAAGCAAGCATTGTGCGAGCTTCAAAGGCAATTCAGCAATCAATTTGCGCCAGCAGTCAGTGCGGAAGATCTAACTACAATGCAACAAAGCATTATTGAGCAGAGTTGTAAGTCATATATATTCTGTACTTAGATGTTTATTTACTTTATTAATATTGTCATACATTTTTTGTAGCTCTTGAGTGCATTGCCGAGTCTGTGAAAAGAGCTCAGCTCACAGAGTACCCTGATCAGCTCGGTAAGCAAGTAATCAATACTGGCGGCAAGTTCAAAGGAAAAAACAAAGCACAAAAATACAATCTGTTGCTTCAGATTCTTCACGAGCAGGACTGGAAGGTGCGCTGCAAAGAAGTTCCACAAGGGCAGCCTTTACTTCCATTAGTCCCTCTTTCAGACTATGATTTGACAGTAAAAAGACTGCATCTCAAAACATTAGGCCGTACGGTAAAGCATGATATCATTGACAAAGACTATCCTGCGGCCTCAAAATAATGGAAGAATATCTCAGAGAAAAACAGGTAATACTATATGATGCATTTGGAGAGGTTGGCGAAGAATGGTGGATTGCACATCCACCAATGTAAAAGAATGTGGTGTGCAAGAAGCCTTCTTCAGGAAAGCTTCAAGAGCGACAACCAGATACACAAGAGAAGAATAGCAGAGAAGAACAAAATAAGTTTATCAATTAACAAATCTATATATTGTAAACTTTAATTAACATCGTTTCTTTTCATTATGCTATAGACACAGCGAGACATAAGTGATTCTTCGCTTTCTTCTCCTGATATGTCAGAAACTGGTGATGTTGAGTCGCCCATAATGGCAGATTTGCTGTAAGTTACCATTGTTGCTTTTTCTCATGCGCTGTTAATATAAAACTAATATAAACTTCTTACTCTTTTATGTAGGTCTCCTCTACCTACAGCAAGTGTTGAGCCTGCTCGCAAGAGAAGCCAAAGATCATAGTTTGGCCGCTGTGATTGGCCGAGTTTGATTTTTTTAGTCTGTCTTTAGTACATTTTTTTTCTTATCTCGTCATTTTTCTTTTTATGTTTTTTATTCCTTTTTTCTTTCATATAAAAATATAGCGATCTCTTTCATATGATTGCTAATGTTGTGATTACAAGAATTTGAAGCTAATGTACAGCATCTACAATTTCACTACATTCAAATATAAAAGGAAATAGTATATAGCCTTTTTTTTAGAAAAAAATTAATAGTAATATTTTTGTACTGATATATTATACTTGGGAGTCGTTCTATTATATGTAAGTATATTGAGTAAAATAAACACTTTGAGCTTTCTAACAAGATGCTCATGTCGGTTGTATGAATCAGATTCGAATTAGCTTCATGTTACATGGCTTGAATCTTTGCTCAAGTTTTTCTTCTTCTACAATAACAACTTTCTATAGTGCTTATGTTTTATTGCTTTTCTTATATATAGATCTTAAATATTAATACATTCTTTAATATATATATATATATATTCTTAGAGTAAATGCTTATTTTACTGAATAAGTAAGCATATTATATAAAGGTAAGCATTATAATAATATTATATCTATTTATTTATTTTAAGTTTTTTCTCTAATATTAGTATATTTGTAGAAATCGGTAAAAAATAATAAGTGCTATCTAAGATATATTAGAATACCCAAAGTATATGAAATACAATTTGAATACTAGTGTTTTACTGCATACGTTTTGCAGTAGCTAAACAGAACCATTTTTTATTGCGAGTGGCCGATAGAATTGTTTTTCCATTATTACTATTATTATTATCATTTTCATTTAATAAAACATATATTGAAATAAAGATTCAATTCAATTAAACTCGATTCAATATTGTATAATAAAAAACAGATTATTCTGTTAAAGCTGCAAAGGAAAAACAAAAGGTTGTGCTAGAATTGAAAGCAATAGAACAAAAGAAAGAATGTAATAGAGGAAAGGAAGGACGCTTGATTTTTTTTTGAAAAATAGTAACAGTGCTTGTTTTGGCTTTTTACATAATAAATCATTTTTTACATAGTAAAAAATGGTAACAGTGTCTGTTTTGGCCTTATACAGAGTCATAACTGCCATTTTTTATTAAGTAAAAAATGGCAGTTATGTTACTAAAGTGGTAATATGTTACCATTTTCTCTGCCGTAGTGGAAGTAAGATAATATAGTCTGAGAAAGAAATGTTTTGCACCCTGGCGCGCTATTTGCACCTTTGCTTTATAACCTATACTTTATATTTTTCAACGTCTTAAAAAACTAATTAACAAATCTAGCATAATGCCAAACGCACAAAAGAATATCTTTTGTGGGCCCTATAATGTGCTTTTAGATTTAACAAAAGAAAAGATCCTTGGTCTTCAACTTGATGGAAATAATGTCACCAGCATTTCAGTCAAGCTGAATATACTCAAACCAATAGTTCAATATTTTTAAAAAGATATAAAGAAAGAGGAACTGTCAATAACAGAAAGTCTTCTGGAAGATCACAGATCCTCACATCTAGAGACAAAATATATATTGTCTTGAATCTCAAAAAAGACAGGTGATTGACATTGAATGATCTTGTTAATGATGCTGGTGCTGACACAGGAAAGAATGTCAGTAAGATTACCATGTGTAAAGCTTTGCACAGCATAGATTATTTTTGCTATAAAACTGTGTCAAAGCCTTTTCTTATCAAGACATACATTGCCAAATGCCGAGCTTAGTACAAAACTATAAAAGACTGGAATAAACAGTAAAAAACAGTTATCTGGAGTAACAAGTTGTCATTTATGCTATATAAAAAAAATTCAAGCAGAAAGCTCTGGTACAAAACTGGTGAGAGATTTGATATAGATCATTTTGTCTCAAAAGTGCAAGAAAATGGTGGATTTGTTATGATCTGGGGGTGTATCTGATCAGGAGGACTTAGTCCACTTGTTTTTGTAGATGAAAGCATGAATGGTCCAAGATATGTAGAAGTTCTTCAAGATCATTTTCTTCCATTCTTGCATACTCTTCCTGTACCTAGCAGCGGTAGCTATAAGTTCTAGGAAGATAATGCCAAGGTGCATAAATTAAAAGTTACAGGAAAGTTCAAGAAAGAACATGGTATTGATATTTTGCAATGGCTACTCAACAGCTCTGACCTTAGCCCCATTGAGAATATATGGAGAATCATTCACTGCAAAAGACCGCTGATTTTAGTTCCTGAAAACCTGCAAAAATTTTACTACAATTTTCGATTTTTAATTTTTTCAAATAATTTCTATTTTTTTCTGTTGTGATTTCAGATCGCTCTTTTTTAGCTGTAAAATCACACTACCATCATTTTTTTGGCCATAAAATTACAAAATTGGGTTTTTTTTTATATTATACACTTTTGATATAATTCTAAATTACATTGAAAAAACACTTATACAAAAGTTAATATAATATTTAATAAAAATTATATATATTCTTAAGGTTTCACTTTTTCTATTTCAAAATAAATCATTTAAATATTTTTTATGTATTATAAATGTGAATATAAAAACAAATATTTAATCCATATATTTCAAGGGAACGAGACAAAAGGTTGTGATTTCATTTTTACTGTGGCAATATTTTTGCGTGATTTTTCCCTTTGATATATGGAACTAAAATATCAGATTTTTTTATTTCACATGTTGTGAGAGGCGAATGTTCCATTTTTGGATTATTTTTCGTCATGGTCGAATCATCGTCATATCAAATATTATAATTCTAAAAAAAGACTTTTAAAAAAAATTGCGTACACTTTTAGTAATGTGCGCAGTATTTGACTTGGTTAATGACTTAACGATATATGAGTATAATTATGATGATATGTGCGGTAGATGTATCAAGGAATTACTTGGCATACTATAGTCATGGCATGGAGCAGTATTTTATCTATTTATAATTTTTTTTTTGGTATATAAAGACCTTGATCAAGATCTCTTAAAATCTATATAATTTTTTTTATAATTTAAAACAATCGACATGTCCAATAATCAAAAGAAAGACAGTTATGTTATCTGCAAATGTCCAGACTGTACAAAGTTGGATAGCTGTGGAAAGAAACAGAAAAGACAAAATGCACAACGACACTATGAGAAACATATAGTGCCTGTTGCCAAAGACGATGCAATGGGTAAATAACAAGAATAACTCGAGCTGTACATGTAAAATTAATATAAATTAATTCATAAAATAGATGTTCCTGAAGAACATTTTGACGACATGGAAGTAGATAGTATTGACAGTGACAATGACAATGATTATGATTACGAGAACGAAGGCGAAGGCGAATATGAAGACGAAAATGAAGAACAAAACATTGAATTTGATCAAGAAGGTAAGAAAATAAAATAAAATAAATGAACAAAATAATAATTGAAACTGATATATATATTTTTTATTTTTTATTTTTTATATGATTATAATTGTAATTATATTTTTATTTCTACATCTTTACAACAATTATTCCTTTCCAGTTGACTTACCTTTGTCCCAAGAAGAGTCCATCTTTACTGCCGAAGATACAATTACAGGAGCATTTGTGGTTGATGGCGATGAGATTGAAGAAGGCGATACCGGTTTTGATTTTGAACAAGAAGAAAACTTTGATGAGACCAGTGGGACCTCGATAGTAGAATCAGGTATGAATTAATACGGTATAGACAATTAATCAATATATTAATTTAAACTAACTTAACCTTTGTCTTCATAGTTCGTCCTTCGTCTTTTGATAACATGCCCTTGTATATCCGCTTTGTTGCAGTATTCATTGTCATATTTCACTTGATCTTTTTGGTGGAAAGCGGTGGATCGATTCTCATTGAATTTTGTAATACTCTACTGTCTCTCTGTGATATGTCTGGCGCCCTTCCAATGACGATCAATAGCTTGAAGCATAAGACAGGATTTAACATGGCAACAGACGGAATGACAGTATACATTGCATGCTCACAATGTCATTCGATTTATCCTCCGGAAACAAGTCAAAGAGTCTGTACATTTAAGAAATTCTCTCAATCCGCCATTTGCAACAACAATCTCTTTAAAGTGTCAACCGGAAATCGTTCTCTTCCAGCAATGGTATATCCATTCAACTCTCTGAAGTACGCCTTGCAACAAAAATTCTCCAAGCCAGATTTCGTGTCCAAGATCAATTTGTGGAGAAGTCGTCAAATAATTGAAAACACCAAACTTGACATTTTCGATGGTGCAGTTTGGAGTGATATTAAAGACATCAATGGCAGACGGTTTGTTGATGATAGCCGATCTTTAATGTTGACTCTGAATATCGATTGGTTTCAGCCATTTGATGGACGAACACATTCCAGTGGTGCGATATATCTCTCTATCAACAATCTCCCACGGAGTGAACGCCTTAAGTCTGAAAATGTCATTCTTGTTGGTATGATGCCTGGGCCGAAGGAAGCAAGCACTGACAGCATGAATCATTACTTGAAGCCGCTCGTTGACGAATTGTTGGAGATGTACATTGGTGTAGAAATGACAGACTCACAAAATAGAAAGATTGTTGTTCGTGCTGCATTGATGTGTGTTGCCTGTGATATCCCTGCCGCTCGCAAAACCTCTGGATTTACTGGCCACATGAGCACATGCGCCTGTCACAAATGTCAACGACAATTCACGACTATAAAGAAGACCAGCAAGCTTGACTACTCTGGATTCAAGTATAGCAATTGGGTGAGACGCACGAAGACAATGAATCTGGAACACGCTGTCAGCTGGGCAAATGCATTGAACAATACTGAGCGAACACGCCTAGAAAAAGAAAACGGCACTCGGTGGTCAGAGCTTCATCGGTTATCTTACTTTGACCCAGTCCGCTTTACAGTTATAGACCCGATGCATAACCTCTATCTTGGAACTGCAAAGCGAATGATTCAGATATGGCGCGAGTGTAACTACATCAATGAAAAGAATCAGTTAACTATGCAAGAGCTTGCCAATGGTATTGTTGTACCTTGTGGATATGCGCGTATAACAAAGAAGATTGCCGATGGGTTTTCGTTCATGAAAGCTGACGAGTGGAAGTCGTGGTGCGTCATATACTCTCCATTTGTTCTGAAGCATGTGCTCCCAGCCAAGAATCTCGAAAACTGGATTTTGTTTGTTGACGCATGCCGCTTACTCACAAAACCTTCGATCAATGACAAAGAAATAGACGAAGCCCACAGTAAACTCCAATTGTTTTGTACAAGATTTCAGACACTGTATGGAAAATCGGCCGTGACACCGAATATGCATCTACATCTTCATCTTGGCGAGTGTGTTCATGACTTTGGGCCAATTTATGCTTTCTGGTTATTCAGTTTCGAGAGATACAATGGTTTGTTGAAGAATATCGAAACAAATCAAAAAGGCGGCTTCGAATCAACAATGATGAAGAGATTTTTGGAGAGAACATACATTGGCAGCTTCATACAATCTTTCGTCAACCATCTTCCCCAGTTCGCAATTGACTTTCTGCATCGCATTTCAAATAGTCAAGATCAATTAGCAGCATTGCATCCATCTTCTACTGCCAGTACCTTTTCTCTGTCTGACTTTGTTGAATATTCGTTAAACCCTCGTCATTCTGCTTTGGGTTGTGAGCCGTTGCCCCCTTCAGTGTTTCCGATTAAACTCGACCAAAGGATTACAATGTGCAAGGGACATTATGAATGTTTACTGGAGTTTTACAGACACGCGTATGGCAGTCACGATCTTTTTGGCCATTATTCAAACTGCGAGTCTAACCAGATTTTTGTCAATAACCGAATTGAGAAAATGAAACGGATATCTCTTCTTGGACAGGAATACTCTTCTGGATCTTATTTCCGCGCCTATTATCTTGAGAATAACAGTGAAGATAAAGCAGCGTTTCCTGGCCGTATACTGTATTTATTTCAACATTTGATAACCATCAACGAAACTGTCATCACCCATACTTTTGCGTTTGTTGAGTGGTACTCTAGTTATTCTTCGGGGAGTTACCAGCCAATGTTAAATGAAGGCATTGAGCTCTGGAATGAACCTTCTTCTGTACTTAATTATGAATGTATTATTCCAGTACATCGTTTATATTCACCAATCGCAATTGCTAAATATAGGTTTACTATAACTAGTGAATTTAAACGTTTAGTAATCCCTTTACCCCAAAAAATAGAAGCTTAAATAATATTAATAAAATACTACTTTGCACTCTTTTATCAATTTATTAGAAAATGTTTGATTTATTGTCTTATTGTTTCTTTGACCATGATGGCAGCTTGTTTGCCTTGGTCTTACTAAGCTGCTTATCTCTTATTCCTTTAAATTTATGCTCGAATGGACGGGTATTATTTTTCTTATCATGAGCTGCCTCATAATCCGCATCAAGTTCATCAACGAACCTATCTCCCTATATGTCAATGTAAGTATTATTACACACCATCCAAAAAAATAGTTTTTTGTACTATACCTCTTCGCTTCTCCAGCTTGGGCGGAATCTCCAAAAAAAACTCTTTTCTGAGGACGAATCCTGTTCCTCTTCTTCTCTTTCGTCATCACTCTCAAGGTCTGACATGTAATCAGCATGGAGAATACTGTCAACATTCTCTCCAAAGCTGTTCACAAAGTGTGCCCGATTGGCTTTCAAGGCAGATTGTCTTCTTTCACACGACTATATATAAATATATAATATTTCTAATTTAATATCACATCTAGTATATTGTGTGCGTGTGTTTTTTACCTTTACACGTCGCTGACGAAGACAGGCCCGTCAATTCTCTTCCTGCTTCTTTTCTCCTGTTTTTTTTTCTTGCAACTTTCTGTTGCCAATGTGCCGCACAATCTTAGTTCGAAGAGTTGGCAAGTCCACCTTTTTCCCCTCTTCTTGACGACGAAGGTAATCGGTAACAGACTTCAGAACGAGTCTGTTTCCCTCACTGTTTTTATTTTCATTGGTATTGTATTGGTCATACAATTTCTCTTCACTCAAATAATCGCGCAACAATTGCTATAATATAAATGTATATTAAATTCTATCTACATAAAAACATATTATGATTACTTACATCCAATGTTGGTTGACGTCCAGGCGACATGTCTTGCTCAACTGCATTACTAGCAGTGGCTTCGGCTTTCTCAGAAGATGTGTTCTTCAAAACAGTGTTTAAGACACCATTCATGGTATCAAGTTTCTCGTACACATCATGGATGTTACGAGTTCTACCCGACGAATCACCTTCAAGATTCAACCGAGCTCTCTTTGGTGCTAGTGGTCTTTGATTGCTCACTGTTCCCTGTGAGTGTTGCAACATTATCGTCCTTATATCATTGGTATTTCTTGGTGGGCTTTTTTTTGATTTTTATAAAAAACGAAAATAAAATTAATATAAGAAAATTGAAGACTGCCTGGTTTTAATCTACCTTCCCACAGAAGGTTCTTCACCAAAAGCATTGTTAACTGAATTGTTATTGAGATTTCTTGACATTGTGAATAATAAGAATAGCTTGTTTTTTTTTAAATCCAAAGGGTCTATTTATATTATGTTTAATTTGGGCTTTAAGTTTTATTCTTTCTCAGAGAACACCATGATCTATTACGTAACAAGAACAGCTTTGAATGTTTCCACTCTTGTTGTGAGTATTTTATGTGTTTCTTTAATTTAATTTTCAATCCATGTTTTATTCTTATATTATGTATTAGTATTTGAATAATATGATTTTATACTATACTCTGTTTTTCATATGTATTAGCTGCTGGCATAGTGCAACTGCGTTTTCTTTCAATTCTAAGTTACAGACAAAAATTATTTTTTGATTTATTTATTTTTAAAAAAAAACCCCGAATTCGTATTTAATAGAATAACCGCGCCCCTCTTTTTTATTTTCTCTTTCTTTAACCTGCTCTTCTCATTTTGTCTCTTTTTATATGTCTTGGTAAGCTTACTCTTAAGATCTCAACTTTTATTAATACTTTTGGCTTTTAGAATCATCTTAATATATATTAGATAAACAATACACTCAACAAGCATTCAAAACAGCACAGGTAATAAACAATCTCCTAACCAAAATGAAACACCTTGCTGACTAAATATCTTTTATTTTTAAAATGATAGGGCTTCTACCCATTTTGTAATAAAAGATGTTTTGCTCTTGACACTATATACTTTCTGGTATTTTCAGTCTATGAAAAGGTAATATATATATAACTCAACTTAAATAATGTAACTTATCAATTCTTCTTCTCAGATAAATATGTCACGCCTTTTTTTCAAGTCATACTGGTTTGCCCCCTTTTGCAAACGCGTGTCTATAATATGTAAGTAATTCAAGTGTCTTTACAATCAAAGCGTACATATTAATAAAGTTGTTTATTTTATTTCTTGCTTTTTATTTAAAAGAAAATATCAATCAAACGGATTTTTATTCTATCGCGAGATTTGTTATGAACCCCCATAAATGATCTAGTAAGTATGTTATTTCATTTTATTTCATAAAGAAACCTATATTAATACTTCTGTATCTTTTTTTGCTCTAAGCTAATGTAGTTCCAAACAAACGTATTCTCCAAGAAAATACCAAGGATTTCATTTTCAGTTAAAGAAGTGTAAAACCAAAAAACGCGCCGAATACATGAAACCGATAAGGTAGGGAAGTATAGTATAAGTTAGGTCATCCAATGTATTCAAGCCGTCCAATAAATGAAAGTATAACATGTATACAAGTCGTACTATTCGGATACACACTTTTAAAGAAGTATTAGTGGTCCATATTAAATAGTTAAATATATTTTCCAACCATTCAAAAATCAATAAAAACCATTTTTTCCATGAGATTCTATTTCAAATGCGTCATCTCTTGATGATGTCAACAAGATCTATTTAAGTTTTTTTTTACAATCATTCATTTGAATGCTGGTTCCTGTCAGATTTCAGACTGATTCTAGGTCGATTTTAGTGAGGTCTATCCAATAATATCATGTAATTAAAGCAAATAAAATTTTTTAAGAGGTAGAGAGTTCAAAGCCAATTCCATAACAAGTAGGGTTTAGGTACGGTTTGAAGTTATGGGTGAATATATAACCAGAATTACAGACAATTATAACATTTCAAGAAAAGGGGGAATTATAACTCTCAATTTATCTATTGATTTTAGTATCTATAATCTCATCATTTGGTTAACTAAATGAACCAATTTTTGTAACAAATACCGAACTATAATTGAACATAAACCACCGATTTTTGGAGGATTTAAACAAAAATTAAGCTACTTAAATTGGTTGTCTTTTGCAGTGATTGATCACAGAATCAGAGCAAGACGCCTCAGACCAAATTCTCTGAATGAGCTGAAGGCTGCTTTGTTGGAAGAGTGGAACAAAATATCAGCAAAAACTTGTAGAAGATGCTGTTTGAATATGCCAAATCGATTGGTCTTACTTAAGAAAAAGAAATTTAAGCAAATCCGCTATTAAAACTGTATCTTTTTTTTACATTATTAATATATATGTTTTTCACTTTTATTGTTCCAAGTATTATATTTCAATACGTATTCTACATCTTTAGAAAGGAATTTGAAGTTGTAATATCTTCTTTACCATTTATGGCGGATTTTAAAATGGGTAAAACATTTATTTTTGATACTGTAATATAATAATGATGTAGTAAAGTAAAGTAAAAAAATATAATAATAGTATAATAATGAAGTTTAATAAAAATGTAATAAGAAATAGTATAAATAAATATTGGCAATAAAGAAGTGTATAAAATTAGGAGAAAGAAGTATATTTTTTTAGTGGGTGACAGATGTTTCTGAGGTGACGATGCAGATGGGTATTCTAATTATTTAAGGAATGGAATGAAATGAGAGGTTTGGATATAAAACGTATTGGGAACAAGATTTCCCAAGAAACCTGGGGGACCACTCCTGTCCCTCGAGACACGTCACTCGGTCGACTCACCATTGATGTCAACATCCACAAGTCTGGTACCATCTATCATGGCTCATCGCTGGACCAAACCACCAAAGGAACCCACTGTCCGGTATCCATCACCAAAAATTGTCCAAAGTCAAATATGCTTACAGCAAACGTGACATATATATGGGAGATTTGGCCGAGCGGTCTAAGGCGATACGTTCAGGTCGTATTCACGAAAGTGGCGCGAGTTCGAATCTCGCAGTCTTCATTTTATAAAATTTTTCTTTTGTTATTTTGTTGTTCCTGATCTGGGATGGTCTTCCTTTTACTATTGTCGGACATTATTTTGATGAATCCGAGAAATCGGGATAATTGACCGCAGCAGTTCTGTATGTCAAAGATACCTCATAGATAACGAACCGCAGTAATGTCTTGTAAAGATTAACCACAGTAACATCTTCTGAGCATCAACTGCAGTAAAAGGACTTCTCTTGTAATTAAATAGAGTATAATAGTTTACTGTGGATAATGCGCAGTATTAGTTTAGAAAACTATATAAGACAATTCAATTCCTATCAATAAAAAGGACCTTTTATCCTCTCTTCGATTTTACATATACTCTCCGATCCCCAGTGGGTTTGACCTTTTGACTTTGCTATAGTAAAAGAAAGACCATCCCAGATCAGGAACGACACTATAGCAAAGTCAAAAGGTCAAACCCACTGGGGATTGGAGAGTATATGTAAAATCGAAGAGAGGATAAAAGGTACTTTTTATTGATATGAATTGAATTGTCTTATATAGTTTTCTAAACTAATACTGCACATTATCCGCAGTAAACTATTATACTCTATTTAATTACAAGAGAAGTCCTTTTACTGCAGTTGATGCTCAGAAGATGTTACTGTGGTTAATCTTTACAAGACATTACTGCGGTTCGTTATCTATGAGGTATCTTTGACATACAGAACTGCTATGGTCAATTATCCTGATTTCTTGGATTCATCAAAATAATGTCTGACAATGTTATAACACAGCCAAAATTGGTCAAACCCATTGGGAATTGTAAACGAAAATAAAAGAATAAAAAGAGAATAGAAATATAGATAACTTTTATTGAATGAAATAACATCTTCTTTTATATCTTTTCTAAACCTACCCAGACATTATAAATGTCTGTTTTGGTTTCTATTCTACTTTTGTTAAGCTATGTGCTTTCTAATTCTTTTGTGAGCAAAAGGAAATCACTTTGGTCGTTGTTCTCAAAAGAGAAATTTGTGTAATCGTCATCCTAATTGGCTGACAAGAATTCAGGCATGACAATTTGTCGTTCCTGATCTAGGCTATCTTCCAATTCACTGTAAACGTAGCCAAATTGGTCAAGCTGACAGAGTTGACATTGGTGAACAAATTCGGTAGTTATAAGCAACCAGTAAGAGTTGACTTTTTAGGATAAAAGATCTTGACTTTTGCTGATTGGTCTTTCATATATGTTTTAGATGTTTAAGATGATGAATATACTTGTAAAAGATATTATTGAACAACAGGCATCTAAGACATATTATCATAGCTATTCTTTTAGTCAGAAATCAATTATCATTTTGTATAAATAGTTAAGAAATATATTTAATAAAAACTATCTTCATTCTTATCTAAAACCTATTCTTAAAAACTTAACGATCCCCAGTGGTATTGATTCTGCAACTTAGGTACAAGTGCCAGAAAATAAATACCAGATCGAGACTTGAAAAAGTTTTAAAAACACAGGAGTAAGCAAATAAGAGAGAGGATAAAAACATAATCTTTTATTATTTTGCTTTGGGTTATCTTATATACTTTTTGAAATGATTATTCATCTTTGACTACACTTAAGTAGTGTCTAGTAATATTACAAATTATTATAAGTTGATTACAAATTTCTAAAATTACAAACTGATGAATAATCATTCTAATTCCTGCTTCTTTTGTAAGAACAAGTAACTAGAACTTGTATTACCAAAATTAAGCACAAAAAATTCTGTCGGACATTATTTTGATAAATCTGTAAAATCTGAAGATGGTTAACTGTAGTATCTTGTTATGCGCAGTAACATCTTCCTGAGCATTAACCACAGTATAATTACTCTTCTTTTATTTAAATATAATATAATAGCTACTGCAGATAATGCACAGTATTAGTTTAGAAAACTATATAAGACAATTCAATTCGTATCAATAAAAAGTATCTTTTATCCTCTCTTTGATTTTACATATACTCCTTGATTCCCAGTGGGTTTGACCTTTTGACTTTGTTATAGTAAAAGGAAGACCAACCCAGATCGGGAGCAATATTCTTGTCAACCAATTGTTGGACATTATTTTGATGAATCCATAAAATCTGAAGATGGTTAACCGCAGTACTTCTTTATGCACAGTAATATGTTCCTGAGTATTAACTGCAGTATAATGACTATTTCTTTAATTAAATATAAATAATAGCTATTGTGGATAATTCGCAGTATTAGTCTAGAAAACTATATAACACAATTCAATTCATACCAATAAAAAGTATCTTTTATTGTCTCTTTGATTTTATGTATACTTCTTGATCCCCAGTGGGGTTGACCTTTTGACTTTGTTATAGTAAAAGGAAGACCAACCTAGATCGGAAATGACAATTCCTGATCTGAGCTGGTTTTTCTTTTACTGTTGTCAGAGTTGAGTTTTAAGGACAAAAATCTTGACTTTGCCAATTGGTCTTTCATCACACCAAAAGAAATCAGCATCCAAATTTGGACAGGTTTTAAGTACTGTTTTATTAGCATTTGCTGGAAGCACTATAATTGCCTTATACAGAATATAGTAATTTCACTACAGAGCGTGCTTTGAACTTCATTTTTTAAAACAAATTTGGAAATAATGGGTTTTGAAATGCAGAAATTTTATTCAGAAAAAATATGGGGGGGGGGGAGGATTCAACTTTTACTAGGGTGGGAATCAGGCTAGCCTAGACCACTACTATGGGAAAAAAGTGGTCTTTTTTGAATTTGTGACTTTATTTTTGGTCTATAATAATCAAAAAATCACCAAAAATCCAAGTTGAAACAAGAAAATCTTTGCTCTTTGAAATGGTTGATAAAAAGCAAATGAATTGCTTAAAATTAAATCTCAGGAGAGACAAATGTCCATTCTAATTAAATATCTTATATTTTTAATAAATATAGATTGGAATTGAGAAATATTGGATGTCAGAAATAAAAAAAAGAAAATATCTAAACTTTCTGCTGCTTGGATAAAATTTGTTTAAGACAATTTGAAAAAAAAATTATTACAAAAAAAACAAATTATATATTACTTAAGGCACCAAGTGTCATTTTTGGGCCACGTTTAAGGCTAGGCCAAATGATGTAATGGCTACCATTGACATTTGATGGCACCAAGCCAACCAACTCTACAATGTTACTGGCATAAATCACTATAGTCTTTAGCTTTACTACAGATGTAATAGGCAATCTATTTTTCAAATGCACACTATATATAGTTATGAGAGCTAGTGACCATCTCTTTGAGTTGTGTACATGTTGGAAAAATATAATCACCTTTCCAAAGAAATGCTTATATCCTGGATGGTAAGAGCGGGATCTTCTGGAGTTCATGTCCACTTGTAGCTGCACATGAACATGACATGCCTCTCTTGTAAAACTTTGGTTGAATGCAGCATCAATAACACAACCATTAAGATAGGCCTTGCGGCTTGTCTTTATGGAAGGCTCAGGCATACTACATTCTTTCCCTTTCAAATCATAAAACGTATTAAGAAGCAATGAAAGATGAGATCTATCTTCAAAGCTATCGAAAATTGTTAAATTCTTCAAAGACCCCCAGAACTAAATCTCACACTCAGTATTGGCAGGATTACCTCCTTCTGTAATAGGCCACCCATCGGTATATGCACTGTAAACTAAAAGGTTAACTGATGGAGTTTTTGGGTTTGCAACGGTTGTCAGTTCTACTACATGCCAGGATTGCACCAGTCTGATCATAATGTTTCCAGCATTGGCACTGACTTGGAAGTTACTCTTGATAGACCTGAAGTACTCATTAATGGCTCTTTCCATGGATTGTGTACTATATGCTCTTGGCAGGCCATATAGATCAATCATCTGAGAATAATGCTGAATAATGTGCTGGTTAATTGTAAACATGCCAATGTCAATACCTGCTGTAAAAAGAAGACTCTCTAGGAATAAGTTCCATTCTACAAGATTACTAAGAAAAAAGATAAAAGTAAATTACTATGAAAAATGAAATAAAATATTGTATTAAACATACCTTCTTATTGAGGTTTGATCCTCTGCTGATAACTCCCAGCTCATGAGTAAATTGCATGCTTGAACCAAGCCAAGTAATGCCTTTTGGGCAACTGAGTCTTGGACACGCTCTGAAACCAACGTGGGGACAACAAAGAGTAAAAAGTCTGCCCAATCCACAGCTCTAAAGAAACCGGCATTCTTTGTCACATATCTCCAGGCACCATGCAACAATATAGGGATTGTGGATTTTGCGGCTACCATTGCAGCACCAATCTCCCTTTGAGTGGCAAGAGAAAGACATAGAGGATGCTTGATTCCATACTTTTCGTGTACAAGTCCCCATACCTGTTTACTGATTCCGTGGCACAGACCATGCATTTTGTCTAATGCAAAAAAAACGGGCCAGAGAATGTTTCTATTGAGACTAACAGTGACTGACCATTGAACCCCTTTCTGTCTTCACTGCTTGCCAAATTTTAGTTTCTGAAACTCTCTAGTGAGCACGTCTGGGTTCCAGGCAACATGCAGAAGTACTGGCTATGTTTAGAAGTTTGGCCCACTATGTGACAAATACAACAGCCATTCTTACTCATGTGGCCAACATGGCATGCCAGCTTTGCCAGAGCCGGAATATTGCCAGTGGCTATGAGGACATGCACCTTTGCTCTGATTGTTGTCATTGGTGTCTTTACTTCCATGCCTTCTGTCTGGAGCAAACGGAGATCTCTCAGCGTTGGCTCAAGAAAAGGCCAGATGTCACTAGGACCAGTGCAAGCAGGAAGCATTGCTATTTGGATCATTCTGTTTTTCTTATAATGGATTGTCGGACTCAAGTTCAAGACAGTTGCAAGAATAATGGTTACTGATCCAAGTATATTGTGTGGGTTGAACCCATTCACGGATAACAAAATCGCAATATTGTTTTCACCAGAAAACAGATGCTTCATGAATTGGTATACATGACCATCAAAAACATCTGCTTTTTGCCACTGGAAAAAAGTAGGAAAATACTGACGTATATATATAGGCAAATAGTACTGGAATAACGTGATATAGCATAGTTGATATTTTTCACTAGGTTTTAAGGTCATCTAGCACTGTATGTGCAAGACTTACAAACACTATAGTATATGTAGATGGGGGGTTTCGCAAGTAAGGTTTGGTAGCATTTTTGATATACTCGTTATGCTTAATAAATAAATAAAAATATATAAAACTACGGATTTATCTTGGTATTCTTGACACAGAACAGGAAAGGTCAAAGACGGATTACATCATGTATATTGCTCCAATGGTTTATCTGTACTATATCTCACCTTTACTGACCACCTATACTGATAGTTCTTTAAAACCTCCAATCACCAACAGCAAAAAAACACGTCTTTAAAATTATGGACCAGTAATATGTTCTTTATTTATTTGGTTTCCCATTCTTATTAGGTTGATAATGGTTTACGCTTTTATTTTTATTGGAAAGAATAGAATGTTTCTAGGTTTCAAATCTAATAAAGCTATTCTATATCCTCAGCTACTTCTTGCTCGACCGGCTTGTTATATTTGGGATGAAAAATTTTCTACAAAAAACAAATACCTGAAGAAAATAAGGTGCTTGTTACCTTTTTTTAGGGGTAAGAGCAGTACTCCTTGAGAATAGATAAAACATTAGTGATGGGAGTGCATGCGTGTTTTATACTACAAATTTTATGCACTAATTAATACTTACATTAGAAGTACCCAGTACAAATGGACAAAAAAATAAAACATTTACAGTAAAGCACGAGATTATGGTTTCTTTGACTATAAAACAACAGGAAAGAATTAATTTTTGTGAATTGCGTGATAAAATAATTGATTTACATACCAAAGGCAAAGGATTTCTTTGCAGACCAAGATATTATCTGTAAAGCAGTAATATTGTTTCTAGTAGAGAATATACATTAATATACAGTATAAATAATATTATTGTATGTATAGAAGTAAATAAAAGGCTTACCATGGCAATGACGGTAGCATGGGATGGAAGTTCTTAGGGAATGACACGTTCATAAGAGGGATGTTCATCTATAATAGAAATTATATTCAGTTAGATAAATATTAAAAAGAAATAGATTAAAATAAAATAAAATATTACTGTGTCAATATCCGTGTTTGATTGTAAAGAGTATTTTTGGCGATGTGGCCTATATTAAAGAAAGAAAAAAGTCAGAATGATTTTATGGAATGATGGCATAAAGTATATTTACTAACCCTGGCTAATCTGGATGACTGTTGTGAAGATGGCGCATCAGAATGAGATGAAGAGTGAGTTTTTATGACATTAAAATATATTGTTATTTTTTAATTATATAAAGAAGTGTATATTTTTTTAAAACAAAGAAAGTGCCTTACCATAAAACCTTGCAAGTGTAAAGAGTGAAGAGAGAGAAACAGAGAGAATAACTATGACCGACAAAAAAATTGATTCTTTTGTTCTTTATAAAGAAGTATTTTGAACCAAAAACAATCTTACCAGAAAAATTTGCAAATATAACAAGAATTGAAAAGAGAGAGAAAAGAGGGAAATAACAAAAAACGAATAAAAAAAGTAAAAAAAAAATCTTAAAAAAAAAGTGTGTTTAAAACAAAAGACTAAAATGATTTCATCAAGTCCCAAAGCAATATGAAAACCAATTTACATCCCAGTCATTACAAGAAGTATTAATAGAGATTTGTATATCAAATATATTTTGAATATATATAATAAGCATACCTTTCATATAATATACTTTCTCTTGCTCTTACTCTCTTGCTACTTACTACACCTATACTCCCAAATCAACACACTTGTTCTAACAATTCAAGTATGTAAACTTGATACAATTTATTTTTAATTTAATTTAAATAAATTTAATTGTAGAATGACAGCAATAATAATAATATAATCTGAAACTAATCATTATAATCTTTCATTTTATTATATTCTGTAGACAATGACTAACACAAGACATGAATGTGCGATTGCCTTTTGTCCTGTTAAGATTACCAATCAGCAGCTTATGAAAATACTTTCTACTATGAGAGCTGATATGTCTACCATAAAAGGACAGATCGGCAATGTTGAGCAAACTCTGACCAACATGAATGACAGAATTGGCGTTCTTGCTACCACCAGCACCAACACCATCAGTGCCATAGATAGTTTGGCCAGAGCTCCCCTTGCTGCTCCTGTGAGAGCCAAACTCACTGTTGCTGCACCTGTTGTCATCTCCAACCATGAGCCTACTTGTGAAGAATCTAATGCAGTTTATGTGAGTAACATATTATAAAATATTTTATCAATTCATTTTCTCATGATTTATTTATCAGGCACATATTCACAACCTTATGTGAAAACCCAAGCTTAGCTTGAGAACGCCAGAAAATATCCTGGCCAACAATCTCAAGCCCAGATGGGATACAAATGTTGCTTTCAACAAATCTCCCAACAGGGAGATAGCCAAGAGACTTCTTTTTAACCTTGAGCACATGTTTGGTTCCTCTAGTATGAAACAGAGTGACCTCCAAAAGAGGTTGCATACCAACTTCACTAGTAGAACCCGTCATGAGAGAATGTCTGATGATGAGATAGTGGAAACAAATGCTCTTACACAAAGAGCAGCCTGTGCAGATGATGTGAGTATTATGCTAATATATATAGTTTATAGTTGAAAATTAAAAATAAAAATAACAAATTAACAAAACTTATTACTAGAATGAGTGTTACCGTGTACTGGCATACAAAGACAATAAGGAGACAATTGATCTTGTAATGCTCAGAGACTGTGCCAACACTCTCCAAAAAGCAGTAATGTCAGATGGAGAGTCTGCCAATGAAATGGACGAGGATGGCATAAAACATGTCATTCATATTGTACAACCAGGCTGAAGAAGTGATGAGGTAGATTAATTTGGAGTAATACTTTTGTATTGGTGTATTATTATATTGAGTGAATTATTAACAAATGTATTTCAGTGCAACCGTTTCATTGCACTTGTTGACACTTATGCTGTCCAGGCCATGGGGTCAAGTGCTAATCAAAGGATCCGTAGGATCACTACTAGTGTGTCCAACTCAGCAGTCCCGGATAACATTAGCCCCAATTTTCCTCGGTGGGCTCTTAGAGACAGGCTCAAAATAAAAAAAATGTTTCTCTCTTTTTATCTACGATTACTTTTTACATACACAATACTATCAATATATATAGGGAATTTGTTCTGTTTTTTTTTATATAAGAAAAGGAAATTCAAGTGGGAGTTTTTTTTATTTTAAGCATAAAGCTTTTTTGGCAAAGCAATTACTAACATCTTACTAACATTTCTACTTGTAGTAATCCTGGCTGTAGCAATCTCTAAAAAGATGCGGTGCACAGGTACAATGCAATGGCGACTATTGGGGGAGAAGGTGGGGAGACAAAACTCAAGACTGTCATCCTCACGCGATCTATCAGAGGAAGTATTAAACCACTTGATATATGCGAATACATGTTGATGATCATGAACCATGCGAGTCAGGTGGAGATTACTGTTAGAAGGGTGTGTAAAGGAGTGTGTGAAGAGATATTGTATTTGTCCAGCATAGGCTAGGGTATTTCTACCGTCACTACCAACAAACATTACGTGGACAAGAGAACCACAACTAGCTGAACCGTTTTTACCATGGTACTGTTGACCAAGTAAGTCAATGAACTTCAACTTTGTGATTTCATTGTCAACAAAGGAGTTGGTGAGCGTGGCATATTGGTAACTGACAAGGTCAGGAAGATCATAGGATGTTTTGTAGTGCTGAAGCAGATGGGCATAGTTGGTTTCATCCATCAGTGATGATTTTTTTAGCTGAAGAGAAAAAGTGGAAAGAGAGAGAGGTTCATTACCCTTTGAAGAAAGATGTGGGTTGGACAATGCTAGTAAGAATGATTGCAATCGGAATGAATGGGAGGAGAGGGTAATGACTGTGGTAGTAGGTGTGAATTTCAAAGAAAGCTTTGAGAGAATGTTGAAAAAGGGGACATGGCTAGAACTTTTCAGAACAGCATTGGCATAGTCACCCTTGAATGCGTTTTGAACAAAACTTCTCATATATGTTGCCTCAAAACTATCTTTTCCATTTGTCTTGATATACTTCAACAGGTCATTGTATCTCTCAAACCCAAAGAGCCAGTAACCGTACACAGGTCCAAAATCACGAATGGTCTCGCGAAGGTGGAGGTGCAGATGCATGTTGCAGGTGAGGATGGTGGGAGTGTAGAGTTTGGTAGCCTTTTTGCAAAACATTTCCAGATAGTCATGGGTACTGTTCACTTCATCAAATGTGATGCTTGGCTTGATAAGATAGTGGCATGCATGGACAAAATTCATCCAGTTGTTGTACATTTCAAATGGTAGAACACCATGCAGCAGAACAGGAGAATACACCAGTACCCAGGATTTCCAGTCGTCGGCTTTCATGTAAGGAAAGCCATTTCCAATCTTCAAAGTCAGCTTTGTATAATCCCTCGGAAGGACCATTGTCTCTGCGATTTTTTCCATGGCAGCAAACTCTTTGGCTCCAATCGTTTTCTTATCGACCCACCAGTCCATCATTCTCTTGGGCGTCCCCAGGAATAAATTATGCATGGGATCAATGATTGTTCTACGTACTAGATCAAAGTATCCAAGGTGTTGCAACTGCGACCATCGAACACCATATTCGACCTCCAGCTGGTGCCTTTCTGAGGGTGTACTCGCACTCTTCCACTCCTTAGCATGCAACCTGTTCTCTACACTGCTACGAATATTCCAAAGCGAATAATCGAATCCACTGAAGTCCACCTGATTTGTGTTGGGCAATCTGGGAAACTGGGTTGTACACTTGTAGCACGCACATATACTATTGTGGGCTGTAAATCCACTTGTTTTCCTGGCAGCAGAGATGTCACACGCAACCATCAGCAAGACAGCACAGACATTAGCACCAGAAGGGCACTTGTAGGTCAGGACTCGCATTCCAACATACAACTGTTTCATCTTGTCTACCATGGGCTTGAGATAGTTATTTATCTCCTCGCATCTTGGCTCCTTGGGACCAGGCATCAAACCAATCAGAATTGTGTTCTCAGGCTTGAACCGTACCTCTCAAGGCAGATTATTTACAACCAAGTAAATTGCACCAGAAGAGTAACTAACTCCATCGAATGGCTGAAACTAGTCTATGTTAAGTGTCAACATCAATGAGCAAGGACAAGCAACAAACGAGACACCACTTGCATCCTTCAGCTCTTTCCACATTGCTCCATTGTATACGTCACACATAGTATCGACAATCTTAAGCTCTATGTTCCAGTGACGGATTTGCTCTTCAAAACCAGGATGAAGGAAAAGAACAGACAAAGCTTGCTTGAGGGACTGATACAAGTATGCTTGCTTTGATACCAGTGCATCTGAAGTTGACTCTTTCATCAACTTACAACCACAAGGAGAGTGTGCACCAACATTTGTGAAAACACAATGGGGAGGTACAGACATGTTTTCTTCATAGATGCAATGGCAGTTTAGACATGACACAAATCGCTTGATGCCTTTGGTGATAGACAAAAAGCCAGTTATTTTATGTAGCCCAGCCAGACTTTCAGGAAGTTGGAAATCTTGTTCATAAATCTTCAAGAGCTCGTTGATGAACTCAATCAAAACAGCAGAACCCTTATTGACCACGTAACAAGATGCAAACAGTACTGTAAAAGTAGCAATAAATCTGTGCACTGGATTCTCAGGCATACCAGAAGCAGCAAAAGGGTCTTTTTTTTTTAGTTTTTTTACGTATTTAAAACTGACCCTCATTGTTAAATTCTCCAACATAAATCTTGGCAGTGTCTTCTTTGCCATTGTCATCACTGTCATTGTCATCGGTTATTTCAGACTCATCACCATTGTAGTCATTACCAACAAAGACGTCATTATCAAATATTGAGACGGCATCTGAAATAGGTGAGTTGGCCTGACCGTCCATTGCTTCCACAGAATGGGATTGATACGTTGGGATTACTACAAATATGGAATATAATAGTTTATTATTAGTTTTTCTTCTGCTTTTCAAATAAAAAATGTCTTACTTTCAGTATCTACTTCCATGCTTCTCTTCTCAGCTATGTTTTTTAAAATAATAAAAAATAAAAATAAAAGCGATTATTACTCGGTAAACAGATAACAGTACTGAATAAATTATATAACTCTTGAATATCTTAGTACCTTCAAATCTAGCTCTTTTACTATGACGCTGAGCAGTACATCTCAATACTTGGGAAACTCCTTGATCATTATTATTGCATCTGGTGCAGTGGCAATCAGTGCTGAGTATTTAATAGAAGGAAACATAGTGTATGTATTTTGAATTATAAAATAAAAAAGGAAACAAGAGTGCTACAAATATTTTATTTGATATGGTTTTATAGTAAACCAAAACATATTTTTTATTTTTTTTATTTTATTTTTATTTAAGCCAATAGAATACATCAAAACTATACCCCCAACTTGATAAAAAAAACTGCTGAGATGAAAAAAAATCCTGACATATCCACTATGATCCGACTATCTGGACAATATGTTAATTGTTCTTATTTTTCCAGTGTGCCCATATTGGCTGGATTGGTGGTTATGACGATAGAGCATTTCAGCCCTGGTCTTGTCATCAGCCAAGCACAAAGCAAGCTGTCTGGCCAAAGGAAGCTGTACAATTGATCTCACAGGAACCCTGGTGTCACTTTTGCTAGTTTGGCCATTTTTATATCTTGCTTCACTGCATTTTACACATGCAATATCATTCTCGTTATTAAACTGCATACAACCTCTGATGCAAATGTTGTATCCATCTGCTTTGATATCCGAGAAGTGCTCAAGAAGCTTGTTTCCAAGGTGTGAGCTACATGCTCGGTATGTAATATTGATAGAACAATCAAGGATCTGGTTGAAGTGTTCTACAATCTTTTTGTGGGCTCGATGAGAAATTCTGAGCTCTTGGATTGACTGCATGAATGCGAGATTTTTTTATCATTGTTGCTGGGAACAGGAAGAGGCTGGCTAAAATCAAAGACTAGCAAGGATGTGGTGTCTTCAATTTCGTCAATGACATTCTTGCATTCTTCTCCAACATCGTATCATAGTAAGATAAACAACAATAAGTATGATTATCATGATATATGTATTTATGTATCTCACCATGGGCTCATCATCTTCAGTACTGTCAATGATATCCATATCCTCACTACTGCTTGTGTTAATGTTTTCTCTGTTTGTTTATCAAAGTATACAGCTAATTAATATACTGTCTATCTTTTTGTGTTTTTGCTTTTCATAAGCTTACCCAAAGGCCAAGTTAGAAGCCATTGCTGGTGTAGACTGGCTTTGATTAGGAAAAGAAACCGCTTGAGAAACTTCGGCATTTACAAGCAAGTGTATGCTATTTGCAATACATTTTTCTAGGCAGCTTTTATATGTTTGACTGTTATTAAAGGTCGACTTGCAAATTTGGCATTAGTAACAAGAGACTTTTGTGATTTTGGACATATTTGAGGTAGGTAAAAAAAAACTTTGTTATATAAATAAGAATAGAATTAATTACTTTCTGAATGTATAGCTTTATACTTAATTATATAAAGGCAATGATGTTATATGCATTCTGAATATGTGCTCAGGATCTTAAAGAAGTATCTGTATATCATCAGTGAAGTTACTAGATCAATGTCTCTTCAGGAGTAACCAATAGATTTGTACAAATAATTTGAAACTAATAATTTGAAACTAAAGATTTGAAACTAATAATAGTTTCTAGTAAAAAAATTTCTCTTTCTTTTTTTTCTATAACAAACATATAACTGATTTTTTTTATAATTATAAATAATACAGACAATACAGTGATTCAGTTGCTTCAAGGAATACAAGCTGCACTTATTTCCCTAAAGAGTGGTCAAGAAGCATTGCTAGGCTGTCAAGAAGCATTAGAAAAAAAAACAAGATGCAATGCAACTTCAAATGACAAGTTTTTATAATGAATTTAAAGATTGAAAATTTCCAGATAGAACTATTGTAACCTCTACCAGTGTAAGCAAATACTATAACAACTAAAGTCCTTTCAATTAATGTCAAACATAATAGACTCTTACTGGCATCATTCCAAGACCCATATCAAAAATCAACAATATAACTTTAAAGCATATATATAAGATGATAACAGACGATCTTAGAATAGAATTGACCAAGGAAACCAAGAGAATTGTTAACATATGTATCAAGATCATATGTGATCAACTGGCAGCTCTTCCATCTGTTCAGGATCTTGGAACAAACCCTGCCTGGTCATTGCTTCCTCAAGAGGATAAAAACAGGTTGTGTATCAATCATTCCATCATACTCAGAGACAATGGAATTGATTTTACCAGATGCCACAGAAACTAGGCATCAATTGCAAGGGTTAGCCAACTCTGGAGAGGGCGTAAGAAGCGAGAATACTCTGGTAAGTTCATATCTGATAGGTACAAAAAATTGTGTAATTAATGTGAAAATATGTAATAATCTGAAAGAATTTTAGCCAGTATAATTCACAAATAAAATATTATTTCTATTATAACAACCAATAAAAACATTTTTAAATAATGATATTCTATGAAATAAAACTTTTTTGCCCAATTAAAACTGTGAATGAATCAGAATATATATATGAGAACCAATTGAGAGAATGCTTTTGTTTAAATGATCAATACTATCAATGTGTATACTGCAATAAAGTTTATATTATCCAATTAAAAGTAACAGTATAACGAGAGTATTTTATGAGTGACAATACAAAGATTCTTTTTTTCCATCTATACTAATAAGAAAGCTCTTTTTTATTTTCTTTCTACCAATAGAACAAGAAGAATAATACATAAATTTAAATATCAGAATATGAATAAAACCTAACATCCATCAGTCAATGGAAATCTAATTATATTTCCAAAAATAGGGGCAGTCTTTTTGCTGGTTTTACTAAAACTGCCATCCAAAAGACCACCTAAAATACTACCTAAAAGACCACCAAAAAGATTACTTTTTTTCCCGTAGTGCACTACTACTAGGCTACTCCCACAAGGCCATCTTTGGACTGATGCTTAGCTTTCACTTGGCCTTTGCTTAATGCCTGCCCAGAATTTATCTGACTACTGAAGCTACTTAGATTCTATTGAGGCTCACTGACATAATATATAGAAAAGCAAATGTGGTGATCCAGACATTTGGATGTTGAATTTATCACATATAAGAACATATTCATATTGAGATAGCGTAGTAGCTATCATCTTGTCAGTATAATATATATATAAACGATTAAGTAATCAGCCCAATAATTATTATAGTTAGTAATGTAAATAATATCTTAAAGATTGTTAAAATAATTATATCATACTACCAGGTAAACTGTGTCAGATCGATATGGAGCTAATTTAGTAGAAAGTCCTAAAGCTCTAGTATAAAAGAGAAAAGAATAGCTAAGAGCTAAAGAAGTACGATTTATGACTTGATGTCATAATTGTAACACTGACACTAGTTAAGCAGTAAATACACTCTAATAACCAAATATAGTAAAGGAAGAAAGCCTTAAGAAACTAAGACGTAATGACAAGAGCAGATTGTGTTTTCTTATAAAAAGAGACACTTTTTATTTATGAATAAAGAACAACTGATATATAGTCTCAAAGTATTTCTATACATCTCTATTATCAAATATTTTATTTTTCTATTGTTTCGTACCTGAAATACCATAGCAAATGATAGCGTGAAGAGACAAAGACACTGGCAAGCTATTTGTATAAATACAAATAGAGATATTCATAGCTAAAATAAAAAATTAACAAGAGTTAGAAGCTGTATTTATACTTATAATCAAATAATAAAATATCTTTACTATAAATAAAGAGCTATACTATTTGTTGTAGCTTTACTTATCTGAAATGTAAACTATGTGTTAGTATAAAGTGTTTTGACTTGGGACAGTTTGTTTCTTTTTATAAAGCTTACCTCACAATGACAAGTACTTGATTAAAAGACTTTTGATTATTTAACATATAGAAAAAATAGCATATGGTTTAATTTATTTACCTAAACTGATTACAAGCATGGTTTAAAAATTCTATATAAAAGTAAAGTAATAATCATTGGTCATTACAAGTTCTGTTTGATGAGTAAAAATAAAGAAAGAAAAAAATTAACTTATAAAAAAGAAAACAAAGAGAAAATAAAGAAAAAATACTAAGTAAAATTTAAGACTCAGAAAGTTATTTAAGTTTGCATTAGTTTCATTATTGTCAGGCATCTTTCTTTACTTTCTTTCATTTAATTAACCTTACTTTATAATAGGCAAAAAACAACTGAAATATAGCAAAAAGTTAGGCAAAATTAAGCTTGTAAGTCATTCTTTCATCTGCCATTTGTGCTTGCAAGAGTGCAACACATTGTATAACCTTCAGCAACACATTCAGGTACATGAGATAATAACCTCTTTGGATTCTTTAACTAAAAATGTGCTCAGTCTCAACGTTATAAGCATTCTTGATTCAGAAAGAGAATATAATGTAGTCAAAGATAGTCAAGAAGCATTGTTTCAAGTCAATATTTTGGTCATGATTGAAGAAGAACAAGAAAAAACTATAAGAGAGAATATTTCTTCTCTTAGAGAAAGAATCTTTAACATGACATCATTGACAATAAATAGTAACATGAAATCAGATCTCCCTATCTTGGCTTTCAAAGATTGTCAATCTCTCTTGGATTTTTCTGCTGCTTCTGGTGAATAGAATTGAAGTGTACCTCCATTCTTTCTTTTTCAAAATCTACAGACCTTAGTTTTGCAAGTCTTTGTTGACAGGAATGACAGTATGATCTCAGTTTCCATACTTATAAAGATCATGTATACCATCAATTTGTTGTTTGAGTTGAAGAAGAAAGCAGACAAGAATAAAACAGAATTTAAGCTGCCAAATGTTGGGACTCTGCTTAATTATCAACATAATAAGTTCAACAAGATTTTTCTGTTCCCTACAACTATTAAGAAGGTTATGATCAAAGCAACTTCCAATTTAAATTCAGGAATTACTGGCCAAGTGAAGACTGCAGACTGCCACTTTAACTTACCTTTCAACCACTTGCATCTTCTTTTGGCAAACCCTAAAAAAGCATCATATCTTTCAGCTATTCCAGATTATACTGAAAATCAGTGTCTTTCTATTCAACAAGATGAAAAATGGAAAAGAGACCCTTTGTTTCAACGTCTTTTTATTCAAACAAATGACAGCAACTTTTGGATTGGAGAGGTTGGTGTTTTATCTGGTGAATAATCTGTTTTAGTTGAAAGGTTTTATCTAAAAGACAACATTGCTCTCTTTGATGGTTACCTTGTTGAACAGGGCTCTGACAGTGAAGGTTACCTCTAGCATAAGATACAAAGCTTTCCTGTCATGTATGAAGTTAAATGTCTGGATCCTGTTTGGCTCCCCCCAATATTCTTTAGCCGTCCCAAGAATTGGGTTCTCTCTGGTAAAACAGCATTGAATCTAATACATCATGACTTGCTGTTTAAAAGCTATCCTCTGAAAAAATCAATATTCAACAGTGCCAACCAATTTGTCTAATTTCAAAAGACTATTATTGCCTCACTTGCCATATTTTCTGATGATACCTCTGGGAATCTGACAAAAACACATGGCATGTATGACAGTGTGCTGGTCAACTTCTCTGAGATGTCATACCACATGAGAAACAGGCGCAAGAAGAATTTTTTTGTCATGGCTGTTTCCCAGCAAGCTGGATTCAAGTTTACTCCATTGATGCGCATTCTTGCTGTAGACTTGAAGTCCTTGGAAAATGATATTGAGATGTACTCATTGACATATAACAAGACTGTCACTGTCTGTGCTCTATTGCTCTTCATTACAGCTGACAATGCCCGCCATACCAAACTTGTTAGTTTGAAGCATGCAATGTCTAATTTCCTATGTAGAAGATGCTACCATTACAGTTTAACAAGATTTAGTTTCAATGACTTCGACTCTGATCATCTGGTTCGCCATTATCAAAGAAGAACAAAGGAACATTACAGGATTGCAGCTACTGACCCAACTCGTAAATAGTAGGCAATTTCTAATGTATTACTGAACATTAATGATCTTTACTTGCGAATAGAAAAGTCTATGAATAAGATGCCTATTCTTGCTGATCTTTGGTATAGTTATACAAGTGCTAAAGATCTACTCTGTTTGCAGTCTTTTAATCCTGCTTTTGACACATCTGTAGAGGTTTTACATACTGTGACTCTTGCAGTATATAAATATCTTGTTAATCATTCGTTCAAGGAGGTTCTAAAAGGAAACACTACTTTACAAGTAAAGTTATTCAATTTGCTAGAGCAAAAAAAAGACTCTAGGGACTTTACAAGAACTTTCAGAAAGAAGTTTAGACATAGTGAATCATATCTTGGCAAGGAGTTCAAGATTTTGATGCAAGTCCTGCTAGCTATTCTCAATGCTGAATTTGCAAACAACACAGAGGTTAGTATAATTGCTAAGCCTTTCACAGAACTTGGCATTCTATCATCTCTTTTATTTGTTCAAGAAGTCAACTCTGATTTCAATCAATATCTCAGCAATGTCGATAATACTACTTGTCATCTTGTCGAGTCTTTGTACAAATATGACATATATGTCAATACTAAGTTCAGCTTGACTCTGAAGACGCATCTTCTGCTGCACTTGAAGGAAGATATCAAGAGGTTTGGTTGTGATCTTCACTTTGAGACCAAAAAGGGTGAACAGTTCAACAAGTTCATCTGAACTCATTTGATATACTCCAACCATCATGCTGATAACAGGGATTTTGCATTCAAGTTTGAAAAGCAAGATATGCTTAGACACATTGCCAGTAGAAGTTCATGGATTGATAGAACTACAGGTACTTAAGTAAAGAGTGGATCCGGTATTTCTGCCTTTCTTCAAGATCAAGGAATCTAATTTTCCAACAACTACTTTGGCAAATACCAGAAATTTGTAAACAATAATCACATAAAAACAAAGATTGTTACTGGTGCCTCAGTTGCATTTTTCTATAAAGATAATGTTAGCAGACTGTTTGTTAGAAGGGTTGTAGAAAGTAATAGTGCTTTGTGCATTCAGCATTACCAGCTTTTCTCACCTAACCTGAATTTGGCAACAGTTGGCTGCCAACCAAGTGAACATTACTGCAATCTGGAAGATGTCAAAATCAAATGCATGTTACATCTGACTTCAGGTGTTCATCTTTCTTGCATCAATCTCCTCAAGTTTAGATCTTATCACTTCTTTTACAAAAATTACTTCCGTTTTTTTTTGCTTTAAATGAATAAACTTTTTATTTCTTTGCCCCACATTTTTTTAATTGCTTTTTAATTTCAGTTTGGACTATTAAGTGTTTCTATTGGGTGCTTCTCAAAAAGTAACAGTGAGTTTCGATTTTAGAAGTGTCAACTCTCCAAATTTTTTTTTTTGAGATTTTTCTGAAAAAAGAAACACTTTTTAGCATAAATTAACTTTCATAGATAAAAAACTCTTATTTTAGGCTCATAGACCCAAAATTATCATTTTCATACAAGAATTTCTCTTGGTGTAATATCACCACCAGAGATATTTCTTGTGTAATCATATTCCCAAAAGAGTTATAATATTTGATGTGTCACTTATTTCCTTTTATGGATCTACGCATTTTATGTGATAGTTCTGGTCAGAAAAAAAAATCACGGATTTAAAAATATATTTTTGCAAATATCAAAAACTATTCAAAAATGGCTCAAAAATAAAATTTGTTTCAAATAATTTTTGGGTTCAAAAAAATGGACCACTGTAGAAAATGAATTACAAGTATTTTTTTATACTCATAACTTTCTGTTCAAAACTCTTAACTCTTAAAAGTCCAACATGCACTTACTAAGTTTAGTATGTGCTAAACCTATTTTAGTACTCAGAAGCTGATATTCAAATATGATTATCTTACTTTTAAGCTAGAAGGTCATTTTAGATAAATATAGTATGTGAAACTGCTTATCAGTTTACAAAATTGGATAAAGCTACAAACACATCCAATAATCTACTCACAGCTTAAATTTGTACATGCATCAGTTTACAAAATTGGATAAACAACAAACACATCCTATCGATTATTCATACCTTGAATATGGACATGTATCCATTTTTATATAATATTATACTTTAATAACAATACCAACACACTTCTTGATGAGTTTAAATAAAGATATATTTAAAAATTAAAGAGGTTATATTTGTAATATTGTTGTATCCAACATAATTGTAGATTTAAATTAAAAGTACAGACACTCAATAAATACGTACATTGAGTTACCAACAACTAGTAACGATACTAAAAGATATACCTTCTTTTATACAAGGAAATTACATAAAGAACATACTAAGACAAATACTAAGACTCTAGTCAATAATACTAAAAACATAAGAACTAAATCATAGAAGATAATGATAGAGAAACAGACATTAAATGATATCATCATATCATCACCAAGCTAAATACAATGTCTATATAAACGCACAATACTAATAGCAATAGAACAGCATCTCTTTTCTGATTCTTTCACTTCTTCTAATAAAACAAAGTCTCACCGTACTTTTGTCTGCACTTGTTTTATTTTATATCTTATTTTTACCTCATACATAACAAATATGAAAGAAAAGAAAGAAAGAAAAAAAGAAAAGAAAAACAATAAATGGGAAAAAATATTGATAATGACTTTGAGAAACTTTCACTACATGTCAAATGGTCTTGTCATTTACATCATGAACGAGACCAGCCATCCCCTTGATAGACTTCACATCCACCACCTTCTTGTCACCAATTGTAGTACTTTCCCACACTGGGAACATTTCCTTATTATTGGGCTGGATGCCACACAGATGGTCAACAATGGTGAAGAGTCTGGTTTCTTCTAAGACAGAGTAGGAGAAGAACTTGCGAACAAATCCATACCTTTTAAAAACAAATTTGGAACAAGATTAATATTATAACAACATAAAATATAGCTCATACAACTTACCTCCACAGATGTTCGAGCACAACAAGGTCATTGGCTCGAACATGTCTGCTGTTGAAGGATGACCGGACTCTGTACACCACTTGGTCCTTCCACATCTTACTGGTACAGACAACCCAGTTGGTTTCTTCAACCATTTACACAACATTTTGGCCCCAAAGATCTGCCAAATAACAGACCAAAGTATGGTAGTTCATATCTGTTTTGCTCGCCACAGCAACAAGAGTTTTTCTGGTTGGATTTGACCAAAGCTGAGAACCAGCAACATCGTTACTTGCAGCCCCAAAGTTGCTGGCCCTCCTGTCCCTTGGTCCTCTGGTTACAACCTCACCACCAAGACAATGGCGTATCCCAGCCTTGCAAAACAGAATATTCTCCATGTTTCTTTCCAGGACCCTTGCAGCTCGATATGCATCAATGGTGTGTTCAATAGGACAACAACTGTATGCCCTCAGTGGGCCCATCTCCCTCATCATATAACCGAGATGAACCAGCATGTGCTGGTTCATCACAAAAATTGTAGGTTTCATCCTTCCTTCTGCAATTTCTTTCCGAAGGAAGGAATGCCAGCACCCAATGGCTCTATAAAGGTAATTAAAACGTTGTTTATATAAATATTACTGACTTACTCTTCCATATTGCGGATTTCTGCCTCTGTCACCTCCCACTGCTGGGCAATAGTACAAGTATCAACCAGGTCTTGAACAGTTTTCTGGTGCTGACAAGGACAAAGTTCTTGATTACTACTGCTGACACAACAAACAGAAGGAAGTCTAGCCAGTTAACTGTCTTCTGTCTGCCAGTCGTTTCCTTCAGTGATCTCCAACTGCCAGTGAAGATTGCTGGTATATTGGCCCTAGACTTGCTTATCGATCTATTGATCTGTTTGAGCCTTACATTTAAAGTGAATGTATACACTATTGGTTGTTGTTGTTGTTGTTGTTGGATGTCACCTACTAAATGGGCTTCGTTGTTTTCAGTCCAGGAACTCACAGCAAACTTGCCACCCAATTCCTTGTACAACTGATGTTCAATCTCATGGCCGATGATATGTATCTCGTCAAGCCCAAAGAAAGCAGGACTTGTCAATGTATTGAGATCTCTGAAAACATTGGGACCATTGACACCATATCTTTAGAAAAAGGGTATTAATATTTTAATTATTTGATAATGAAGTACATATGTTTCTCTTAAACTGACAAAGACTTTCTACAGTTCTCATTGGGGCAGGCAGCTCATTGCCAATAAAACACATGGTGTGAAGTTTGGATACACCCTTGGAAAGACAGGCTTGGCACCCAAAGAAAGAATTATGGTGGGCCAGGTTCATCAAGTCTGACACGACTGGATTATTGCCAGTTGCCATGACAAGATGAACTTTGACACTTACTTACCTAGAATTTGTCTGAACTCTCAGACCAGAAGTTTTCAACATATGCAAATCTTCTACTATTGGTTCCAAAAAGGATATGATATTCTTTGGGTGTTCAGGTCCAGGAATTATTTCCAGCTGCATCATATTGTCCCTCTCATATCTAAGCATATTTAGTTAGCAATTTTATACAGGGTGTCTTATATTATATCTTTTTTTTAGATCAATGTTGAGATTGATAATGTGGACAACAGTTGCAGACATTTTTGAGTCGTTGAAAAGGTTAAATTAGTCAATGAACATTGTAACCAAAATATCATTCTGACTAACAATACCACTCTGAACCAAACGGTGGACAGCATTACCATCAAGAATATCAGATCTCGTGGTACTAACATTATGTGAAAGACGGTTTTTGCTGTATTCCATCTTGGTGCGTTCCTGAGAATTACCAAGCTTGAATCTTAATTGCTCAGAGAGAGACACAACCTGGAAGGTCTGCACTGGAATCAAAGTGCCTCTCTTGCATTGGAATCGTTGACTATTACAGTGAGAACACTGCTCTTCCTCATCTGCATGCTGTCCGGCTTCTATGGCTTCAAAGCGGGTACAACCTTCTTTACACATGTCGTGTGTTACAGGACGGACAGTATACTCTTGTCTTAGAAGGGTGTCCATCTTGTAGTATGACATCAATGAATTGATGGCAGCTAAGATAGTAGTAAGTTTATATGCTATAAATATTTGATATTGACTATATACTTATGCAAGCCACATTCTGTCATATACTTATTCATCATTTTGACACACTTGTCAAAAACATTGCGAGATACATTGTTCTCAACAAGCATAGAAAACAACTCTAGGCTAGCTGCCTCTGCCCCACACCTGGGCTCATAATGAGGAACTCTAGGAGTCTCATCCAGTTTGCTTTTGTTGCTTTTGTTGCTTTCATTGCTTTCATCGCTTATTTCGCTTTCATACTGACTTAAAGAATCTGCATGATTAACAGTGTTACAGATACAGAAGTAACCACAACCAGTTTCTTCTGTATGAATATTTGTGTGTGTGGTTAATATTTTTTTTAGAAATTAAAGAGGTTAGTTTAACTGTTTCCTTTTCTTTTTCCCTACCAAGTGGAGTCTCAATGTCTGTAGGAACATCTTGGCCAAATTCAACATCAACATCCATCGAACCTGCTGGGCGGTTTCTGGTTTCTTCTAAAATAAACTCTCTCAAGTCATACTGCTCACCACTGTACAACTCGTTGTTGTATTTAAGAGCAGTAAAGCTTCTAGAAATAGCATTATTTCTTGCTTGATTGCCTTGGTGATCAAAACCAGTAAAATTGAAGATATGTTCTGAATGGTTCACTGATTCAGCTCTATCTTCGTTGACACTGTTTTCAAATGTTTGTGTGATCAAGTTGCTGATCTTCATTTTAAATAAAGGTCTTTTTTGCAGATAATTAGTTTGATGATAAAATGTAGCAAAAAGACTTGGAATATAAGTTAAAAGAAAAAACAATTATGAATATAAATATGAACTTATGTTTTTTTATTATTTATTTAATACTGAATATAATAAATTCATGCAATATATTGCATGATTATGACTGTGGATAATAAGAAGAATTTTTCTTGTAAAAATCAAATCTCGTTCTTTTCTACTTTTTTTTCCAAAATGATAACACCCTAAAATCAACTGACTTAAGCTTGTCTGGAAGCTCTTGAAGCTACGTTTGCTCAATTGCAAGCACAAATCAATGGTCTCTGAGAGACAGAAGACAACTTTCTGTTGGAAACTGTTGGTCACATACCAGCTGGAGAACGACTAGTAGGACAAGGGACTGACAGTCAGGTCTCCTGAGACATTGAACGTCCTGGTTTCAATGTTCCTGGTAACGCTTGGAAACTTTCAGCTGGTGCAATAAAGTCTGCAATGGCTATATACATGACCAAAGCCAATAAAAAAGCTGCCAAAGACATATACAAATCAGCTTCATATGTCATTCACAGTCTACTCAGAGTCGCTTTTAAGAATTTTTATTAAAAAAGGGAAAACATTCCTTTGTGAAGTGATCTTACAGAAGTTCAAAAGAAGAATCTGATTAAAAATCTTGAGATATATGCAGCCTATAGAAATATTTATCTCAATCGGTTTGTAAAAGCATGGGCAGCCAAGTACATACTTTCTCAAAAGTGGAGATCTGCCAGACTTTTAGTATTAAAACACTGAAATATATATTTTTTTGAAAAAATCACAATTCATTGATTATTACACTTGAATCCTCAAATATTATAATGTTTAGAAATCAGTTAATTTTTCTTAGGTACAGAAGGTAAAAAGTAATATATAAAGATATATATATATATATATGTATATAAATTATAGTAACTTTATAACTTAAACTGTTATTAAATATCATATAAATGAATACTTCTTCTTTGTGTACTTCTTTTTCTATCTTTTTATTTTCAATAATTTGATAAAGAAAAACTAAAAATAAAACCATAAGATTCTAATATAAAACATTACACATTTGTTGAACCAATTATAAGAAGAATATATAGACCTAAAAAAAGGTATAAATCTGCCACATTTAGCATATTTGATTGGATTAGATGCAAAAAAAGATCTGAAATCCTATAAATCATATTTCCCAGAAAGTAAAACTAATAGGCTAAATGCTAAAATTCTATTGACTATACAAGTTATGCACTTGTAACTTGTTACGAGGTCAGTATTCTAAATACAGACTTTTAAATGGCACGAGTTATAAACTCATAACTTGTTACACTGGAAAAATAGGGTAATTTCATCTATGGCGTAGGGTACTATTATTTGTGGAGTGGTAGCTTAAATTTCCATCACTTTTGTCTTTTTTATTTTCGACGGCGATGATAATGCTCGGTCTGTTTTATTGGATAAAAAAACGAGTTTACTCTTTTTTGTAAAAAATGTCTGCGAGATTTCTTTTTGGGACTTGTAGCCATGTCGCAGAGTCAATAGTTGTAGGAAACTTAAACCAAATGATATCTTTTGAGTGAGATAATAAAGCTTTTTATTGTTGTAATATTTATTTATAAGTATGATGAGGTTAATGGTCGTGATATTACTACAAATATTTTTGTTGTATATGCTCTACAGCCAATAAAATGTACATGACGACATGTTTTAACAAAAGCGTGTATTATTGTATTTTAGAATGAGGCAATCAATTACTGTTTAGAGAACTGCCCATTTTAACAACCGGAATAAACTATGTCATTTTGGAAGCTGGTATAATTTGGAAAGATATATATTAAATTGTGTTCCTGAACAATTTTCTATTCTTGTCAATTCTAAAGACTTAAAAAATAAAACACACGCACACAATATGTCAAACAACAACAACAATTCAGAATGCAAGTGCTCTAAATGCTCTCCCAATAGCATGGGATTTGTTTTGGTGTCTACCCAAACACTCAGAAGACATGCACAACAGGATATCGTGAGACAATATCAGTCAGGATCTTCTTGTAAGTTCAAATTTAAGAAAATTATTATTGAGACAATTTTAATTAAATATTTATTTTCATATAATATAGCCTCAGTTATAGAAGTAATGTCGAATGACAATGACATGGAGATTGACTTTGAATACAATGTTGATGCCGAAGATCAAGTTGAAGGTATGCATAGTATTTTTATTAAAGTTTTATAATCATTTATAATATCTAATAATTTGATTCTTTTTTACCTAACAAAACAGCCGAAGACTTACCTCTTTTTGGCATTGATTCCTTGTTTGATTCTGAAAGCGAAGATGAGGGTGTCATTGAAGCAACCATTTTGGATATTTCTGACGATGAATCTGATGATGTTAGAGGTTAGTACAAAAAGCACATATAAATCAATAAAGTCAACAAGTATTGATTTTTTTTTCAAATAGAGCACTTTTCTTCATCCAATATGCCAGTCGATCCTACTCATGCTTTCATTGCTTCTTTTGCTGCCTTCTTCATATCCAAATATGTTGTCAATTCTGGTGGTGCTGTTCTGTTAAAGTTTCTTAACGAAGTATTGGCACACTTTGGACAGTCTTTCCGTCTTCCCCTCAGTATAAGCGGTGTCAACTCTATGACCGGTCTCAGCGACGTGACTCGAGGTGTCCAGCGGTTTGTTGCATGTGGCGATTGTAACAAAGTATACGAAGAGTCCGATGTTGTTCCAGAGTGCTGTAATTTCGAGAGACTCTCTGGTAGAGAATGTGGAAACGCTCTTTTCTTTGCAACATCAAGAGCCTTGACTATCTCCAAAAAGATCTACATGTATAACTCCATAATCAAAACATTGTCTATCCTTTTTTGCCGCCCTGGATTCGAAGACACCATCAACCATTGGAGAATCAGAGTGCAAGTTCCAGGCATGATGTTTGACATTTACGACGGTACGAAGTGGAACAGTCTGAAGGATAGCAATGGTTTACCGTTTGTGAATCATGAGCGCTCCATAATGCTTACCATGAACATCGATTGGTTTCAACCTTTCGATGGGGTCACTTACTCCTGTGGTGCGATATACCTTTGCATCAACAACTTGCCAAGATCGGAACGGTACAAGAAGGAGAATGTTGTTCTCGTTGGTCTCATGCCAGGGCCCAAGGAAGCAAAGACAAGTGAGATCAATCACTACCTCCGTCCCCTTGTCGCGGAACTCAACCAGTTGTATGGCGGTGTGGTGATGCCTACCGTACAGTGCCCATCTGGTGCTCTTGTCCATGCTGCCCTTCTTCTTGTTGCCTGCGACATTCCTGCTGCCCGTAAGACTTGTGGGTTCACCTCTCATTCAAGCACATGTGCATGCAATAAGTGCAACCGACAGTTCCCTCGCCTTCCAGACTCCAATGCTGTGGACTACTCTGGGTTCGTGTTTTCTGAGTGGGTGCCTCGCACTGATGCCGAAAACCGCCGTGATGCTGAGTTGTGGAGAATGGCCAGCAGTGATGCACAGAGAAAGAGATTGGAGAGGGAAAATGGTGTCCGATGGTCAGAATTGCATGACCTGGTTTACTTTAACCTCGTGGAGTGCACTGTCATCGATCCAATGCACAACCTGTACCTCGGAACAGCAAAGAGGATAATGGAGAAATGGAGATCTTCAGGTCTCATCACAGATGCACACTTGGCCGAAATGCAGTTGGATGCTGACAAGCTTGTACTGCCAGAGGACTACACGCCATTAGGGACAAAGATCGGGCGTGGCTTCCCATTCATGAAGGCCGACGAGTGGAAGTCTTGGTGCTTGGTGTACTCTCCTGTTCTCCTGCGTGGTCGTCTACCTGAAGCTCATCTCGGTAACTGGACAACGTTTGTCAATGCATGCCAGTACCTCTCAATGCCAAGCATATCCATGGCTCACCTTGATGAAGCCCATCAATCTTTGGAGGCTTTCTGCAGAGAGTGCGAGAAGTTGTATAAAGCCCCATTCCTTTCGCCAAACATGCATCTCCATCTTCATCTGCGAGAGACTGTACTGAACTTTGGCCCGGTTTATGGCTATTGGCTTTTTAGTTTCGAAAGATGCAATGGTATCTTGAAAAACTATGCGACAAATAGAAAAGACGGGTTTGAGGGAACCTATATGAAGAAGTATCTTGAAGAAGCATACCAGGGAGATCTTATTCGCCAAACTTTGCCAATAATTCGACCTGAGCATTCGGCAATCATCCTTGAGCTCACTGCATCCACTGCCAATTCCATAGCCACTTCCACTTCCACTGCCACCTCAATCCAATTCGATATCAATGCTTTTCTTGATTCTCCTGAGATCAACTTTGATATCGTCAAGGGAAACGAGCCTTTGCCCCCTTCCGCACTTCCTTTAGCTCTAAAGGGGGAGATTTCCATGGATGAATCCGAGTATAAGCATTTGTTGGAATACTATCGCGAGACATACAATGATCAAACTCTTGTTCATTATCGTCAGGCTGGTCATTCCGATAATTTTGTTAACAATCGGATACAGAAGTTTGAATCAATCAATCTTCTTGGGCAAATCTACAAGAGCAAAACGAAGAATCAGCGTGGGTCGTTCATGCAAGCCTTGTTTGAGACAAGTGATGGTAGAAGTACCAAGCCATACGCGGGCCAAATTCAGTACCTCTTTGTCAATACTGCTGTAAACTCGTTTGCTGGTCATGCGAGCCAGCATGTATTTGCATATGTACGATGGTACAAGGAAGTTTTACTTCAGCCCAGAGCAGGAGAAGGAGTTGAGGTGAATGAGGTGGGGTTCGAAGATGACAGCATGAACAGCATTCTCCCAGTGCATAGAATCTGCTATCCAGTTGCAGTAGGCAAGCACCTTGGTCTAGAAGGCAAAGTTCAGATGTGTGTAGTTCCTTTGCCACGAAAAATATATATTTAGATTCAAATACAAAAATAAAACACGTATAA